TCCCAGAATGCCTCTGGGAGCACATCCAAGGTACACCGCCGCCCAGGGCTGCTGGATGTTGTCTTCCAGAGGCCCAAGGAAGTGTCTCCGGATGACTCCTGGCAACGCTGGGCGGCGGCGTGACTTGGATGTGCTCCCAGAGGAATTCTGGGAGCAGTAGTTCCCTGACTCCTACTGCTCCCAGAATGCCTCTGGGAACACATCCCAGGCACGCCGCCACCCGGGGCTGCTGGGAGTTGTCTTCCAGAGGCGCTTCCTTGGGCCTAAGGCAAACCCAGTGGCATTCAGAGGAGGGCCTTGAAGGTAGATTGGGTAGAGCAGCGGGGGCTGCGGGGACAGCCCAGCAGGCCATTACCCCCTCCATGGAATGCAGAGTCATCTTAAACGGCGAGTATATCCCTAACTCTGTATTTTGTGTTGAAAAGTTAGAGGGTCGTCTTATACCCCCAGTCACCTTGTATGCCGGAAAATACGGTACTATATTTCCTCCTGTACTCATCACTTACGTTTGAAGCTCAGGCGTCGATGGTGGCTGGGAGGGCTTTTGCACAATTGAGACTCGTGCGCCAACTGCGACCGTACCTCGTGAAGGCGGATCTGGCCGGGGTAGTCCATGCCTTAGTCATCTCTAGATTGGACTACTGTAATGCCCTCTACGTGGGGCTGCCCTTGAAAACGGCTCGGAAATTACAGCTGGTTCAACGGGTGGTGGCCAGGCTGTTAACTGGCGCTCCTTACAGGGAGAGGTCAACCCTCGTGTTTAAGGAGCTCCATTGGCTGCCATTCATTTTCCGGGCCCAATTCCAGGAGCAGGTGCTTACCTACAAAGCCCTAAACGGTTTGGGACCTATCTACCTCCGTGACCGCATTTCTGTATATGAACCCACACGATCTCTTCGTTCATCTGGAGAGGCCCTGGCCACAATCCCACCTGCTTCACAGGCGCGATTGGTGGGAACAAGGGACAGGGCCTTCTTGGTGGTGGCCCCACGACTCTGGAACTCCCTCCCTAAGGATATTAGACAGGCCCCAACATTGGCAGTCTTCAGAAGGAGCTTGAAAACGTGGATGTTCCAGTGTGCCTTCCCAGAATAAGGAATCCTAAGCAATATGTCCTTAATGCACCTTATGAGAGATTTAGAATTGTCTGCACGTCCACCTACCCCAAAACACTCCTCCTATCTCCCTTTGAACTTCCCAGCTTTTTAATTTTAAATTTTCACATTTGGCCCTGCCTCATGTTTTTAAATGTGTCGTGTTATTATTGTATTGTTTTGCTTCTTCTGAGTTATTTATTGTTTTCGCTATTGTTGTTTTTTTATGATGTTGTTGGGCTTGGCCTCTTGTAAGCCGCACTGAGTCCTGCGGGAGATGGTAGCGGGGTATAAGAACAATAAATAAATAAATAAATAAATACCCTGCTCTTCTCAACCCGAAGGGATTCATAGCGGCTCACAAATGATGGCAAAATTCAATGCCGCATTATACATACAAATAATAAATATAACATTTCAAATTATAAAATAGTTGAAACATATAAATGCAATAAAACAGATTAAAAGCAGAGTTTCCCAATCACACACACAGACCCCCCCCCCCCCAGGCCAAGCACAAGCCTGCTAGTCAAAGTGGTCTTATGCATTATTACCATGGGGTCAAACGATATGACGTGCTCATGTAGAAGGCTACAGGATTAGAGTACAGGTGCCACAATTTTGAAACACAAGACCTTAAAGTGCAGGAGTGCTGCAGTTTAGATCGTGAAGTAAAGTATTTGATATCAATACTCAGTGTCCAGTTTAGAGTGGAATTCATCAACCAGGCCACAATTATTAATTAAAACTTGAATGGATTATAGTCAAAAGAACTCTGGGATGATATCTAAGGCCAAGTGGAAAGGGCTCTCAAGGGCAGCCCGGCTGGCTTAGGCCCAGAAGGGCTGTGCACTAGCAGCACCAGAGGCAGCAAAGGCAGCGGAGGGGCAATGGAAAATACCCTGGAAAAGCTGAGATAGTCGCATGCCAGTGGCGCTAGATGTAAGGAGGCGCAGCCACTGGCCTCCTCGTGGGTAAGCCCAGGGCTGAGCAAGGTAGCAAAGCCGGGTAGCAAATACTCAGGCCCCAGGATCTTTCCTTTAGCAGAGCCCAACAAAGCTCCCCCAGGCCTTTAGGTCAGTGATTTTATTTTATTTCTACCCTTGGAGGCTGGTGGGTCGCCTGGCTGGAATGGGGGTGTGGCTGCAGGTCTCCTTGTGAGTAAGCCCAGGGCTGAGCAGGGAGCAAAGCTGGATAGCAAATAATCAGGCCCCAGGGTCTCTCCTGCAGCACGGCCTAACATAGCTCCTGCACAAGTCGCCCCAATATCAGCCCAGGTAGATGCAACAACTGGAAGTGTTTATTATCAGTTTTGGCTGACGTGCCAGCTGTGCTGCTTTCTAAAATTGGAAGACCTAAAGATGGTAGTGCGCACAGGTAAACTCAAGGTTGGAAATTTATAATGCACTGTATGTTGGGATACTGTTGTCAAGCAATTTAGAATGGCTGTGGATTAGGCCCAAGCCATTGTGGGTTGCCTGGTGAGAAAAGAGAAGCCAATATTCCAGAATAAATCTCACCAAGTTGAAGCAGAAGCCACCAAGATGTTTATTTTGTTCCAGCTGGAGCGGATGTCAAACTGCAATCATTTGCCAAAACCAACATGCCATGCAAAGGGAAATATTACAGTTTTTATAGGAAACACAGAGCTGTCAAATTTAAATTTCCCACTCCCGCCCCCCTCGCCAGCTTCACGCTGATTGGTTGGAGTCATCAGCTGGCTGGGAGGTGCGGCCAGCTTAGCCAGCGCTTCTTCGGCCTCTCAGCCAATGGGAAGGGAGGAGGAGGTCCGGGCGGGAAACAATGAACCAGGAGGAAAAGATGAATGGATTAAATGACTAATGTTTGTATAATTGCTAGTGATAGCTTTTCCTAAGCTCTCAAGCCAGCTTGTCTATTGTCTTTGGTTCCTGGAAATATTTCTTTGACTGACTAGGAAGTCAGTCCCTATGTTGTCCTTGAGTCCTGGATATGGGGTCTATTGATGATATCTTGGATCAGTATCAGCCAGAGGAATTGACACAATGGAAGGGGACTGAGGTGACCAAACACTTTTTGTGAGAGGTGATTAAATTGTCAACAGGACCCATCTCTCAGGTGGGCTAGCCTTTTCGCCCTCCAAAGCCTGAAGAAATAGGGTCATTTGTTTTATCAGTCATGCAAAGAGTTTTTGGTGAGTCCTTTTGTCTAGGGATTAGCTGGCCCAGAAAGTGAGAGAAGGCTTCCCAAAGCCACAACGTTCTGGGTTCACGAAAAGGTGGCATTTCTTCATATTTCATATAGGGATATGGGGAAGGGGAGGATATATATAGGGATACAAGGGGTTCGCAAGGGTAAAATCATGCAAACTGCAAAGGGAATCATGCCAGCCCTCCTTCCCTCCGGAGTCCATCAAAGGTTCGTATAGATCAGTGAAATATCATAAAAGTTCATAAGGGTTTGGTATAGGGTCCATAAGAGTTGCAAAATTCATGAAAAGTTTATTAAAGTTTTTAAAAAGTTCATAGAAAGTCCATAAAGTGTGGGTTACGGGGCATTGCCATGTGGGGCCATGGGGCCACGGAAAGAGCCTTAGGTTCCCACATGGGGGAGAGATAGGGTATTATGGGATCATTCTAGCCTGGTGTCCTTGGTAAAACTATGAATTCCTTGGTTTTGAACCATCTTTTACAGAGTCACCTCCGATATCATTACTCCTATAACAGGATTGGAAACTCCAGTTAGCAGCCAGATTGGTTACAGGCACATCTGGCAACATCACTCAAAAAACCCTTTCATTGACTGTAGAACGATTTCTCAGAGCTGTCAAAATTTAATATATGCATTTTATGGTCACTTGTTTTATTTGTTCATTTTAACTACATTGTACTCTGCCTCAAGTTGTGAAGAGAGTTGTGTAACCAAAGTATCATCATCACCATCATCATAATCATTATCATCCTCTGGTGGGAACATAGGAGAGGACCTCCTCAGTAGCTGCTCCCAGACTCTGAAACTTCTTCTGAAAGAAGTTAAACTGGAACCCATTTTACTATTTTTCTGTAGACTTTATTTTATGATGACGATTATGATTTCAGCAGTTCTTTGAAGACGGGCTGCTCAAGGGGACTGGGTTTTGCAGAATTGTGCTGTATCTGTGTTTTGTTTATTTGTTGTTGTTAATAGTTTATTTTTAAACTAGTTGCATTTTTGGATAGTTTAATTATATGTTTGACCTTTATTATAAATATATGCAAAGCTGCAGATAATGTGCATGCGCAACTGTTTATTAATATTGCTCTCTCCAAAAGAAAAGAAATAGTGAAGCTAAATAGGTGAACAGCAATTTTATTATTTTGCAAATGTTTGCATGCAAATAATGAAAAGGGGTAAAAAAAAAAGGTATACCGAGAAGCCAAGGCATTACAATAAAAGGGATCGGAAAGGTCAGAACATGAGAGGCCAGGGCATCTCATCCATTTGATCCTGAAGTCACCTCATGAATATAATGTGTTTATTAGCATTGTATCTTCTCAACTACAGCAACATGTTTGCAAACATTACAATATTTAGCCCTCTTTCCATGATTTGACATTTTTCATGGATCAGACTGCAGGATAGGTTGTGCCTACTTTTTCAATGCCACATAGGAAAGAACCACAAGGCTGCAATCCCACCCACCCAAATAGTACTACACAAACTAGTAGTTCGAAAACATGCAAATGTGGGTAGATCAGTAGGTACTACTCCAGTGGAAAGATGCTCCATGCAGTCATGTTGGCCACATGACCTTGGAGGTGTCTACGGACAATGCTGGCTCTTTGGCTTAGAAAAGGAGATGAGCACCACCCCCCAGAGTTGGACTCAACTGGACTTCATGTCAAGGGGAAACCTTTACCTTTACTTATTATTTTTTTTCTCACACAGGTGTCCACTGCAGGACAAGACCCACAGACCTGGTGTTCATCATTGACAGCTCCCGGAGCGTGCGTCCCAATGAATTTGAGCAAGTCAAGGTCTTTTTGTCCCAAGTCATTGAGTCACTGGATGTGGGTCCCAATGCTACTCGAGTGGGTGTTGTCAATTATGCCAGTGCAGTCAAGAACGAATTCTCCCTCAAGACTCACCGGACAAAGGCCCCCCTCCTGCAAGCCGTGCGCAGGATTGAGCCCCTCTCCACTGGCACCATGACAGGCCTGGCGATCCAGTTTGCAATCAACAGGGCATTTAGTGAAGGCGAAGGTGCCAGAGTGCGATTACAAGAGATTAACAAGGTATGGGGATTCGGGGGTTTGGCTTTCTCCTTCTCTGATGATTTTCAGGCAAATCAGGTGGGTACCTAAGGGTCCAATCAGCTTGTGTCTACATGATTATTACTTATGTCGTATATGATCCACCTAAACACACCTCCCAAGCTGAATAATGAAGCAGGTTTTTCTTTCAAGCAGTTTCTTAGCTTATCTTTACAAATATTTCTAAAAGATCATTTCTTCAAGCTTTCCAAGCTCCCTTGGTTTGAATGTGTGTTTTGCATAGCTGGCAGGTTGGACTGGATAGTCCTTGTGGTCTCCGAACTCTATGAGTCTATGATTTTCATTTTCTGTTCTTTCCTGAATAATTTCCAAAATAACACCATTCTCCCAGAGTGAAATGCTTTATATCAGGCATGGGCAATCTTGGGCCTTCCCTCCAGGTGTTTTGGACTTCAACTCCCACAATTCGCTTTCCTTTTCCGCTTAAACGGCTGAGGGGGGAAAGGAAGGGACCTGAGGTTGTTGGGAATTGTGGGAACTGGTCCAAAACACCTGGAGGAAAGGCCCAAGTTTGCTCTATATACTTCATTGTGTTGTCGAGCAATTTAGAATGGCTGTGGATAGTGAGATCCAAGCCATTGGGGGTTTAGCCTGGTGAAAAAAGAAGCCAGTATTCCAGAATAAATCTCACCAAGTTGAAGAGAACCAACCGAGGTATTTATTTCTGTTCCAGCTGGAAAAGGGTGACGCCTGCAGTAATCTGCTGAAAAAACCACCATGGTTCCAATACAGAAAACTAAACAATATATACATTTTTTCCATTCAAATTTCCCACACCTGCCCTGTGAGCTTTGCTGTGATTGGCTGTAATGTCAGTGAGCCGGGAGGAGCGGCCGGGGGCTGGTGCAGCTCATCCAATGGGAGCCCGAACCCCACTTTGGCCACTCACCCAATGGTGTGCAAGGAGGTGCGGCAACCGTAAAACGAATAAAAATAGTAGCTTGATGATAGGATTAAGAGGACCCTATTGACAGGCAATTGAAGCGATTGCTGTAAGCCCTCAAGCCTGACCTAGCCATTGATACAGAGTCTTGAAATAACATTTCTGTCTGGCCCCTCGGAGCCATCCCATTGTCAAAAAGTACAGCGATATTGAAATCTTGATGAGGATCTCCTGATCCATCTTACTGGGGAAGATAATGTCATTGTTTTGGGATGCGGCAACATCCCCTTCTCCTGGCAGAGGTGAAATTTCCTTTGTGAAGAGTGATTAAAGGTTACCCCATTCTTAAGTAGCCTGATCCTCTGAGGCTTAAGAAAAGAGACCATCAAGCTATTGTCTATATTGTGAAATTCCCGTTCCCAAACTACACTTCCCAGAGTTCTGTGCTGTTCCCAAGATGCACTGCTCCCTCTTTCATGGCACCTAATGCTGAGAGAAACTCCATTAATTCAAGACAGGCAGGTAAGCAGCCTTTTTGCCTTTGCTTTGCTATGAAACTGACTTTGGGAGCCTTCCAAGATTTACAAAACTAAAACAAAAAAGTATGGGGTCAGTTTCAATTCTAAAATATTTGGCGAGGGCTACACAAATGTTTTATATATGACTTACAAAACTTCTGATTTTCTTATGATTTCCAGCACTTCCTAATTTTTTGCACATGCCTAGATTCCAGCCATGCAGTTTTGCATTTATGGATGATGCCTAACTATTTTCCAGTGCCTTCAATATACAGCTTTTTTTCACTGCAGAAACAGCCATGATTCTCTCTGCAATAAACAATAAACAAACACATTAGCAGATCGGCAATAAATAGTACAATGTTGCTAGTCAGCAAAAGGGCCATGTAGCACAACCACTGTGTGTACAGATTTAAATTATACAAGCAAGATATAGGATCTCAGTAAATGTTCGAATTAAAGAATTCTACCTTGAGAACATCTATTGTACTAATTATTCCTAGTAGTATAGAATCAATAATTTGTATAAATGTTGGGTTTACACTGTTATACAATCCCAACATTTATACAAATTATCAATTCCATACTACTAGGAATAATGATTCCTCATCATGTAATAGTCCTACCACCCTTTTCCAATGGAAAAGGCAAAAATGTCACTATTATGTGATGAATAAGTAGCAGCAGGCACTACGCTAGTATTATGTTATGCTTTATGTTGGACACTAATGGAGTGAAACCAGAATTAGAAAACAATGCTGGATTGGTCAGTCTGTTGAGTCTTCTCTCTCTTATCCTTAGGTGGCTATCATAGTTACTGATGGGCGTCCCCAGGATGCGGTGAAGGATGTCGCCGCAAGGGCGAGGGCTCTTGGAATCGAAATCTTTGCTATTGGCGTGGGCCGTGTGGATATGCACACTTTGCGACAGATAGCCAGTCAACCTCTGGATGAGCATGTGGACTATGTGGAAAGCTACAGTGTAATTGAGAAGCTGACTAAAAAATTTCAAGAAGCATTCTGTGGTAAGTCCTAAAGGGAAATTTATTTATTTATGTATTTATTTACGACATTTATATGCCGCCCTTCTCACCCCGAAGGGGACTCAGAGTGGCTTACAAGATATATTTTCATGCAATATATTATATTATTAGCATAGTACAATATCAGTATTATATATTACTATATTGCACTATACCATTATATTGTAATATTATTAGTAATATTACATGTAATGTAAATATATAATTATAATTATAAAATTGTATTATTATTGCGAGTATTATATTGTATTAAATTATAATATTATAAATATTATATGTATATACAATATACTATATTATATTATTAGTAAAGACAAGATGGAATTCAGCAATGGGAACTAAAGACTTGGATTGTGGCCTTCGTAGGATGATTCAAAACTGATCGCAGTAAGGCAAAGACATCAGAATTATTATTATTATTATTATTATTATTATTATTATTATTATTGTATTTCATACCCACCTCTCCTCATGGCTCAAGGCGGGTCACAGCAGAGTCAAAAATACACACATACTATACAAATTCTACAAACACACATATTAAAATTCAGTTCCATAAGCGATGCACATCAAAGCATTTCTATAAAATACACACCTATAATATTAGATTCATTGCTGATGAAGAAGGCATTTATATGAAAGAAAACCTGTTACTAGGCAACAGCAAGTTATAGGAAGGTGGAGAGAGAATACCATAGAGCCCATGAACTTTGAGGCAAAATCCATAATTGTCATGAATGACTTTTCAATCACTTTGAAGCATAGGTTCTTTTTATTGCAATTTCCAGTGTGAGAGGATATATCAGATTACAGAAAAACATTTAGACAAAGAATGACATTGGACATACAGACATATAGATTCTATGCAACTACATTGGATTTACAATTACATTGGTCAACAAACAAACAAAGGGGAATTACATTTTCACTCAACATTCACACCACATGTACACGCATTTATCCTCAGGCATTCAAGTATTACCATATCATTTTCTCCCTCCTTGGAGAAGCACCTGTAAGGCCGGACCCTGATTTCCTGCAGCCTGCTAATGCATAGTCCCAAAACTTCCATAACGCCAAAACTTCAAAACACCAAAATGCCAAAACTTCTTTCCCTAAGAACAACGCCAAAAACCAGATCTCTGTTTTCCATACAGCAGAACCTGACTCCCTACACAAAATCTAAGACTCCAAAAGCGCACTTCTTCCACTTCCCTTGAGAAAGAAGCCCCAAAGTGACCAGAATCATGCTTTCTCATAGCATATCTGTCACTCTCCTTAGGTACACTATCTCTCTCCTTTCCATGGAGCAGAGCATAGCGGGTGAACCAGACTCCTCAGGTTGGTCACAATTTGATCATTTTAGACTAAGTCTTTTAGAGGAATATTCTTCTGATTTCGTCCCAAAGTTGTAAATGAATGATAGATGTCTTCCATCCTGTATCCATCTCAGTTTCCTGGCCAGATGTTGACTCTTCTTGATTGGTGTTGACAAAACAAGGCTTGTGTTGACTTCCTTCTTAACATAAGGAATGTTGCAAACATTTCCTTTATCACTGTCCCTTCTTATCAGAGATTACTTTTCAGATCTCATTAGCAGGTTTTCTTGCTGAATTGAACACTATTTGTGTCTTAATATTTGCACTAAAATGTGCGATGCAAGGCCAGAAAGTTATTTTTGTTCTTTACAATATGTTCTGTCTACTTGATCTTTATGAAACAAATTGAACTGTTTCCAGCAAGCAGGTAGTTAGTCATTGCAGGCCTTAATATTATACTGGTGTTTCCGAAATTATTAACTCCAACCACACATCCTTCCATTCTTCCATTCATTCCCACACATCTTATTAAATTCATATTTGTCAAATCTGCACATTGAATTTCTTGTGACATAATGTGAGGGACAACACAAAGTGTAAATAGGAGAAATAATGAAGAAACAGTGCAGAAAGAATCCTTCTCCGGGCTGCCTTGCTCATTTGGCACTTTAGGCACAGTGCCTAGATCAGAGCTTTCCAAAAATTTCACTATTCAGACATGAATAATTTTGCGACACAGTAATTCAAGCCTTAAAAGATATACAGACACCTATCAAAATTGTAAGGACAAACTATATGGAGATACAGCATATCGCATGAAAATCTTACATTTGGATTTTTAATAACATATAGTTTATGGCTTCTTTCACCTGGATTCAGAGGTTTCTCATTATGATTGTGTGACACACCCACACACTGCAGCCGACACACTAACATGTCACAACATAGTTTGGAAAGCTCTGGCCTAGAGCCTCCAAATATTTTGGGCCATACATAAACAGGAATGATTGTTTAAGAAGGGAATTAGGAAGAAGAACAAAAATTCAATCATAGAATCATAGAATCAAAGAGTTGGAAGAGACCTGATGGGCCATCCAGTCCAACCCCCTGCCAAGAAGCAGGAATATTGCATTGAAATCACCCCTGACAGATGGCCATCCAGCCTCTGTTTAAAAGCTTCCAAAGAAGGAGCCTCACAGTCACAGGAAGTTCTTCCTCATGTTCAGATGGAATCTCCTCTCTTGTAGTTTGAAACGATTGTTTTCCGTCCTAGTCTCCAGGGAAGCAGAAAACAAGCTTGCTCCCTCCTCCCTGTGGCTTCCTCTCACATATTTATACATGGCTATCATATCTCCTCTCAGCCTTCTCTTCTTCAGGCTAAACATGCCCAGCTCCTTAAGCCGCTCCTCATAGGGCTTGTTCTCCAGACCCTTGATCATTTTAGTCGCCCTCCTCTGGACACATTCCAGCTTGTCAATATCTGTCTTGAATTGTGGTGCCCAGAATTGGACACAATATTCCAGGTGTGGTCTAACCAAGCGGAATAGAGGGGTAGCATGACTTCCCTAGATCTAGACACTATGCTCCTATTGATGCAGGCCAAAATCCCATTGGCTTTTTTTGCCGCCACATCACATTGTTGGCTCATGTTTAACTTCTTGTCCACGAGGACTCCAAGATCTTTTTCACATGTACTGCTCTCAAGCCAGGCGCCCCCCATTCTGTATCTTTGCATTTTGTTTTCCTGCCAAAGTGGAGTATCTTGCATTTGTCCCCGTTGAACTTCAATTTTGTTAGTTTTTGCCCATCTCTCTAATCTGTCAAGATCGTTTTGAATCCTGCTCCTGTCCTCCCAATTTGGTGTCGTCTGCAAACTTGATGATCATGCCTTCTAGCCCTTTATCTAAGTCATTAATAAAGATGTTGAACAGGACCGGGCCCAGGACGGAACCCTGCGGCACTCCACTTGTCACTTCTTTCCAGGATGAAGAGGAAGCATTGATGAGCACCCTCTGGGTTCGTCCATTTAACCAATTACAGATCCACCTCACCGTAGTTTTGCCTAGCCCACATTGGACTAGTTTGTTTGCCAGAAGGTCATGGGGGACCTTGTCGAAGGCCTTCCTGAAATCCAGGTATGCTACATCCATGGCATTCCCCGCATCTACCCAGCTTGTAACTCTATCGAAAAAAGAGATCAGATTAATTTGGCATGACTTGTTTTTGATAAATCCATGTTGACTATTAGCGATGACCGCATTTGTTTCTAAGTGTTTGCAGACCACTTCCTTAACAATCTTTAATAATTGAGATATTTTAACAAAGAGCTAAATCTGAGAGAAAATTCTTGTCATTGTAGTTTTAATGTGGACTTTAAAAAAAGGTGATTAGTGAATCCAAACCAAAGGGAGAGTACCATTCAGGGGAATGCTGCTGTATCCTTTTTGAGACCTGAAAAAGAAAATTGTAATGGCATTCTGTTTGTACAGTATGAAAACCTGGGATCTGAAATCCGGATATATATATCATTTGTTGTTTTTTTCAGCTGTATCAGACCTGTGTGCCACTGGAGATCACGACTGTGCACAAATCTGTGTCAGTGCAGGGGCTTCATACACCTGTGCTTGCAGAGAGGGGTTCACACTCAACAGTGATGGGAAAACCTGCAATGGTAAATCATTTCTAGCACATGATGAATGCTTGCTCCAAATCATATTGTTTATCATTTTCAGCAAGTGATTTCAGGAGTTTTCATAGTTTGCGTAGGAGGAGCTTTCTGCCAGTGATATGTTATGTATCTGATTGTCTTATTAAGTGATAACAAGAGCCAGTGACCCTTGCATCACATAATCAACTGTTTCGGTCTCTCCAAAAGAGCATGCAGGTAGGGTATGTGCATGGGATATGGTTTAGGCTGGAACTTGACATCATTACTATAAGAAGACACTTTGATTCTATGTTCCATTGTGGCCTCAGTCCAGGTTCCGCCATACATCGGCAACTAATGTTGGAAGGAAAGCTCAGGTGTGCCAATGGACACCATCTTGCCAATGAAAATATTAGGCATAGGTGTCCCGTCCAGACAAGGATTACTTTGGGTTAGGATCACTCTACCCTTTGCATTTATCACAATATGAATGTCCCCAGACACCACCTAATTATCTTTGAAGGTTTTTTTGTGTGTGTCAGGAGCGACTTGAGAAACTGCAAGTCGCTTCTGTTGTGAGAGAATTGGCCATCTAAAAGGACATTGCCCAGTAGACACCCGGATGTGTTACCATCTTGTGGGAGGCTGCTTTCATGTACTAATATAGGAAGCTGGAGCTGACAGACAGGAGTTCATCCTGCTCACCAAACTTGAACCACCAATCTTTTGGTCAGCAGTCCGGCTGGCACAAGAGTTTAATTCATTGTGCCACCGGGGGCTCCTATCTTTGAAGTAATTCCCCTAGTTTGACTAATGTAAGATTGGTATACTTTTCTTTTTAGTTCTGAGAAAGGCATTTAGAATAGATACAAGCATTCTTTTTAGGATTACTTATGAAACTAAGTGTACAATTTTTTCTAAGATCAACCAGTTCTTAGAGTTCCAAATACACCCATAGTTAATATGATTTTTAATAAATCTATGACAGCTGAGCTTGAAAAGGTTATTTCTAGGCAGTTCCCATAATTCTACAGCCTGTACAGCAACTGGAAAAGTAGCTTTACCAAGCTTTACTTTGTAGTGATATTCAAACAATCACGAATTTCACAGTTTGATCCAAATTCAGCCTTTTTGTTAAGCCTGTATTTCATCGCATAATAGTCACACCCAGGCCCGTAGCCAAAGGGGTGTGTGTGTTAAGGGTTCTACCCCCCCCCCAATGTGTCAAGTTAAAAAAACCTGGTTTACTTATGAACTTTAACTGGTTAACCAATTCATGAGTAAACCAGGTTTTTCTTTTAATCTGAAACATTTGAAAGGGGGGGGTTAAACCCTCAAACCTCCCTCTGGCTACAGGCCTGGTTGCACCACCCCCATTTTGAGAGAAAGAAAGGCTGTGTGACTATTATATTGAGAATTTACAGATGCTGCCATTGCCAGCTGAAGGAGGCCAATGGCAGGTGGATGAAGACTCACCAGCCCGCGCAGCTACCGGAAAGAGCTAGGATGCCTTTTTCAACTGGCAGTAGCCGAGAGAATCTTACTAGCTCTTGTGCTTTCATCCACTCACATGCCTGCCCCTCAGAAATATGAGGACTGCACCAAGGGGGTGATGGATGGACAGGGTGTGTGACTATTATGTGAGGAAAACATAAATGCCCAAATTGGGACCCCAAAAATAAGGGTGCAACTATTCTGTAGTGGCGACTATTGTGTGATGAAATACGATATGTCTTGGTTGTTGAAGATTCAAGGCAACAAATTATAAATTATCATGTGAATAAAACACGAATATATTGGGGCCTTTTTCTTATGATGAGGAAGAAATCTACAAGGAAAGAGGGACGATAGATTATGAACAATATGACAAAATTGGGCACAGACCATTTTTTGCACTCTCTAATGAAAGCATCTGTTGAAATGTTTGCTATTCAGTCACTCTTAATTTTACTTTGGTTTTATATGAAGTAGTATTTTAGTCTTCGCTGTTGTTTTTCTCTGAGTTTCATTACATTCTGTCATTAGACTCCCCCTATTTTCTGCATTTTTGTGTTTTAATAGATGTTATGCTACTGAGAAAACTCTGATGTAGAAGTGCAATAGACATACAAATTGATTTCATTGGATTGGAATTTGTTGGTGACCTTGACCTGTGGTAACACCATTAGTGACCTCTATGTAGGGCTAAATCCAGATCAAAGTTTATATGTGTGCTAATGATAGTCTTTCCAAAATTATTCCTATTTTTGTAAAGAGATAATTGTCTCAATTTGTATTGATTTTTGTTTGTCTTGCTCTTGTTCAGCTTGCAGTGGAGGGGGTGCCACTGATCTTGTGTTCCTGATAGATGGATCAAAGAGTGTGAGACCTGAAAACTTTGAGCTGGTGAAGAAATTTATCAACCAAATTGTGGATTCTCTGGATGTGTCAGACAAAAATGCACATGTGGGCCTGGTCCAATATTCTAGTTCAGTTAGGCAAGAATTCCCACTTGGACAATATAAGAACAAGAAAGACATCAAAGCAGCAGTGAGAAGGATGTCCTACATGGAGAAAGGCACCATGACCGGCCAGGCTTTGCAATACCTAGTGGACAGTTCCTTTGCAATCTCCAGTGGAGCAAGGCCAGGAGTCCCCAAGGTAGCAATTGTATTTACTGATGGACGATCCCAAGATTACATCAATGATTCTGCCAAGAAAGCCAAGGAACTAGGTAAATTTTCAGAACTCAGTGTTATTATATTGCATTAGCCCAATTCCAAAATAACCTGTTTCATTCTCATTTGTTATTCACTGCCATCAAGTTGACTTTTATTTCTGGTTATTTTATGAATGAGAGACCTCCAAGTTACCCTGTCCTCATCAGCCCTGCTAGTGTTCAATGATACCACATTATACCTCCGTTTCTAGGCTAGTTCCTTCATAATCGTGGAGCCCCCTTTCTTGGAGATGGTATGCATATTCATTGTTTCCAACATATGGGCCATTGCTTTGTTTTCATTTTGTTGAGAAATTTTAGTTAGAACTAGAGTTCTGTAATCAGCTCTGTTGATGAGCCATCTGTTCCTAGTCATTTATTTCTCCCAAGTGTTTTGAGACTTTCTAAAACTGGAGATATGTCCTCATATGGTTCTTCCATGAATTGATCTGTTATCATTTCAGCTTATTATGTAGGTTTTATTGTAACATTTTCATTGTCTTTTTATTTGTCCATGCCATGCACTGCATTCCCCTGATGGTCACATAGCATTCCCCACTCTTGGTTTAAATTTCCCTTTGATTTCTTGGATCTTGTGGAAGAGATCCCCTTTTCTTCATTTTTGTTGACATCTATTTCTCAACATTGATTATTACAGTACCATAGAATCATAGAATCAAAGAATCAAAGAGTTGGAAGAGACCTCATGGGCCATCCAGTCCAACCCCCTGCCTAGAAGCAGGAATATTGCATTCAAATCACCCCTGACAGATCGCCATCCAGCCTCTGTTTAAAAGCTTCCAAAGAAGGAGCCTCCACCACACTCCGGGACAGAGAGTTCCACTGCTGAACGGCTCTGACAGGAAGTTCAGATGGAATCTCCTTTGTTCTTGAACACAAAAATCACTGATTTCAGGCTGCTCATTCTATTTGAATCACATTTTGCTTTTGCTTCTCAAGTATATCTACCCACATCCTTGGGCAAGAACACATACATTCCACAGCTGCTGCAGGTGACTGCATGAACTCCCTTGCCATCAATTTGTATCACAACTAAGTAGAGCAATGGTTCTCAACCTGTGGGTCACCAGATGTTCAACTCTCAGAAATCCTAACAGCTGGTAAACTGGCCAGGATTTCTGGGAGTTGTAGGCCAAAAGACCTGGGGACCCACAGGTTGAGAACCACTGAAGTCGAGAATGGAACAGGAATCTGGGTCTCCAACACCAAACACCCATGCAAACACACTTGTTTGTCTCATTCCAGGAACTGATGCTCAAAGTAGATAGAGGTACTGGCAGTAAACTCCTCACCCAACCAACCAGTCATGCATAGGAGGAACACATGATTAGTTTAGGAGACTGTATGTTTGCAGAAGTATTAATATATGGAGGGAACATGAGAAGTGAACATATACATTGGTCATAGAACGATAAATAGCTGTGGGTGAGGATGTCGGGTAGAAAGCAGAATGGAATATAATATAAGATCAGATGACTGGAATATCTATCTATCTATCTATCTATCTATCTATCTATCTATATCTATGTATATAATAAAAATCAGTGTTTGTATGTGGCGGAGGGCGGAAGTGTGGCGGACGTAGGGCGGAAGTGTATGTGGCAGCTTTCTGATTGGCTGCCACTGTGGTAGTATTTGCATATAGTCTCTGATAGGCCAGCCTGAAGATTCTAAAATTCTGAAGTGGCTGAGATTCCCTTCCCACAGAACACTGCAACCCCTACAAATCACAGGCCCAAACTTGGCACACAGAGTACTCATGACCCACTCTACATCCTGATGCAGTTCTAAGGGGGATGGACCATGGATGATGGGAATTCCAGTACCTTCACACACTTACTGAAACCACTTTGATTATCATCCTATGACCAATAAAGACCAAACTTGGCACACAAAGCTCCCATGACCCACTCTGCATCCTGATGCAGTTCTAAGGGGGATGGACCATGGATGATGGGATTTGTAGTACCTTCACTCACTGAAACCACTGCGACCCTCATCCAATGACCGATCAAGACCAAACTTGGCACACAGAGCCCCCATAACCCACTCTACATCCTGCTGCAGTTTGGAGTAGTGTGGACCATGGATGATGGGACTTGCAGTACCTTCAATCACTTCCTGAGACCACTGCGACCCACATCAATGACTGAAGAAACTTGACACACAAAGCCCCCATGACCCACCCACCATCCCGGTACAGTGTGGAGGAGGATGGACCATAGACGATGGGACTTGCATATGAGAGTTGTAGTTCCCCCGCACCCACTGAACCACCAGACATTGGATCTAGACTAAAACTACAGAACAGACAAACAATGCCTATCTCAAATAACCTGGGGAGCGCAGGGTCCCAAGCTAGTAAGTAATATAATATAAGTAATATAAGATCAGTAATATAAGATCAAATGACTGGAACAGTTAACAGGAGTGCTGTGCACAGCCTTTTCCCCAATCATATCTTAGTGTGAAGGGGCAGAAATGATAACAGTTAGATTAGCAATTTTTGTTTGTTTTCAGGTTACAAAATGTTTGCTGTTGGAGTAGGCAATGCGGTTGAAGATGAGCTTAAAGAAATTGCCTCCGAACCAGTGGCAGAGCATTATTTCTACACTGCTGATTTCAAAACCATGAACCAAATTGGGAAGAAACTACAAAATAAAATCTGTGTTGGTGAGTAATATGTATAGCTCGGAGTGTTTAAGCCTGTAATCTACTGCTCTGACAAATAGTTGCCTCTATTGCACCCTATTTAGTATCCTTGCAAATTCATATCATACATTGGTGAGAGAGGCTAGACTGCAGGGGATATTTCTCAATTGTATGATGGTGAAAGACTCCGCAGTCTTCCAGATTTCAGGATGCATACAAGAAAGGTTCACGGGGAGATGTAATTTATCTTTGGGTGGTTTCCATTCCACTGAAGAAGTGCAGATTTAAAACTGGCTGTTTTTAAAAATCAAGTGTATATATAAAAATGCTAAACATCTATACATGTATTTCTATGCAAAATAATAATACATTACAAAAAAGCACACAAATGTATAATTCTTTTAAACTCCATACTTTTGAGAAAAATATGTGCAAAACATTATAATTTAGTCATTTTAACTATTTGTACAAAAATGAATATATTAAGAAAGACAAAACACAATTGAATGCAGCAATTAACAAAAATACCAATGAGCTGAATAAAAATCTGAATAAAAACTGAGCAGGATGGAATCAGCCAGCATCAGGTGTGACATATGCACATTATGTTACCTTCTGTTTATTATCTAAAAACATGTCAGAGATGTCCCTATGACTTTGGCTTGAGGAAAGAGATTCCATTACCATCCAACATAGGAAAAACTCCCCAGTGACTGGTGCCTTGTGTTTCCCTCCACAGAAGAAGATCCATGTGAATGTGAAGCCATTGTGAAGTTCCAGACGAAGGTAGATAACCTCATAAAGGCATTGACACGGAAATATATCCTTTGGGAAGTATTTGAAATGATGTGTGAGAGAGAATGTTTACGTAAGCGGCAGGGGAGAAGGAAAAACTTGACAGGATGAGTGATTTGTCCAGTATGCTTGGAAATCAAATGGAAACATACCATTGGGTGGCTGTGAGTTTTCCGGTCTATATGGCCATGTTTTAGCAGCATTCTCTCCTAATGTTTCACCTGCATCTGTTGCTAATGGCATCTTCAGTGGTCTGTTGTAAATGAGGCAAGTGGAGTGTATATATTCCTGTGGAATAATGTCCAGGTTGGTAGAAAGAACCCTTTTCTGTTTGAAGCAAGTGTGAAGATGCAGATACCCTCACTGACTGACTTTGCAGCTTCATGGCTACTCCAATGCTAATTCAAGCTTGCTAATTGCAACATTCACACTTGCTTTAAACAAACAAGGGTTCTTTATCCCACCCTGGACATTATTCCACAGGAATATATATACTTCACTTGTCTCACTTTCAACAGAACCTTTGAAGATGCTATTAGCCACAGACGCAGGCAAAACATCAGGAGAGAATATTGCTGGAACATGGCCATATAGCCCAAAAAACTCACAGCTATGCAGTGATTCTGGCCATGAAAGCCTTTGATATTTTTTTTCATGTCAGGAGCAACTTGAGAAAGTGCAAGTCACTTCTGGTGTGAGAGAATTGGCCAACTGTAAGGATGTTGCCCAGGGGACACCCGGATGTGTTACCATCCTCTGGGAGGCTTCTCTCATGTCCCCGCATGAGAAGCTGGGAGCTCACCTTGTCTCGTAGATTCGAACCACCGACCTTCAGGTCTTCAAGTCAGCAGTTCAGCCGGCACAAGGGTTTAACCCACTGCGCCACCGGGGGCTCTGCTGTTGATAATGCAAAGATACTATTCCTGATGAATGGAAATGATAAGGGAGATTTGGGTGGCATTTTGTACCCCCCCCCCCATTGTCTGCTGCTGTCCTGCTTGTCTCTTCAGATAATGTGGAAAGAAGAAGGCATGTGAGACAAAGAGGAACCAGGGGCATTTTGTAAAAGACGAGAAAGGAGCTACTTTATCTAGGTGATGTTGAGGAATTTGGCAGAAGCAATGGGCAAAGAATCAGTGGTGGTAATGAGAGAGATTTGGGGCGTTCCTTAGCCTCCTCTCCTTTCCCTCCGATTCTGTGGGAAGATACAAGGGTCGGCATCAAATATCTATTGTCACTGCTGCTGTTGCTTCACACAACGCTTCTGATGAAATCCTCAACCATGCCTGGGGAGGAGCCTCTTTTCTTGTATTTTGCCTGCCTTCCCCAGCTCCGCTTTTCTAACTTCTGGCAAGTGGCATAAAAGTAGGTAGGTAAAAGATGAACGGAGGGGGACAACCAGATGCAGCCCCACTTTCAAAGTGGCAGGCTGACAAGGTAGGAAGGCTGGTTAAGTGCAAAGGGGAGTGAGAGTGTCATGGGATGGGTTCGTGAAATGATTTATAGTTTCCAAATCACGACCTGTCTCAGAAGCAAGCAAAATGCAACAGAGTCCTTTCTCAATAAAAACACACTTCCACTTCGTCTATCAGCAGAATCCAACTGGCAGCATCTGGCCTTATATACACACTTCACTTCACTTCACTTTATTTCTTAATTAGTCGCTCTCCACCAAGGTGCTCCGAGCGACTTACAATTTAAAATAGCATTTACACAATATAAAAACATTCAACATAAAAACATTCAACAGTGACTATTTGGCAAATTAGATCTGATCACTTTACTTAAATGCACAACCAAACAGCCAAGTCTTGAGCACCTTTACAAAAGGTCGCAACTCCGACTTTGCTCTAATGTATGGAGGCAATGAGTTCCACATAATTGGAGCATAGGTCAAAAAAGCTCTACGCCTTGTAGCTTCCAGGTGTACCTCCCTAGGGCCTGGTATGTATAGGAGGTTTTCCTGGGCGGATCGAGGTAACCGCTGATGGAAAAAAGGAATGAGGCGGTCCCTAAGATATAACGTTCCTTGGCCATTTTGAGCTCTAAATGTCAGGATCAGTGTCTTGTAAGAGATCCGATGTTCTATTGGCAGCCAATGCAGAATCGGTCTAATATGGGATCTTATAGATGATCCCGCTAGCAGCCTAGCCACCACATTTTGGACCATCCGAATCCTCTGGGTTGTTGACTTCGGAAGGCCAGCATATAAGGCATTGCAATAGTCCAGCCTAGTGGTGACTTTTGCATGGATTACCGTTGCCAATGCTTCTACTGAAAGGTAGGGTGCCAATTTCCTTGCCTGCTTACTTATGGCAGTGATCTGGGCCTCCATCTACGTCCAACCACTTGCTGGACTGGTGCAGAGATTTAGCAGTGGTGGTGCTGAGAGAGATTTGGAGAAGGCTTCATAGACTGCAGTCAGTTGCCTACAACTGGTTTGCTTATTCCCTCAGAGAAGGTGGAGTGAAGAAAGAGGTGGAAACAAAAGGCCAGCTGTGGTCCACTGAAGGAGGGCAGGAAAGTGACAATGAGTCTGGCCAGGGAGAGCCTGCCATAAAGGAACCACTGACCACCTTGGCTCTCCCTACCAAGACCATTTTCCTGCCCAGACATTCCAAAAAGCCAGAAGCAATACTAAGGCGCGCGCGTGTGTGTATGTGTATGTGTGTCAATGTTTCTTTTACATTCTCCCAAGATGGACTTAGCTCTCATCTTTCACCACTCTACTCTGAAGTCATCCCGTATTATTCCTTAATGCTTGCTCACTGGAAGCTGTGACAAAAAAGCTTGCTGCATTAGAAAACAGGATCACTGTCTAAAACACAGAATACTTTGATTCCTTTGCAACTTAAAATACACCTATCAGAAGACTTTGACTATGGCAGCTCCTCTTCAAGGCTGTTACCCTTGGCTGTTCCAACTGCCTTTGTTTTGCGAGAGGCAAATGTATAATAGTAGTAATGTAACGGTAAAGCACCAGAGGTTGTACACCAAGCTATATCGAACACTCCTTGCATCACAGAATATGTATATGTTAAATGCCTGGAGAATTGGTTTAAGGTAAAATTTCACCTAGACATCTAGAATGTTTGAATAACATCTTATTCTGAGTTCTGTGAATGTTCACTAGATTCTTTTGCATTTTCCAGGTATATCTTAATTGTTTTTTAAAAACCGAATTTGATTCATATGACTGAGAAAGGAATATTTATTTCCTAAGATCAGCACAATATATAATTTATGCTAGAGCATTTATCAATAAGTAGATAAAACAATTATGGATAATTTATCAGTAAGTAGATAGAACAAGTGTCGCATACAGGAGAAGAGGTGCTTGCTGTTACAAATTCCTACCTTTGGTACAAAAATGAAAGGAAGCATAGATCTCTAAATATCATCATCAATTTTTCTGCTCATCAAGAAGGCTCAAGTTGGATTTTTTACAATGAATATATTAATGGACTCGTAGGATTTCACTACTTTTTAAATCCATGCCCAATGTTATCAGCAACCAAATCCAAAACGACCCAAAGCTCCATAAACAAGACAAACAGTGCAAGTCACTACTAGTGAAGGAGACTCTGGTCATGACCCTTTTGCCATGTTTAGAATGGAACCATAGCTACATCCTTTTTTGGTCATAGATGATGGCTGTCTGTATTTAGATTATATTAAGTCCTAGGTCAGCACAGACACAACCTGGGATCTCCAATATTCAGAATGAAAAATCCCTGATCATTGTGAAACAAAAAGTGGCAAGCACCCCTCAAAACGTCATCACACGGCGTTAGCCTTTGGTTCATTTTGTAAGGGTTTATAACAGAATATTTATACTTGCAAATATCTAAAGGAGTTTTCAGAATAACAGAATATTCAAAAAATTCTGTAGTAAAATATGTTTTTGTGTGTAAAAGAAATTAGGTTCAATAAAGAATTGAATTTTATGGGACGTTTTTAGTTGTTGTTTTTAAAGCACCATAGAAGCTATCCAGCAGGGCAGAATGGGTTAACTTTATTCTTGCAGAGACTGAAAAGATAACTCCACAAGGATTCTAATACTTACGAATGCTTAAGAGCATCGTGTATTTACGTTGGAGAATTAGCATTCATTTCATTTATCTTTTGGGCTATGGAGTCCTACATATGCCAACATATATGTGCCTTTCCAAGCAGCTTTACACTTGTCAGCATATAGGATCACTGTCGTTATTATATTTCTTTCTTTTTAAAAAATGTGTAGCTGATTCTATAAATGGTGATGTGGAAATACTGAGCTTAGGGGCCAGGCTTAGCACACTGGGTTAAACCGCTAAGCTGCAGGAAATCCTGCTGATCTAATGGTTGGCAGTTCAACCCTGGGTTGGGGTGAGCAGCCATCAGCTCCAGCTCCCTGCCCACCTAGCAGATTGAAAACAGAAATGTGAGTAGATAAATACATACTGCTTTAAGCAGGGAGGTAATAAAAGGTGCCCATAAGGACATGCCAGCGATTCATTAAGGAACATGCCTAAGGATGACAAAAGTCCTCAGCATGGAAGATGGAGCAACAGCACCCCTCTGTGGCCAGAGTCAAGCACAGCCTCCAGATGTCGGAAATGGAAAAGATGGGAAAAGCCTTTATCTCTTTTTATGTATTGTCTGATTGTTACTTGTATAACACCATTGAATGTTTGCCATATATGTGTTCTGTCATTTGCCCTGAGTCCCCTCGGGGAGATAGAGCAGAATAGAAATAAAGATTATTATTATTATTATATTATTATTATTAATAATAATAATTTGTGTAGGTTAGAAACCTATCAGTCGAATCTTCATCTTGGTTCTTCTCTCCTCGCTTTCCTCCCTCCCTCCCTCTCTCCCTCCCTTCCTTTCTCTTTCCATAATTTTATTTTCTCTGTTCAGACGTTTCTTCTTCCAGCCTTTGCAAGCATAATCTGCATAAGTAATCATTGGTCATACACACATAAGCCTGAGTTTTAGTGTTATGTCACCTGTTATTCTTTCCCCATCCTACGCTTTTCCTCCCTTTCTCCTAAATTTCCTTCCCTTTTATATTCACCAGAGCTTCAGCCACCCACATTCCAGTATTCCTGATCAGTTTCACTGACAACGGAATTAACACCCAAGACAAAATGTAGAAATTTCACTCCAATATAGTCACTTGTCTTTTTCTTGAAAAGAAGCCAATTTAGTGTCGAAGGTGAACATGATATACTATGTAATGTTTAGCTGTCCAAATAAAAAACTAAAAGTGCCACTGTTTTGTGGACTTTGGTTTTTGTTGTATTTTGCTGCTGGGCCAACACAGCACTACACCTGAACATTTTTATTTACAGTATTTATATCCCGCTCTTCTCAGAGCAGGGGACTCAAGGCAGCTTTACAGAACACACATACAGCAAACTTTCAATGCCGATTATACAATAACAAGACAGACAACACAGCAGAGGTAAAAGGCAGTTTCCCCCATCTTATTTCTGGCATCTTGGAGGCTGTGCTCGACTCCGGGCATGGGGTGGGGTGGGGGGGTGCTGTTGCTCCATCTTCCATGCCAAGGAGCTTTCCTCTGATCGATGTCCTTAAGGGCCCCTTTATTACCTCCCCGCTAAAGGTGACACCTATTTTATCTACTCGCATTTCTGCTTTCAACTTGCTAGGTGGACAGGTGAGCTGGGGCTAACGGTGAGTGCTCAACTCCGACCTGGGTTCAAACTGCCCAGTGTTGTCTGTGTTGTCTGTCTTGATCGGCAGGATTTTTCTACAGCACAATTTAGACTGCTATACTAGGCAATTCTATTTCCTAAAACAAATAATAGAATCATAGAGTTGGAAGAGACCTCATGGGCCATCCAGTCCAACCCCCTGCCAAGAAACAGGAAAACTGCATTGAAAGCCACCCAGCCTCTGTTTAAAAGCCTCCAAAGAAAGAGCCTCCACCACACTCCAGGGCAGAGAGTTCCACTGCTGAACGGCTCTCACAGTCAGGAAGTTCTTCCTCATGTTCAGGTGGAAGCCATGGTTTCACGTCCTAGTCTCCAGGGAAGCAGAAAACAAGCTTGCTCCCTCCTCCCTATGACTTCCTCTCACATATTTATACATGGCTATATCTCCTCTCAGCCTTCTCTTCTTCAGGCTAAACATGCCCAGCTCTTTAAGCTGCTCCTCATAGGGCTTGTTCTCCAGACTCTTGATCATTTTAGTCGCCCTCTCCACTTCTGACTCTTTTAATATTTCATTGCAGTTATGCAAAATGGCAATAAATGACCTCTGACCCACCTATTAACAGAAAAGCAGTCCTTTAGGCAAACAATCACCAGGTCACAAACACACAGATTGCTCCATTTCAAGCCACATGTATCCTGTTGCTATTTTCCTGCATTATTCATTCAAAGTGGAACAAAGTTGACTTCAGTGAGCATAGAGTTGTTTTGCTTGAATGCTATCATAGCAGAAAAGCTGAAAAAGCAGACATAGGCAGCTGGACGTAGATAATTAATTAGGAAATAAAGCTTAGATTTCAGCACAAATAAGCAGGAACCCGCAGGAAAAGGAACCAAGATCTCTTCAGTCTTCAATAGCCATGAAACTAATTATCTTTGCATTCAATATTGCATTGCCTCTGATGTTTTTAAATACATATGCATACATATACCCATATGTCATGTTTTATTGTACTCTAACCATTGGTTTCAAAGAAAAGTCTCATTGTCTTGCAAATAGCACTTTATTTGTTAACAGACACTAAAAACCACCTACATATGACATTCATTGTGAGAACCGAGCAATGTCAACAGTACTAGTTTTATAAAAGTCCCACATGCAAAATCCCCGTTCAGGTAAAAAAACACAACCTGTTTGTCGTTTCATCACTCATACATCTCAGTCCTTTAGTCTAATGCAGGCATCAGCAAACTTCGGGCGTCCAGGTGTTTTGGACTTTAATTCCTGGCCTCAGGCCCCTTCCTTTCCGCTTTAGCAGAAAAAGAAATTATTATTAAGTTATTCAAGAGGAAGGTTAAGCAGCTGGGGGGGGGGGGGGGGGGAAAGGGCGTGAGGCCAGGCATTGTGGGTGTTGAAGTCCAAAACACCTGGAGGTCTGAAGTTTGCCCATGCCTGGTCTAATGCCTATCTATCATAAAATATTCCATCTCCTCAAGCTCTTCCATCCTGAATATAAACAGTCTTTCATTGCTTCCTTTATGCTTTGATAATTCTAGCCAAATGCTTTGGTCAGATGATCTCCTCTAAACCTTGTATGTTTCTATATAGCCTATACACAATCCTTGTAATGGTTCATATTGACATTTATCGCATTATCTTCTAAGGAGTCGTGCCATTACATTCCCCCATGATCAGAACCCCCCCCCCCAAAAAAAAACATTATCAATACTTGTTACAGTTTAGGCTTATCTGGGTATTTGGCATGAGAAGCCCCAATTAACATAGGCACCTTAATATTATTCGTATTTACCTATTGACACTGAAAGGAAAAATGCTTCCATTTTACAAGACAAAATATCAGGCGCCACAAAATGCTGGTGTCCATCTATTGTCAGTGGTGGTTTGGCGGGGTTGCCACAGATGATCCCCTGGTGCTAGCATGAGTAAACTGAAGTGGAAAGCTAGGTGCAACTTTCTATAAGTCTTAGGAAAATCCAGTCCAGCAATTACTTCATTTATCAGTCTTTTGAACTGAAACGGGCCAATATATTTTGGTGTTAATTTTTGGCAGGCTGTCCACGTTTAAAATATTTTGTGGCCAGATATAACCTTTCTCCTGGGTTTAATATCCCAACCAGCAGCCCTGTTGTCTGACTATTTCTTCAATTGCCTGGTTAATTGCCAGTCAAGCATTTTTGATCCATGCCATTCATTCTTGGTGATCTCAGGAGTCTGCAAAGAATGGAAATTCTGTCCGTATACAATCTCAAAAGACAAGTGACCAGTGCTTGTGCATACAGAGTTTTTGAAGGCCTTTTCTGTAAATTGTAACAACTCTAACCAGTCATCCTGCTGAAAATTAACATAGCATCGCAAATATTGTTCCAAACTCTAATTAATCCAATTCCAACTGCCCATCAGCCTGAGAGTGGAAGGCTGTGCTGAGGGCTTGTTTTCTTCCCAACAATCATGTAAATGTTTTCCAAAATTTAGACTCAACACATACCCTCTATCAGATAAAATATCTTATGGACAGCCATTATTTTTTATAGCAAACCCCTTTGCAGAAGCATATGAAAAGTTTGGCCTCTCAATGAACATCAAGAAAACCAAAGTGCTCTTTCAGCAAAAAGCACCAGTCAATCCCTCTGCAAGGCTAGAAATGCAGCTTAATGGTGTAACATTAGAAAATATGGACCTTGGTAGCCACCTCTCCACAAAAATCAACATCGACACCAAAATACACTACCACCTGAACTCTGTGAGCGCAGCATTTTTCCTGAATGAAGCAGAGAGTGTTTGAAGACCGGGACATCCATAGGGAGACCAAGATGCTTGTCTATAAAGCTATTGATCTCCCAACCCTGCTATATGCCTGCAAAATGTTAACCGTCACACTCAACTCCTGGAATAGAGCCCCCGGGGGCGCAGTGAGTGCCAGCAGGACTCAAGACCGACAGGTTGCAGGTTCGAATCCAGGGAGAGGCGGATGAGCTCCCTCTATCAGCTCCAGCTCCTTATACGGGGACATGAGAGAAGCTTCCCACAAGTATGATAAAAACATCAAATCATTTGGGCGTACCCTGGGCAACGTCCTTGCAGACAGCCAATTCTCTCACACCAGAAGTGACTTGCAGTTTCTCAAGTCGCTCCTGACACGACAAACAAAACAAAACAAAACAAAACAACCTCCTGGAATGATTCCATCAGCATTGACTCTGAAAAATTCTGCAAATCTCTCGGGAAGACAGGTAGACAAACATCAGCATCTGGAAGAAGCAAAGTCCACCAGCATTGGAGCCATGATCCTCTGCCATCAACCCTGCTGGACTGATGGCTATCTTGTCCGAATGCCTGATCACCATCTCCCAAAGCTGTTATTCTACTCTGAACTCAAGAATGGAAAACTGAAGGTTGATGGACAGGAAAGGGATTTAAAGACAGGCTTAAAGCTAACCTTAAAACTGTGGCATAGACACTGAGAGAGAACTGGGAAGCCCTAACCCTTGAGCGTCTAACTGGAAGTCAGTTGTGACCAAGAATGCTGCGGTATTTGAAGAGGCACGAATGGAGGGAGAAACTGGTCAAGAGGAAGAAGGTGCCTCAAGCCAACCCTGACCAGGATCGTCTTCTGCCTGGAAACTGATGCAGTCCCTGTCAAAGAAAGAATAGGCCTCTACAGCCACCCACTGACCCACCGCCAAGACCCTGCACTTTGAAGGCAATCATACTTAGACACAAGTGATTGCCGATGATGATAACAGATTTCAATAAACAATTTGGCTAACTGTTGCGCATCCTGCAAAGCTTTACATGGAATGAAATTAGCTTGCTTTGAAAACAAATCTGTGATTACCCAAATGTTTTCCCATTACTTGGGAGACATTATGGCTCATGGCCATTTCACTACTGCGTCCTAGCTGGCCAAGGAGCTCAACCTGGCCATATAGGTGCCCTATTCTGACATCAGCAGAGGTGTCCAAATGGCCAGGGAAAAGGAGGGGAGATAGCCACCTTTCTTCTTGGCTGTTGTGCAGGCATCACACTCTGATGTCCACAGACTAAGGCCTGTGTCCAGCTAGGAATGGCAGTGATAGTGACATGGAGGAGGAGGAGGGGAGAAGTGGATGGGCTCCTGGGCCACTGAAGAACGGCTGGCCCTGGATTGGGCATGAATCAATCTATCACCAAGATCAAACTGACTGTGATTGTCACATTAAATCTGTTGCACAGACCAGTACAAATTACAGAAAATGAAAAGCACTCAACTAGGATTCCAGCACATGCCTATAATTTCTTTTAGTAAATCTTCCAAGGCAAATTATAGGAAAAGAGAGTCCAGTTAAACACTAGGAAGAACATTCTGACACTGAGAGATGTCTGACAGTGCAGAATGATGCCTTGGGAGTGAGGCGGAGTCTCCTTCTTGGGAGCTTTTTACACAGAAGCTGGCCATCGGTCAGGAGTGCTTTGATTGTGTATTCCTGCATGACAGGGGATTGGACTGGATAGTCCTCATAATCTCTTCCCTTTTTTGGAAATGGTCTATATTCAAAAATACAGAAAAAGAGAGAAAATACAGACTTACAAAACAAGGCAATAGGACAGTGATTCTCAACCTGGGGGTTGGGACCCCTGGGGGGTTGCGAGGGATTGTTAGAGGGGTCATCAAAGACCATCAGAAAATATAGTATTTTATGTTGGTCATGGGGGGTTCTGTGTGGGAAGTCTGTCCCAATTCTATCATTGGTGGGGTTCAGAATGCTCTTTGATTTTAGGTGAACTATAAATCCCAGCAACTACAACTCCCAAATATCAAGATCTATTTTCCTCAAACTCCACCAGTTTTCATATTTGGGCATATTGAGTATTCATGCCAAATTTGGTCCCCCAAAATCCCCTCCAGTATTCAGATTTGGACATGTCAGGTATTTGTGCCAAATTTGGTCCAGTGAATGAAAATACACCCTGAATATCTGACATTTACATTCATAACAGTAGCAAAATTAGTTATGAATTAGCAACGAAAATAATTGTATGTTTGGGGGTCACTGCAACATGAGGAACTGTATTAAGGGGTCATGGCATTAGGAAGGTCGAGAACCACTGCAATAGGAGAAAATGAAGAGTACGACAAAGCAAAGCTGACGATGGTCCACATCACTGTAGGTGTCTGAGTTTGAGCTTTAGAGGCTAAGATTTCAAAGAGAAGTATGACACTTAGGATGCTCTACTGTTTGGACAGCCCCCTAGAAAGTGGCTTGAAAAGATGGAAGGCTTACATCCGCACTATGAAAAAGCAGCCACCTAAACAATGGAAGTTTAGAGTGGAAAATACATATACAAAAATATAATGGTTTCTAGTAAAATCTGATTTGTAATACCCCTTTCGGCAAGCATGCTTTCTAGCTATTAGGCGACTGCCAGGATTGCATCAGTGTTAGTGGGAGCAACTGGCACAGTTCCTGCCAAGGCTTGGATAGGCAAAAAAATCAGAAATTCTCTTGAGAGGTAGACATTAAGTCTAGAATCAGGAAACATATGGATAGACATGTATATAGAGAGAGAACTGTACAAGACCCATTCTGTGGTTCTAGTTCATATCATTTCCCAAATGAAGAAGACTGTGAAGTCCGTAGAGTCTCTCTCTTCATAAAGCTTCTTCACTTTTCAAACACTAAAAGACCCACTTCTCCGGTCAATCACTTGAAAAGATCTTGGTTTTTCTGCTCATGTTCTTTAGTCCACGAATGGCTCCATTTCAGACTGTGGCTGGTATATCGCAAGGAGCTTGATGCTCTTTCCGCACACCAGTGCCCGTAGGTACACAAAAACATACAAATACCAAACTCCTGGCTGGCAGATACATGCCAAGATGTATTTGGGATGAGTTTGTGTAGGTTTTGGAGAGCAAAGGAGGCTAGGGAAAAACGTAGGGAAGGGATGGCTGACATGCCCAATGCCTTGCTTTGGGGTTTTCCATTCTTTCCCCTTTCTTCTCTTCTTTGTTCTGTTTTTCCCCTTCCCCTTGATCATATGCAAACATCTGGGGGGGGGGGGAGGCATATTGACCCCAAACTTTGAAACAAATGCATGGCCTTCTTCTGTGTTCTCAGGGAATTGCTATCTTGTCTCCAAGGACTCCAGATATTCCAAGGCGATCTCATAGCAGAAGTGGTACTGTTCCTAAAAGGAGGAGGAGAAAAGAAAGACAGCAAACGGCTGGTCTCTTGTTCTTCCAAATTAAGTGTAGTAAATAAATAAATAAAACTGTGGCATTTAAAATTACTCTTTCTATTTGTACATTTTGTAAACCCAAAAATGGGTCTAACTCAGGGGTCCACAAACTTTTTAAACAGAGGGCCAGGTCACAGTCCCTCAAACTGTTGGAGGGCCGGATTATAATTTGAAAAAAACATGAATGAATTCATATGCATACAGCACATATATTATTTGTAGTGCAAAAAACACTTAAAAGCAATACAATAATTAAGATGAAGAACAATTTTAACAAATATAAGCTTATTAGTATTTCAATGGGAAGTGTGGACCTGCTTTTGGCTTATGAGATAGGATTGTTGTTGTTATTGTGTGCTTTCAAGTCGTTTCAGACTTAGATTGACCCTGAGCAAGGGCCGGGTAAATGACCTTGGAGGGCCGTATTCGGCCTCCGGGCCTTAGTTTGAGGACCCCTGGTCTAACTTGTGTATTCATTTAATTTCCTCATTGGCCCTGGATCAGCCCCTTTTGGAGCCCCTGGTGGTGCAATGGGTTAAAGCCTTGTGCCAGCAGGACTGCTGACCAACATCTCAGCAGTTTGAATCCAGGCAGAGTAGGTTGAGCTCCCTCTGTCAGCTCCAGCTCCCCATGCGGAGACATGAGAGAAGTTTCCCACAAGGATGGTAAAACATCAAATATCCGYGCAACGTCCCCTGGGCAACGTCCTTGCAGACGGCCAATTCTCTCACACCAGAAGCGACTTGCAGTTTCTCAAGTCACTCCTAARATGAAAAAGCCCCTTTTATAGGACTTTCAAGACCCATACATGTGTGTAGGTGCCACTGTTTTGCACTTCYGGTTGGCAACTAGTTGGGATTAATCAATAGGATTCAGGCCTCTGTATCATGCACTCAGACGGGACTTATACAAATGGAATCATGATTTTTAAAACTCAGAAAACAAGGTTAAAGTAAGACAGGCCTTGGCCATGTCTTTCTTCTAGTTTTGCATATGCAAGCATTCTATTTGTTACTTATTTTTGATTGTGCACGCAGCAGAATGGTGTGATGTGGATCCCTCAGGAATACAGGCATGGCTCGTCTGACCTCAGTGAGAATCAGTAATTCTCTGCTATATACAAATATAGTGCCAGTTTGGGGGAGTTTCAATTTTCTCTCTATAGCAGGCATGTTAGGAATTGTGGAAGTTGAAGTCCAAAACATCTGGAGGGAGGGCCAAAGTTGGCCCATGTCTGTGCTAGATCCTCTTAGGCTCTTAATTAATGACGCTCCAATAAGAGCAAAACTGTGTTTACTCCGAGGGTGGCTCACCATGCTGTGCCTCACAAAATAGATTTGCGAGTTCAACTGAGTTTGGGGAAAAAAATGTGTTCTGGTTGAAAACCCTAATGGCAATCTAGCTCAATAGGCTGTGCAATTCTATGCATTTTAATGGTTTGAATTAATTAAGCAGTTCTTAATTCTTCACACCTACACCAGTTGTAAGGGCTCCGCTTCCTTTCGATGCAGTCATACCAAAAAGACACTTCATTTTGAAAAAGGAGCAAGTTTACAATACAGACTTGAGAAAACTGCCAACCTTCTTTCTCCTCAGTTCTGTTACTGATATATCTCCGACTCCCTGACAGAAATGTCCCCAGTGTTGTGGAGGAACAAAGCATTCCCCTTGGGAATGATACTTCCTAAACGGAACTATTGTATTTCCAGGCTGCAAACTGGCCCGAGATTTGTAAATCTAAGAATCTGGGTTTGCTGCATAAGGAATTACACTCCAACGACTGCAAGGTGCTCCCGTCATTGGTCTGTACATAAAAAGCAGTGAGTCTGAAGCATGAGACTCTTCTACCTGTGGAGACTTCCCATATAAGCCGTCTCTTTTATGTATATTATTTATTGCAGTCAATGGCCAGTAATTACAGAAGCAGTATAGGGAAGGTAAAGCATAAAGTAGGGCATTAAAATATAATATCTGAATCAAAAATAAGAAATAATGTTAAATATCAAAATTAAAAATAATGTTGAATATTTACTGTATATAGTCAAGTATAAGACTAGTTTTTCAGCCCGTTTTTTAGGCTGAAAAAGCTCCCCCCAGTCAAGTCCTTCTATGTCCCACCTCGGAGTTTAAGATCTTCTGGGGAGGCCCTGCTCTCGGCCCCACCTCTATCACAAGTGAGGCTGGTGGGGATGAGGGACAGCGCCTTCTCAGTGGTGGCCCCTCTCCTGTGGAACTCACTCTCCGGGGAAATTAGGTCATCAACATCCCTCCTCTCCTTCAGAAGGAAACTGAAAACATGGCTATGGGACCAGGCCTTTGGGTAATCTGGCAGACTGACAAGGTAATGACGACCAGAATTTGGAAAAGGACTATGGTAATGCTGAATGGACTTACGGATTTTAGAACTCGGTGAACGTTGGCCACTAGATTGGCTTTTTAGTTGCTATTGTATTAATTGAATGTTTTAACTATTGTGGTTATTATTGTTATGTATTTTATCTGTTGAATTGTTGGCATCGAATTGTACCGGTTGTAAGCCGCCCTGAGTCCCCCCTAGGGGGTTGAGAAAGACGGGGTAGAAGTGCCCGAAATAAATAAATAAATAAGGTTATTGATTATTTTACTTTATTATTATTATTATTATTATTATTATTATTATTATTATTATTACTATTACTACTACTATTATTACATTTATAGGTTAGCTTTATTATTTTTATTATTATTACATTTATTATTTTACTCTATTATTATTGGAAGGATATGTAAACACATGTACATTGAAGAAGATTAGAATAATGGTTTAGTCAGAGTTGGAAAGTCTTATCTTACAGTTTAATGTAAAGATTAATAAACAGTCAACCTACTGATGCCTCAATTAATGTAATTTTATTGATATCTATTTTTATTTTGAAACTGACCCATAGCTGCTGCATTTCCTATCCTCCATTTATACTCGAGTCAGTAAATTTTCCCAGTTTTTTGTGGTAAAATCAGGTGCCTCGGCTTATATTCGGGTTGGCTTATACTCGAGTATATACGGTATATTGCAGGGATTAAAACACACATAAAATGGTGAGCACCTTTAACACTTCCACATTATCCTGGGCCAACAAGCTAATGCTGCTGCAGAAAAACTTGGCTGTAATCTCAGAAAACTGGTGTGTCAGCCAAAAGGGATTTCCAGAATTTTCAGATAATTGTTCAGGGCATTTTCAAGATCAGAGAAGAGAAACACTGCCACTTACAAAAGTCTCAACCATATTTGGCTTGTAGTTTCGCAGGATCTTTGCAGAAAAGAAAACATCCACCAGTTTGTGGCACTTGATCATTTCGAGGATCATGGTGCAAGCACAGAAAGTGCCGCTACGACCGCCCCCATTCCTGTGGACAAAATCAAAGGCATGGGGAGGATCAACACACAGAAGTGGCCCATCTCTCATAAGCCTTGCCACCTGATATGAACAAAAGACAGGACAAGAACATGATGGAATCTAGAAAAATGTTGCAAAATCAACGGAAAGATTTTCACTTCCTCATTTTTTACACAAACTTAAATCTTAAAGTCTTTGGATTCTCATGATAAACTATATTGTTGGTTGAAGTTAGCTGGTAGATGAGGATAAGACCTCTCTGTCTGAAAAGACCAGGTTTTGGGCAGATGACACTTACAAGCAATGCACAATTGTCCTTCCGCCACCACTCTTCTCTTGCCATTTCTCCACCTGGGCTAATAAATGCAGGAATGATTCCTTAGAGTCAGGAGTCTCTCGGTAGGCAGACCACCGCAGATACTGAAAATGTCGGATCATCAGATGGCCTTCCTGTAACTAAAGGAATCCCATAATTATTGCTTTTCAGAAGTTTGCTTAAAGAAGCAGAAATGAGAACTACGTGGGATACAAGGAAGGCATATGTCAGAGGTCTGTTTATACAACAAAATGCAGAAGTTGCTCCAAATGTTCAGCAACGCTTTCCTAACATAATGATCTGCAAAGTTTGCATTTGCTTTAGCTTTGTCATATCATAGGTATGCGTGCCAGTCAAATCTCAGATGATTTCCCTCTCAATTTAATAATAATAATACTAATAATAAACAACTTTATTTATACCCTGCCACCATCTGCCCCAAAGGGGACTCAGAGTGGCTTAAATGAGGCTAAGCCCAGTGATACATTACAGCAACATAAAATATAAACAACAAAATAACATCACAATAAAATAAATAAATAAATCAAGAAAAATAATCAGTACAAAATAACATAATGGAAAATAAAACACAGTGGGCGGGCCAAATGCACGACATAAAATGATAAAAATCTGGATGAGATAGCAATGAAAAGGTACATTTAAAGGGGAGGAGCTCGTAGGGCTCCTCCCCCACAAATCTACCTTTTCATTTAACAACTTTTCATTGTTTTTTCTTTCAACGTTTATTTATCATATCAAGAGTGAACCAAGGGTACAGTTGTAATGTATTTAAAAAACAAATAGCCCCACCCCCGCAAAGTTTGATAACTTGGCATTATATTAAATGTCCTTTGACCAGTAGCTGGCCACTTGGAGTGCCTCTGGTGTTGCTATAAGAAGGTCTTCCACTGTGCATGTGGCAGCGCTCAGGTTGCATTGTAGTAAGTAGTCTGTGGTTTGCTCTTCTCCACACTCGCATGATGTGGACTCCACTTTGTGGCCCCATTTGTTAAGGTTGGCTCTGCATCTCATTGTGCCAGAGTGCAGCCTGTTCAGCACTTTCCAAGTTGCCCAGTCTTCTGTGTGCCCAGGAGGGAGTCTCTCATTTGGTATTAGCCATGGCTTGTGGTTCCAGGTTTTAGCCTGCCACTTTTGGACTCTCTCTACCAGTATATTCTTGTGACATTTTCAATAATGGTTCTATACTGTTCTATATTGTCTTCCACGATTATAGAATCATATAATCAAGATTACAGAACACCTCAAGCTCCCCCGACAGATGGCCATTCAGCCTCTGTTTAGAAGCCTCCAAAGAAGGAGCCTGCACCACATGGGGCAGAGAGAGAGTGCCACTGCTGAACAGCTCACACAGTCAGGAAGTTCTTCCTCATGTTCAGGTGGAATCTCCTTTCCTGTAGTTTGAAGCCATGGCTTCATTGCATCCTAGTCTCCAAGGAAGCAGAAAACAAGCTTACTCCCTCCTTCCTATGACTTCTCCTCCCATCTCGATCCATGGCCCTCATCATGTTTCCTCTTAGACCTCTTCTGAAGACTAAACATGTCCAGCTCTTTAAGTCGCTCCTCATAGGGCTTGTTCTCCAGACCTTTGATCCTTTGAGTCTCCCTTCTCTGGACACATTCCGGCTTAGGGTCAACATCTCCCTTCAATTGTGGTGCCCAGAATTGGACACAGTGTGATTACAGGTGTGGTCTGACCAAGGCAGAATGCAGGGGAAGAATGATTTTCCTGGATCTAGGCACTAGACTCCTACTGGTGCAGGCCAAAATCCCATTGGCTTTTCTAGCTGCCACATGACATTGTTGACTCATGTTTAACTCATCCACAAAGACTTCAAGATCTTTTTCACACGTACTGCAGTCAAGCCAGGCATTCCCCATCCTGTCAGGATAGTTGACCACTTTATCTCTTCTTTGTGCCTGTTTGGTCAACTGTTGACAGAAGGCTTTGTCGAGTTTTTCATCCTGACTCCGAGGACTGTAGTAGATGCTCATGATATCTTTTTGAGTCCTGGTTCCCTTGATTCTTATGCAAATGTTTTCAAGCTGGTTTCTCAGATTGCAGTCTTGTATCTCTTCTGTGGCGTAACTGTTTTTGACATATAAGGCTACTTCCCCTCCTCTCCCCTTTGTTTTGTTCCAGTGAAAGAGGTTAATGCCTTGATGTCTACGTTCTAATGATAAGCGTCATTCCACCTGGTTTCAGTAATGCCTATGACATCGTAAGTGTGGTGTTGTGCTAAAAGTTGAAGTTTGCCTTGTTTATTTCCCATCCTCTGTGAATTAGTGTAAAGACACGTAAGCCCCTGAGACCTTCCCCTGAGCTGTTTATTTGGGATTATTGTGCTCTCGGTACTTGGTCCTTGTTGTGCTTGTGCAACCCTCCATTTTGTTGGAAATAGCAACTGTCTCAAGCCTCCACTAGTTATTTGTTATGTATATAATTGCTTACTGTATTTTATATGTGTGTGTTGGTTTGCAATTTTACCTTAACTGTTTGCAGTAGGAGGGGCTGTACACCATGTGATTTGAACTGGGCTTGTTCAGAGCTCTGACTCGATTTTAGAAAAGCAGAAGCCATTAAACAGGACAGTTTAGACTTCAGTAGAGAAGTATGCTTTAGAGACTTCAGTAGAAACAGTATGCTGTACAGAAACCATTAGGCTCCATTGGACATGGACTATTGAATCTAAGAAAGATGCCCTGTGTTACCTACACAGAGAAACTACTTCAAATCCTATCTGTAACTGGATTGATAAGCAAAGAATCTATATGCTGTATACATGAAGTTTGTGAGTAAACCTACTATGCTATTTTTAAAGAAGTCTACTTATTTTTGTCTGAGAGCCTGATTTAAAGGCAAATATATTTTAAGAGAGAGTACATTTTTTGGGCAACTAAAAGGAACACTTCTGAAACTCTGCTGAATATATATATGAATGCTGGCTAATGCCATTTTCCCCAAAAGGTTATGACTCTAACAGGTCATACTTTTACCAAGAGGTTATGGCATCTTTTTTCCAAAGGCTGTGACTTCTATCAAGGTCACCCGTTTTCAAAGATCATAAAATCTCCCAAAGGTTCTGAAGATTTCAAATTTCCAAAATGTTTAGCCTTTTGGCAGTTCCCTGTGGTCGTGGCTAGTGTTTGTGAGGCTGTTATCCCCCTCTCCCAGTGGACCTAATTTAAAGTGTGCCTGATGAGGTTTGCAAGTGCTGTTGTTTTATAAATTTGACCTCGTATTTAGTCATCCTTCAATGACTTCTCTTTTGCTAATATTCCTCATCAAAATTTCCACTGAGAGGATAAGCAATAGTGGGGAGAGTGGGCAACCTTGTCTCGTTTTCTTCTGGATTTTGCATGAGTTCGTTAAGTCTCCATTTACTGTAAATTTTGAATACTGATAATTATAAATTGATTTTATCCATTATATGAAGCTGGTCCCAAAATTCATCTTTTCCGTTATGGATATAAAGAATTTCCAGTTCAATTCATCAAAGGTTTTTTCAGCATCCAGGAAGAAAAAACACTTGCTTTTTTTTTCTCTCTCTCCCCCCCCCCCCCCCCCAAATCCATTTAAGAGGAACGGAGAAAAGTACAAGAGTTTCTCACCCGTGTTATGTTTTGTACTCGGAAAAGACGAGTAATAACATCTTCATCAACTGCTCTAGAGATGTACTCCACTTCCATTGGTCCGTACTGCTCCAGTCCTGACTCAGGCCAATACTGGACACAAGGCTGCAAGGAGAGAAACAAAGCATTATGAATACTAGAATACAATTAACTGATTACACTACAAGAGTTGGAGAAATAAAATCCACACAGTTGGCACTGTTAAAACATACGTGTAAGACAAAGTCTGAGTTGAGCAGAATCTTCTGTCACTTGTCATTCTGTGATGAATTTTTATATATAATTCAACAGGAAACAATATAATCTGCCAAGCAATTCCTGGCTTGCCTTGCAGACAATGTCATTGCCCAGAAGGTGGAAGAGGCAGCAAGAAGATAAGTATTTTAGATCTGACAACCTGGTGAATAGGGTTACTTGGGAATGATTATGTTCTAGAGTTTGTTATACAGCAAGAACAGAAAAGTGAAGCATAGCCAGACATACATTCTAGGCTTTCATTCTGCTTTCATTCAATATAGGGGGGGAAATTCAGGGTGATTCCATGGTCAGGTATACTAAATGAGAAAGGAGTTCATGATGGATGAGAGTTTCTGAAAAGTGAGATAGTGTAGGCACAACTAAAACAGCGAAGAAGATTTCCTTACAGGACCAACACGCATGGAAATAGGATCCTATATCTTCTCCACATTTCCAGCATTTATTATTTTGATTTTTGTAAAATCTTGCTACTTTTTCCGGGGTTAAGTGCCATCGGAAAAACATTTTATACCAGTTTTCATTTATATTTAGTGATCTCGAATATTTTAGTTTTATTTTCCAAGCCCTCTCCCAGTCTTCAAGAAGGATGGAGTGGCCAACATCCTTTGCCTCATTTAATCATGTTTTCTTTTATTAATTCTGTCTCCATATTCCATTCAAGAAGTTTTTGATAAATTGTCTTTATTGGGGTTTTTTCTCTTCCATTATTGTATCCCAGCTAGACTCTTGTGTTGCAAAATCCTCTTTTTTGTCATCCTTAAAGGAATCCAGAATTTGTCTGAATTGAAACCAGGAGATATTGTGGCCCTCGTCTTAATTCATTGAGAGTTTTTAGAGTCAAAGTATTGTTTTGCTTTTTGAGGAGTAGTTTATAGGTAAGCCATTTTTCTGGGGGATCTCCCTTTTGTGATATGCCTCGACCGGGGAGAGCCATAGAGGGGTTTTGTTGTAAAATCTTCCCTTATACTTCTCCCAGATTTTTAAAAGATTAAAGACAAAATTTAATCTTAAACCAGAATATTACTTATTGAACGAAACAAATACCGAGTTTGATAAAAATAAAGACAAAGTATACTTTTATTTGACGACGGCAGCAAGATCCCTCCTAGCACAGAAATGGCGTTTAAAAGAAATTCCATCAATCGAGAATTGGTTTATAAACTAAAATACTACATGGATCTAGACTCACTAACATTTCTACTTCAAGATCAGACAGAGAGACACAAGACGGACTGGTCATCCTTAAGAGAATACTTGAAGAAACAGAAGTTTAATTAGCTAGAGTAAAATGAAATAAGTCAACGAGAAAGGAAATTGGATAAGTTATAAGATGTGAGAGCACAAAAGAGGAGCAGATGAAGAATATTGAATCTGAACAAAAATATTACTGGAAACTACCCCCCACTGACTGTCTGCCAGTAAGACGAATCCCTCTTACCCCCCCCCCCATCATTTTCCCCCTTACCTTACCTACCCCCTCTTCCCCCCCCCTTCCTCACTTTTTCCTACATTTTCCTACTTTCCTAAACACCCGATTGTTTCCCCTCTTTTACTGTATTTTGAAAAAAAATACAATAAAAATAATTTTAAAAATAAAACAGCGAAGAGGAAAAAGAGGAGATGTCTAAACAAACCAGACCGGATTTCTAAGAAACTTTGAACTGAGCTAAGATTTAAAAGGGAAAAGTACAAGAATGAGAAGAGGCAGAAATCACCAAAGAGAAATTCAAACGGATAGTCAGAAGGTATAGGGAGAAAGAACAGATTGAGTTCAGGCTTGTTAGAGAGGTTAAAAACAATAAAAGGAGCTATTTGGTTATGCCCACAGCAAAAGGAAGAACAAGGAAATGCTAGAGTCATAAGTGATGGTGAAGTGCTAACAGGGGACAGAGAAAGGGCAAAAACCTTTGAATAACTTCTTTGCTTCGAGGTACCTTCTTTGCCAAAAACTAAACATTTCTCAACTTGGGGATCAATGGTGCAGATGATGCAGTAGGGTAAGTGCAACACATGGAGGACCTTCTTGCAGCAACACCAGAAGCACTCCAAGTAGCCAGATACTGGTCAAAGGACATTTAATCAACTGCCAAACTCACAAATTTTGTATTTTGTCTGTTTGTTTGCTTTGTTCTGTTAGAAATGTAATATAATAGGCTGGTTGCCCTGACACGACAAATAAAATAAGTGCAACACAGAATAGGTAAAGAGGAGGTACAGGAATACCTGGCTACATAAAATGTATTCAGATCTCCAGTTTCATATGCATTATATCCAAGGGTATTAAAAGAAGTGGCAGAAGTACTTCCAGAAACGCTAGCCACCATTGTTGAGAATTCCTGGAGAACAAGAGAATGTCCAGCAGACAGGAGGAAGGCACATTTTGTCCCCATCTTCAAAAGCAAGGAGGAATGGACCCAAACAACACCGTCAGGATGGCTCTGTCAAACACAGGTGTGCAAAGTCTGTATACTATTGGTATGCATCGCAAACAACCTAAATTGCCATATGAATTTTAAATGTGCATCCTTTGTTTAATCTCTGTTTTGGTGTATTTTAATATGTATTTATAGAGATAAATTTTAGTGTGTAGTTTTTATAGAGGTATGTTTTAATATGTGCATTTGTGGTGTTTTTGTGGTGTTTAAATTGTTCTGTAACCCACCTCGAGCCATGAGGAGAGGCGCTGGTTAAAAAAAAATAAAAAAAATTTACAAAATTTTACAAAAACTGTCCAGACCCTCCTAGAAAACCGCAGCTTCCATGTGGAGCTTCAGGGCAGGAAAAGTAGATGGAGGAGGCAAAAGAATGGTTTACCCCAAGGCAACGTTCTTGCAACAACCTTATTTAAATATTTGCTAATGATCAGCCACAACTTCCATTCACAAAGAGCTTTATATACACTGATGACCTTGGCCTAACAACACAAACTTTGAAACAGTTGAAAACCAACTTATTAATACCTTAAAAGATCTCTCCAGCTACTTCAAAGATAACCACCTGAAGCCTAACCCTGCCAATACACAAGTGTGTGCTTTCCACCTATGGAACTGTGAAGCCAACAGGAAATTGAAAGTTACCTGGGAAGGCCAATACCTTGAACACTGTTTCCACCCTAAATATCTTGGCATCGCCTTAGATCGAACACTAACATATAGGAAACACTGTATGAACACCAAGCACAAAGTAGCTGCACACAATAACATCCTGCAGAAACTTACTGGCAGTACATGGGATGCAGACCCAACATTAATAAGAACATCAGCCCTGGACTTGTGTTGCTCTGCTGAGTAAGCCTGCCCTGTTTGGCAGAAATCTGCCCAGGGGAAGCAAGTGAACACAGCACTGAACAAAATATGCAGAATAATCACAGGATGTCACAAACCTACACCTGTTGATAGACTCTACAAGCTACCTGGCATTGCCCCCCATCCCGATGTGTGATGGGAAGTTGCTGCTGAGAGAAGTAAGGTTGAACACTGTGCAAGCCACCCATGGCATGGCTATGCACCTTCTCCCAGAAAACTCAAATCAAGGAAAAGCTTCATGAGAACCAACACTCCTCTAAATGTTCCCCCAGCAACAGCAAGAGTCTCCCTCTGGGCAGCTAAACCAGGAAATCCCAACTGGATGCCCCCCCCCCCCCACAAGCCTGTTCCTCCCCTAATAATAATAATAATAATAATAATAATAATAATAATAATAATAATAATAAATAAAACTTTATTTATACCCCGCTACCTTCTCCCAAAGGACTCGGTGCGGCTTACATGAGGCTGAGCCCACAATACATCAATACAAGCAATAGCAATTACAAAACGAAACAAAATACAAATACTAATACAAAGCAATTAAAATAAATCTCATACACAAAATAGCATAAACATTGAACAGTGGCACAAGACACATTTAAAAAAACTATGGCTGGGCCAAATGTAATTAAGTTAAAAATAATGCTGGGCATGAACAAGATAGAGGAGGTGGGGCGTTGGTGGAAACGTACAAGCAGTCCTAAATCAGTATAAAGTGCTTTTAGAGGACATAATGCTAAGGGTTCATTATTCTGGGAAGGCACACTGGAACAACCACGTTCAAGCTCCTCCTAAAGACTGCCAGAGTTGGGGCATGCCTGATGTTCTTAGGGAGTGAGTTCCAGAGTCGAGGGGCCACCACCGAGAAGACCCTCTCTCTCGTCCACACCAATCGCACTTGCGATGCAGGTGGGAGCACGAGTAGGGCCTCTCCAGATGATCAAAAAGATCGTGTGGGTTCGTACACAGAAATGCCAAACCAAGAATGGGCAACTTGGAAGTCCCTGAAGAGACTCAGAATCGGAGTTGGAAGATCAAAAGACAACCTGGCAAAATGGTACGACCTAGAAGAATCCTCCACCTTGTGTGACTATAGAGCAGAACAGACAACTCTGCATCTGTATGCTTGTCTGCAGTGTCCTGCCTCACGCACAAAGGAAGAATTGTTTGAGGCTACATATAATGCGGTTGATGTTGCCTGTTTTTGGTCTAAAATTATTTAGCTGCTTGTGCTTCCTTTATTTTATCAGTTTTATACTTATTTATTTATGCAATGCTTTTGACATGAAATAAATACATCATCATTATCATCATCATTATTTGAAACACCACAAGATGAGTCCACAGCAGACACTCTGCTGGCTGTTGTATTGGATCACACGTCAGACACTTCCCAAGTGTCTAGGACTGTGTGATGTATTGGCGAATAATGCTTGCAGATCCCAGTAAGGTGGCCTTTTTCAGCTGGCAGATGGTAATCTTGTCAGTGCCGATTGTGTTTAAGTGCAGGCCAAGGTCTTTAGGCACTGCACCCAGTGTGCCGATCACCACTGGGACCACCTTTACTGGTTCGTGCCAGAGTCTTTGCAGTTCGATCTTTATTATTATTATTATTATTATTATTATTATTATTATATAGAGGAATTTAAAAAAATAGATTGGCAGTGCAGTCCTATGCAAGTTTACTTCTAATTACATTAGGCTGTTTTGATAAGTTCACTCAAACGACATATGCATACAACTGTAGCTCTAGTTTTTCTTGTGCATTTACACCAGCACTAGCAGACATTCAGTGAAGATGCACAGGCCATTTATTTCTATATTTGATTCCTGCCAGCATTTGAGAGTGCTATGAAGTATTTCTGCACTGTGCTTGCACTTCAAAAAAAGACTAGCTGTAGTTAAAAGGCTACTGAGCAGATTCACTCTAAATTAGTTGAAATTATATTCTCACTCATCCTTAATGGTGCTCACACAGCTCCTTGTCACTCACCCAAGCCGAATTGGACTGGTTGAGCTGGTTGAGCATCACGATGGAGGTGCAGCCATAGTCATACACCAGCCTCCAGAAGTCTGTGGTGGTGCTTTGAAGTGGGTGCAAGGTCACAATGAAGGCAGAACTCTTTGTGTAGCTCTAAAGGAAAACAAAGAGAGCAGCACATTAGAGGCATGCATCACAACAAAGAACAATTCTCTCCAAGGGTGATTGATAATTGTTCTTTTGAACACTTGATAATATAGTGCTGGTAACCCAAGTATCACCCATCCTATTATCTGTGCATTTAATTTTGTGAAAAAATATAGAATATTTGCCTCTGTTGAATGTCATTTTATTTTATTTTATTTAGTTTCTTAAAGTTCTTTTTAAAATTCTGTGCCCATCTTCCAATGCAGTAGCCAGGCTGACGTGTGCCTTTCACCTTAAGAACAGACAAGCATCCCGAGCTCTGAGGATGACCTGGGAAGGAATCCCACTGGAACATTGAAGCACCCCCAAATACCTGGAAGTCACTCTGGACCATGCTCTGACCTACAAGAAGCACTGCTTGACTATAAAGCAAAAAGTGGGCGCTAGAAACAATATCATATGAATCCCAACCGGCACAACCTGGGGATCACAACCAGACACAGTGAAGTCATCTGCCCTTGTGCTTTGCTACTCTGCTGCTGAGTATGTATGCCCAGTGTGGAAAACATTTCCCCATGTTAAAACAATGGATGTGGCTCTTAATGAGACATGCCAAATTTTTCACAGGATGTCTACACCCTACACCTCTAGAGAAATTATACTGTTTAGCTCATATTGCACCACTTGATATCCACAGGGAAGTAGCAGCCAATAATGAAAGGACATCTTTCAGTGACATCTCTGGCCCATTCTTTGTTCGGATATCAGCCAGCAGGCCAATGCCTTAAGAAATAGCTGGAGGGAGGGCCAAATTTGGCTCAATCTGGTCTTAAAAAATACACTTACATCAGTTAAGGCTGCATTGATGTAATTGTTGCTTTCTCCATCCATAGAGATTAAGAAGGGGAGGCACCGGTCAGGAGGCAGTGCATCCATGCTGCGATTCTTTTCCCGGTTGCGTGGCAAAAGGGCGATGCTGTACTCCTCCATATCCAGGTGGGGAGTGACAGAATTCAGAGTCTGCTGGACGCAAAGAAACCAGGTTAGGCAGCATTTCATAATTCCATGGAGTGGAGAGATTAACAGAAGCTGCGGGTCAAGGTGAGCTCCTGCTGTTAGCCCTAGCTTCTGCCAACCTAGCAGTTCGAAAACATGCAATGTGAGTAGATGAATAGGTACTGCCTCAGCAGGAAGGTAAAAGGTGCCCATGTAGTCATGCTGGCAACACAACCTGGAGAATCTTCAGACAACAGGCTCCTTGGCATGGAAATTGAACAAGAGCACCTCCCCATGGCCGAAGTTGAGCACTGCCTCCAGACGCGAGATGGAAAGGGAAACCTTTGCCTTTGTTTGTGTATTGTACATCATTGTTGTTACTGTATAAAAGGCATTGAATGTTTGCCTATATATGTGTAAACTGTAATCTGCTCTGAGTCCCCTCGGGGAAATAGTGTGAAATATAAATAAAGTATATTATTATTATTATTATTATTATTATTATTATTATTATTATTATTACATATATGAATGGGCAAACTTCTTTTGCATTACTGGTGATAGCATGAGGCCCAGGCTGTTTTTAGGAAAGGTGATGACTTTTAGGAGGAGTGACAATAGAGGTGGCAGATTATGTTTTACATGAAAAGTATTCCAGGTTTTTAATTCTTGTTTGACTTAGCCCTAAATATATCACAGGCAAATTCATCACCGAAGAGTTACTTGAGCCCAGAATATATGTTCCTAGTCACTTCTATTATTGTGAAGTGGTGGTGGTGGTGGTGGTGGTGGTAGAGGAGGAGGAGGAGGAGGAGGAGGAGGAGATAAAACATCATTGTATCCTGCCCTATCTATCTCCCCAATGGGGACTCAGGGCAGTTCACAACATACAGCAGCAAACATTCGATGCCATAAAGTGCCACCAAAAAAGCAAATAAACAAACTGTAAATCAAATAATAATATATTAGGCATCAACATCAGTCAATAGTGAAACATTACAGCAAATTAAGCATCACACAACTAAAAATTCACATTTTGATGAATAAATATTTAAAAACAAGACTTAAAAATTGAGTAACAAGCCATTTCCACATTCCATTCCATTTTGTTTGTGCCAAATGTTTTCTATGTCCTCTCTCTATGCTTGTGAGTGTAACAGGAAATGAAGAGTAACCCACTCTTTGGGTTTAATCCATCGATTGGCTAAAAATCCACCTGCAATCATATCACTGTTGCTAACTGCTGTGAAGATGGCTTTAATTTTTGCTATTACTCTGAAAGGCAAACATCCAAGACAACTTTCCATCAACTTTCCATGTCTTACCAACAAAGAGATATAGATTCATTTGAGCTTGTTCACCTATCATAGTTTTCCTCCTCTCCTACTGCCTTCGACTTTACCAAGCATTATTGTCATTGCTAATTAATTAATTTTAAACTTTTATATCCCGATCTTCTCTACCTCTGCAGAGGGACTCAGACCGGGTTGCTTTTTGTAATGTCCAAAGTTCAATAGCCTTGGTCTAGCCGGAGTGGCTTCTATAGCTAGTTCAGGTATGATTTGCTCTTGAACCCATGTGCTGGTCATTTGAGCAGTCCTTCCATCACACCTATAGAACTCTCCTCCAGAACCACATATCAAATGAGTTGATCGTCTTCCTTTCTTCACTGCCTAGCTTTCACAATGATATGACATAGAAACTGGAAATACAATGACAACTCCTATCATGTATATTCCAATCATGAGACTAAATCCACCAGTTTTCCTGATGGTAAGGTGATGAGAGGTAAGGTGTGTTCAAATAGATACAGGTTAGCTGATGAATAGTAAAGAACCCTCAATACTTCAGACTAAAGAGACAGAGGTGGGCAATCATGCCTGCTTTAGAAGGCCATGATCCAAGAAACCAAATATGTCCTGATGAGACCATATTGAGGAGCCAGTTGTTTACCAATCTATCAATCCCCAGCCCACATTCTTCAACAAGAAGGAGCAAGTAAAGAGAGTATTGAACTTTTCATAAAAATATTGGAAAGAGTCTGTGGACTAAGAAATTTTTGTTTACATAAGCTTTCTCAAACTGCAGCCCACTTCATCAATGCAGTCCATGAAAGCTGCAATGAAATAAAACGATTTGGTCTTTTAAGGTGATACAAGATGCTTTGTTGATGTTGCTGCAACAGATTGAAACAGCAAATCCGCTTGAAGTTGTTCACGGAGTTACATAGGGAAATAAGTATGTGCATCACTGATTGATAATGTGCCCCCAACCCCAAAGACAAAGAAACATAAAGAAAAAGACTGATAATATATGGCAAAGTTAGAGAAATAGGACGTGATATTTTAAAATGGTAAAAGGCCACAATAATTTCTTAAAAAATCTTCCCTATACTGAGAGAGAATATTGGTACATCTAGCACAGAACTGTCTGCAATCACTGGGAGAGGGTGCTCAGGATTTAAAACAGGCATCTTTATAAATGCTACTAGGAACTGAATATGGTCCTGTTGAGAAGCAGGAAGTGCGAATTACTGCTGAGCTTGCAATTCAAATTATCTAACCACAAAATCACCTAACCACACAGACACACACACAAACAAGCAAGCAACAATAACAACAACTGAGAGCTGGAATAATGCAGAGGCCACGATGCTGGACTGGGAAGATCGATTTGTAGATAGACTGAAATATGCAACCATTATGGGGATAAAATGGAGAGGAAGAAATAATGGATTGTCCTTGCGCAAAGACATGAAACAATGTGGCCTTCTCTTGGTCCTCAGTAGGTAGCAATTTACCAACGCCTTTATGCAGTGACCTGCTATTTCCTTGTTCTTCTTCTTGCTTCCAAGATAGCAAAAAATCTATTCTGAGCTCTGCTGCATGACTTGTTTTACTTTTTTTCCAGTCAGAGCACTGCTTTACTGTGGATTCAAAGCAGAATCTACAGTGTCTTCCAAAATAAAAAGACAGTGCATTCAGAGGTAATTGATCGAAAGACCCTTTGTGCTTTTCTTACTGCTTCCTCACACATAGAAGACATCAAAAACATTAGAATTGTAAAGTCATAGAATCATAGAACCATAGAGTTGGAAGAGACCTTGCGGGCCATCCAGTCCAATCCCCTGCCAAGAAGCAGGAGAATCGCATTCAAAGAATCCCCGACAGATGGCCAGCCAGCCTCTGTTTAAAATCCTCCATAGAAGGAGCCTCCACCACACTTTGGGGCAGAGAGTTCCACTGATGAACAGCTCTCACAGTCAGAAAGTTCAGGTGGAATCTCCTTTCCTGTAGTTTGAAGCCATTGTTCCGCATCCTAGTGACAAGAGACTCCCTCCTGGGCACACAGAAAACTGGGCGAATTGGAAGGTGCTGAACAGACTGCGCTCTGGCACCACGAGATGCAGAGCCAACTATGGGGCTACAAAGTGGAATCCACGACATGCAAGTGTGGAGAAGAGCAAACTACAGGCCACCTGCTGCAATGCAACCTGAGCCCTGCCACATGCACAATGGAGGACCTCCTTGCGGCAACACCAGAGGCACTCCAAGTGGCCAGATACTGGTCAAAGGACATTTAATCAATTACCAAGCTAGCAAACTTTGTGTTTTGTTTTGTTTGTTTTGTTAAAAAATGCAATGCAACTGTTTGGTCTGCCCCTGACACAATAAATAAATAAATAAATAAATAAATAAATAAATAAATATCTCTCTTCAATTGTGGTGCCCAGAATGGGACACAGTATTCCAGGTGTGGTCTAACCAAGGCAGAATAGAGGGGTAGCATGACACTGGATCTAGACACTAGACTCCTATTGATGCAGGCCAAAATCCTATTGGCTTTTTAAGCTGCCATTTTGGCTCATCTCTCTAATTTTGAATTCTGCTCCTGTCTTCTGGAGTATTGGCTATCCCTCCCAATTTGGTGTCATCTGCAAACTTGATCATGCCTTTTAACCCTTTATCTAAGTCATTAATAAAGGTTTTGAACAGGACCGGGCCCAGGACAGAACCCTGCGGCACTCCACTCATCACTTCTTTCCAGGATGAAGAGGAAGCATTGGTGAGCACCCTCTGGGTTTGTCCATTTAACCAATTACAGATCCACCTCACCGTAGTTTTGCCTAGCCCACATTGGACTAGTTTGTTTGCCAGAAGGTCATGGGGACCTTGTTGAAGGCCTTACTGAAATCCAGGAATGCTACATCCACAGCATTCCCCGCATCTACCCAGCTTGTAACTCTATCGAAAAAAGAGATCAGATTAGTCTGGCATGACTTGTTTTTGATAAATCCATGTTGACTATTAGCGATGACCGCATTTGTTTCTAAGTGTTTGCAGACCACTTCCTTAACAATTTTTTCCAGAATCTTGCCTGGTATCGACGTGAGGCTGACCGGACGGTAATTGTTTGGGTCATCCTTTTTTCCCTTCTTGAAGATTGGGACCACATTGGCCCTCCTCCAATCTGCTGGAACTTCTCCCATTCTCCAAGAACTCTCAAATGATTGCCAGAGGTTCTGAAATGACTTCCACTAGTTCCTTCAATACTCTTGGGTGTAGTTGATCTGGCCCTGGGGACTTGAACTCATTTAGAGCGGCCAGGTATTCCTGGACAACTTGTTTCCCTATTTGGGGTTGGATTTCCCCTATTCCTTCATCTATTCCATGTTGCTGAGGTTGAGGATGGCTTTCTTTTTGTGCGAAGACTGAGGAAAAGAAAGCATTAAGTAGTTCTGCCTTTTCTCTATCCTCTGTCAACATTTCCCCATCTTCTCCTCGAAGAGGCCCTTTCGCCTCCTTGTTCTTCCTTTTTCTACTGATGTAAGCAAAGAAGCCCTTTTTATTGTTTTTAATGCCCTGGCAAGTTTGAGGTCATTTTGCGTTTTAGCCTTGCGAACCTTCTCCCTACAGGAGTTGGTTATTCGTTTGATTTCTTCTTTGGTGATTTCTCCCATTTTCCAATCATAAGAGTTTGGCAGTGGGACTAAAGTTTGGCAATGCTAAAGCCCAATGGATCAGGCTTTAGTACAGCGGGTTAACTGCCAGCTGCAGAAAATCGCGCCAATCGAAAGGTTGACAGTTCAAGCCTGGGTCGTGGTGAGCTCCTGGCCATCAGCCCAGCTTCTGCCCACCTAACAGATCGAAAACAGCGATGGGAGCAGATAAATAGGTACCGCTTTGGCAGGGAGGTAATAAAAGGCGCCCATGTGGACATGCCTAACGGGAGATCATTTACGGACAACAAAAAGCTTCTCAGCATGGAAGATGGAGTGACAGCACCCCGCCCCTCCCTGGGCCAGAATCGATCACAGCCTCCAGATGCTGGAGATGGAAAAAGATGGGGAAAGCCTATACCTATTTTTATATATTTTCTGTCCTTGTCACTTGTGTAACGGCACTGAATATGTGTTCTGTAATCAGCCGAGTCCCCTTGGGGGAGATAGAGTGGAATATAAATAAAGTATATTATTATCATTATCATTATCATTATTATTGACACAAAAGCACAGTATGTCACAGCAAACAAGATCTATATTATTATTATTATTATTATTATTATTATTATTATTATTATTATTATTATTTGGATTTGGTAGATGCCCAGAGATGTCAAGCCTTGATTCCAGGCCTGCAAATATGGTCATTTTCTTGTTTAGCTCACATAACATGAAAGGGTAGAGATTTGAGAGTTGCACAGTCTTTATAATAATAACTTTGTTCGTATATCCTGCTACCATATCTCTGAAGGGACTCAGGGCGGCTTACACATGGGACAGTACTGCAGCTCAATACTGGAAAAAGTTTTAAACACTGGCAAGTCATACAGTTGATGCCCTTGACTGGAAATAAGGTTAGATCTCAACCCAAGTGGATGTCCCTAACTATCCTGTAAACCATATGCCAGTTACCATATAAGGCTTTTTCTGCTTTTCTTTTGCCTCAACGGGCTTATCATAAATGTACACACTGGATTATTTACTAGATTTAGAAGAACTCCCAGCTTTCATTCCCTCACCTGGAACTCTTCCCTCAGCTGTGACGAGTTGCTCTGTGGATCTATCCTAACCATTTCTTTGAATGTGGATCTGAATTCACCAATAGGGATACTGGTTTCTCCACACAGGCAAGCCTCCAAGATTGCATCATGGATGAAGACATATTGCTCCTTTACCAGAAGTGGAAAAAAAAACACATCGAAGCATTAGGTACATATTTTTTCAAGAAAATGTGTTTTAAAATATCAACAAATCTTAGTACCATTGTTTGTTAATAATAAAAGGTGACAGTTTCCTTATAATAATTAGAAAGAAAGAAAAATAGCATTGGCTATTGGTGCTCGTTAAAAACTCCACTGTAATTCATGCAATAACTTCACAGTGGTCTTAAAATTAGTGGATTTTTCAGCTTTAGTGGAGTTGCAAACAGCAATCAACTTTAAGGTGAATCGGAACATGTCACAATGCAATAAATAATGTGCAGTAAATAGCAATCGTTGCAATAATAAAGTGCAAATTTAAACCAAACAAGAGTGCCGGATTCAATAAGTTTTAAACGGTACAGAGACATGAATTTGAGGAGTCAGATCAGAGGACCGAGGTAGAGGATAGTGTGATGAAAGGCTGTATTGGCTGAAGCTCAAGCATCCATTCTATAGCGAGAGATAAAAGTCAATGGATTTGACCAAGTGGCAGCTCAACAAATTGAGTCCAGAGGGACCTCATGGAGCAATGCTGTAGAACTTGCCACGGCATGGGGCGGTTGTGGTTGGGTGGGTCTCTCTGGGTTGATTGGGAACAGAGTTTGATAAGAGCAGCCACCCATCAAGGTAGTCGTTATGTCAATACCAGTTTGCCAATTCCATGATTGGCAAACCAAACAAACAGTCTTCATCAGAAAGCTTGGCAAAAAAGGGGGCAGCCTTTTCCAATAAAAAGTCCTGGTAGGCTCCCGTACATGCCGTGTAGTTTGCCATTCAAACCAGTAAGGCGACTTCTGAATAAAGCTTTTGACCGACCAAGTTGAACTTCTTACCTTCCCTGTCTGTAGGTTTGATGAGGAATGGGAGGCTTCCATAATGATCCAGTTGGGGAGAGGGGCCAGAGAGGGGCCTTAATAACACTTCAGGAGGCAATGGAGAAAAGGAAGGAATGCCACTGATGGGGCCTGGTTCTAGAGTGGGTCATCCACTGTATCCAAGGTCTGTTTGATTTTGAGGCTGAGAACTACTGCCATGCAAAGACTTGCTCTTTACATCCGTGGAGCTTATTCATCAGGGAGAGTGGCTCAAAGGTAGAGACATTCTGGGGAAATGTCCATATTGACCAATATTACTGAGGCCACGGACTCAACATTGACAGATCCAGAGGAGTAAGTTTAGAAGAAACTGAGGTGGTGGAGATGGAGGAGGTCTTGCCTTCTGTAGTGAAGCCCTTCTGGCCAGGAAGGAGAAAGCAAGGGCTGAGAGTGTGGTGAGCAGAATATCAATTCTGCACTGTGCTATGATGCCTCTTAGTGGTGCCTGACTGAGGAAAGAGCTCTTGATGGCAAGATTCTTCCAGAGGGGCACGGATGGGGACTGGACCCTGGAAGGCCACCTGCTCTGAGGCTCAAGGGGTCTAGAACCTCTCCATCTGAGAGCATGGAGTAGTCTCACATGAGTTCTGGCAACACTTGGGTAGAGGGTGGCTACCCACCATCTGGAGCTTGGCAGGGAGGACTGAAGCAGAGCCTGCAGGTGGCTGTCCTCAGAGGAAGAGGAAAGCAACAATAGGCTCCTTCTTTGGTCAGAGTTCTGCTTCATAAGCCATGTCACAATTTGGGGGAATGGAAGACCTTATGGATTTGCCCTTTTCCACCCATGCTCATTTGCTTCTTCAAGGGAAGATTTGAGGGTGATCCCCACTGAAGATGAGGATGGGGGCCTGCTAAGATCAATGGGTGGACATCTGTGTTGGGAGGGAAAGGGGTGCTCGAGCCTGGTGGGTCTGGTACTGGGGCGACTTTCAAAGGCTTTCATGGCCAGAATCACTAGATTGCTATGAGTTTTTCGGGCTGTTTAGCCATGTTCCAGCAGCATTCTCTCCTGACATTTCGCCTGCACCTGTGGCAAACATTTTCAGAGGATCTGTTGACAATGAAGCAAGTGGGTGTATATACCTGTGGAATAATGACCAAGGTGGGAGAAAGAAGAGAACTCCAGGAAGCAATCAATGGCCAGTTAACACCTCCCAAGCAGAGGATGCCTCCAGGAAACAGAGGCCAGACAACTCTATGCAGATAACTTCACTGATTGACTTTGCAGCTGCAAGACTACTCAATGCTATTCAAACTTGCTAACTGCAACATTCATACTGGCTTTAAACTGACAAGGGTTCTTTTCCTACCTTGGACATTATTCCACAGGTATATACACACCTGCCAACAGAACCTCTGAAGATACCATTAGCCGCAGATGCAGGCAAAACGCCAGGAAAGAAGGCTGCTGAACATGGCCAGACAGCCCAGAAAACTCACAGAACCCCAGTGAAGGAGTCTTCTCTGCCTTTCTCTTTGAGGCAACTGAGGGTGTTGAAGTGGCTTTCGAACTTGTGCTTGGTGCCACAGAAGCAGAAGCAGGCTTAAGTACTGACTGTAAAGCATTGCATGCAGCCTGGCTTACCTGTTCTTCCTGGCCCCATATGTCCTTCTCCGAGGCAGCTGGAGTGGCCGTCGGAGTCAGGCTTTTTCGCATTGCACTGAGTGCAGCAAAATGAAGAAAGGCAGATGTGTATATGATGTTGATGTATAATGTTTATAATTATTTTTTACTGTTTTAAATGTAATTTTTGAGTGTTTATATGTTGATAGCATCATATGATGCTTGTGTGAGACCGCCCTGAGTCCCCCTTCAGGAGGAGAAGGGCGGGGTAGAAATGCATGAAATAAATAATAACCCCAATCACCAGGGTGATAGTTTGCTGAAGTTATAAATTGTAAAGTTGTTATTAAATATTTAATAATATCAATATTAATATCCACAGACCACTCCTTTTCTAATCCTGCCACAAATAATATAATGACCAAACTCACCTCAGTCTGAATCATGTTGATTCTCCTTGAGCACAGCGTCTTCACGCAATTGTAAATATCCACAACGCCCTCACATTCGGCCATATCCAGCATCACATCCAGAACAATGTAGCAGCCTGTCCTCCCAGTCCCAGCACTAGGGGCAGTTGGAGATGAAAGAGAAAGAAGGCCAACCTTTGAGTTTTATTCATTGTTTCTTTTTGAAACATTTTTATTTACCCACACAATTTACACCCCAGAACTGAACATGGATCTAACTGCGACTGGAAATCTGGAATGCAGGGCAGGCCACAAAAGGTGTGTTCCAAAAGGGAGAAAAGAAGGCCACTTCTGTAGTGGCCAGGCATGCCCTCGTGTCTTTCAAACTTCAACTGCACTGGTCCTTGAGCTGACAGATCTGGCTAGGGTGGTACATCAAATACAGTTAATAATAATATATGTCTTAGTTACATTCTATTTGGATCACTGTCATACTTGAGTCTGTGTTTGATAAGCTTTTGGAAACTTCAGTTTCACCCCAAAATGTAGTCAATTTTTTGGGGTTTTTTTTTTGTTTTTTTTTTTTTGTCGTGACAGGAGCGACTTGAGAGGACATCCAACCCCAAATTGGGAAACAAGTCATCCAGGAATACCTGGCCACTCTAAATGAGTTCAAGTCCCGAGGGCAGATCAACTACACCCAAGAGTATTGAAGGAACTAGCGGAAGTCATTTCGGAACCATTGGCAAGCATCTTTGAGAGTTCTTGGAGAACGGGAGAAGTTCCAGCAGATTGGAGGAGGGCCAATGTGGTCCCAATCTTCAAGAAGGGAAAAAAGGATGACCCAAACAACTACCGTCCGGTCAGCCTCACGTCGATACCAGGCAAGATTCTGGAAAAGATTGTTAAGGAAGTGGTCTGCAAACACTTAGAAACAAATGCTGTCATCGCTAATAGTCAACATGGATTTATCAAAAACAAGTCATGCCAGACTAATCTGATCTCTTTTTTCGATAGAGTTACAAGCTGGGTAGTTACAAGCATTGGTGAGCACCCTCTGGGTTTGTCCATTTAACCAATTACAGATCCACCTCACCGTAGTTTTGCCTAGCCCGCATTGGACTAGTTTGTTTGCCAGAAGGTCATGGGGGACCTTGTCGAAGGCCTTACTGAAATTCAGGTAGTGTCAATCATCAGTAGCTCATCAGTAAGGCCTTCGACAAGGTCCCCCATGACCTTCTGGCAAACAAACTAGTCCAATGTGGGCTAGGCAAAACTACGGTGAGGTGGATCTGTAATTGGTTACATGGACGAACCCAGAGGGTGCTCACCAATGCTTCCTCTTCATCCTGGAAAGAAGTGACAAGTGGAGTGACGCAGGGTTCCGTCCTGGGCCCGGTCCTGTTCAACATCTTTATTAATGACTTAGATGAAGGGCTAGAAGGCATGATCATCAAGTTTGCAGACGACACCAAATTGGGAGGGATAGCCAATACTCCAGAGGACAGGAGCAGGATTCAAAATGATCTTGACAGATTAGAGAGATGGGCCAAAACTAACAAAATGAAGTTCAACAGTGACAAATGCAAGATACTCCACTTAGGCAGGAAAAACGAAATGCAAAGATACAGAATGGGGGACGAGGCCTGGCTCGAGAGCAGTACGTGTGAAAAAGATCTTGGAGTCCTCGTGGACAACAAGTTAAACATGAGCCAACAACGTGATGTGGCGGCAAAAAAAGCCAATGGGATTTTGGCCTGCATCAATAGGAGCATAGTGTCTAGATCTAGGGAAGTCATGCTACCCCTCTATTCCGCTTTGGTTAGACCACACCTGGAATATTGTGTCCAATTCTGGGCACCACAATTAGAGAGATATTGACAAGCTGGAATGTGTCCAGAGGAGGGCGACTAAAATGATCAAGGGTCTGGAGAACAAGCCCTATGAGGAGTGGCTTAAGGAGCTGGGCATGTTTAGCCTGAAGAAGAGAGGGCTGAGAGGAGATATGATAGCCATGTATAAATATGTGAGAGGAAGCCACAGGGAGGAGGGAGCAAGCTTGTTTTCTGCTTCCTTGGAGACTAGGACGCGGAACAATGGCTTCAAACTACAAGAGGAGATTCCATCTGAACATTAGGAAGAACTTCCTGACTGTGAGAGCCGTTCAGCAGTGGAACTCTCTGCCCCGGAGTGTGGTGGAGGCTCCTTCTTTGGAAGCTTTTAAACAGAGGCTGGGTGGCCATCTGTCAGGGGTGCTTTAAATGCAATATTCCTGCTTCTTGGCAGGGGGTTGGACTGGATGGCCCATGAGGTCTCTTCCAACTCTTTGATTCTATGATTCTGGTGTGAGAGAATTGTCCGTCTGCAGGGACGTTGCCTAGGGGACTCCCGGATGATTTGATGTTTTTATCATCCTTGTGGGAGGCTTCTCTCATGTCCCTGCATGAGGAGCTGTTAAGAAATTATAATTTAAAAATTCATAATATCAATGATATAGAAATTATAGATGCATATACACATATACACACAACACACATATATATGAATATGTTTATGTATGTACAATACAGAAAGAGAGTGAGAGCAAAACAGACTGATATAAAAGAAGGCTAGACAGGTGAGTGGGAACAAAACCTTGAGGAAGTAAAGTTGGAGAGATCTGGCCTTCAGAAGCAATCAGGGAGAGTTCCTAAAAATGGGCTATAAGAATATTATCACTCTGAGTGATTATGGTTAAGCTTTCCACCATAAGAGTTATAGATGGAAAATACATTTGATTTTTTGTGTGTATGTCAGGAGCGACTTGAGAAACAGCAAGTCGCTTCTGGTGTGAGAGAATTGGCCGTCTGCAAGGACATTGCCCAGGGGACACCCAGATGTTTGATGTTTTACTATTCTTGTATGAGATTTCTCTCATGTCCCCGCATGGGGAGCTGGAGTTGACAGAGGGAGCTCAACCCACTCTCCCCGGATTTGAACCACTGACCTGTCTGTCAACAGTCCTGCCAGCACAAGGGCTTAACTCATTGTGCCATCGGGGGCATATATTTGAATGTAAATATAGAAAGAGGGAGAGAGCATGATAATGATAAAATGATATAAACACCTACTAATGATATTTTTTTTATATAATTAGTAGGTGTTTATACCTAAATGAAAATGGTAGAACTTTCTTGGTAGATATGAATAATAAATAATTTAAGTAAAGTTTTAATGTGAAATAATCTGTTATGAAAAAATTGGTTTAATTTCCATTGAAGGAGCACTGGAAAAGGATGTATGAAGCCCAGGAGACAAGGTGAGAAGACAAAAGAAGATACAACCAATGGATTTAACATTAAAATGGTTAGAATCGCTGAGCCTGGAACCCCAGGTTTCGGCGGTGACCAGGGGAGCATTCGCACAGTTAAAACTCGTGCGCCAACTGCGCCCGTACCTTGGGAAGTCTGACTTGGCCACGGTAGTCCACGCTCTGGTTACATCCCGTTTAGACTACTGCAACGCTCTCTACGTGGGGTTGCCTTTGAAGACGGCCCGGAAGCTCCAATTAGTCCAACGCTCGGCAGCCATGATACTAACTGGAGCGGAGCGCAGGGAGCATACAACTCCTCTGCTGCACCAGCTCCACTGGCTGCCGATCTGCTACCGGGCTCAATTCAAAGTGCTGGCGTTGGCCTTTAAAGCCCTAAACGGTTCTGGCCCAACTTACCTATCCGAATGTATCTCGGCCTATCAGCCCACCAGGACCCTAAGATCTTCTGGGGAGGCCCTGCTCTCTATCCCGCCTGCTTCACAGGTGCGGCTGGCGGGGACGAGAGACAGGGCCTTTTCTGTGGTGGCCCCTCGCTATGGAACGCCCTTCCCATGGAGGTAAGATCAGCCCCCTCATTGATGGTATTCCGAAGAAGATTAAAAACCTGGATGTTCGAAGCAGGCATTTGGTTAACTCAGTGCAATGAATGTAATGATTAAAGGACTGGCAATATGGACGACGAAACTGGATCCCTATATTAGTTAGGAGATGAATTGGATTGTTATTGATATATGAATTGTGTATTATGTTTTTTATGGTTTTTAAACTGTATACTGTTGATTGTTATATTTTGTTGTAAACCGCGTTGAGTCGCCGGCTAGGCTGAGAAACAGCGGTATACAAGTATAGCAAATAAATAAGAATCCTCAATATATTATGTAATATGTGTTAAAGTAATAGAGAGGAAGACTTGTTGTAACAATGACGTTATTATAAAAGAACTCTTCATTCCTCAACAACCTTCACCCTCTTTGTTTTCTCCTCACAACATACCAGACATTTGTAAAGATGGAACTAACCAACAATCTGGAAGTTTTTTCTAATGTTCAAGTGGAATCTCTTCTCCTGTAATTTGAAGCCATGACTCCAAGTCCTAGTTTCCAGGGCAGCAGGAACCCTTTCACATATTTATATATGGTTGTTCTCATGTCTCCTCCTCTCAACCTTCTCTTCTGCAGAATAAATATGCCCAGTTCTTTCCGAAGCTCCTCATGGGACATTCTATTTTAATATCTATATTCTGTAGGTTTTTAAATTGTAGAGTTTTTAAGATGGTAAGCTGCTCTGGGTGTCAGTCCTGGCATAAAGGCAGTGTAGAAATGATGCCTTTTGACAACAATTTATCAAAATTTAGACGTTTCTGGCCAAAAGAAGTTGATGTTTTAAAAAAGAATATATAAAACAAGTAAAGTGAAAGGTCCTCCCCTCTGAAGTTATAAATTTCAAACTAGTCCAATGTGGGCCAGGCAATGCTACTATTAGGTGGATCTGTCATTGGTTAAGCGACCAAACCAAATGGGTGCTTCTCCCCAATGGTTCCTTCTCTTCATCCTGGAAAGAAGTGACTATTCGGTGCCACGAAGAGGGTTCGGTCCTGAGCCCAGTTCTGTTCAACGTCTTTATTAATGACTTGGATGGAGGTTTAGTAGGTGAGCTTCTTATCAAGTTTGCAGATGGGACCAAACTGGGAGGGAGAGCAAATACTCCAAAGGACAGGATCAAGATTCAAAATTATCTCAACAGATTAGAGTCAATTGGCCAAAACTCATAAAATTAATCTCAAGAAGGACAAATGTAAGATACTCCACTTAGGCAGAAAAAAGGAACTGCAAAGATACAGGATGGGGGACGCCTGGCTCCACAACAGTCCATGTGATAAAGATCTTTGGGTTTTAATAGACAAGTTGAGGATGAGCAAACAATGTGATGCAGCAGCTGAAAAAGCCAATGAGATTCTGGGCTGCATCCAAAGGAGTCTAGTGTCTAGATCAGGGGTCCTCAAACTTTTTAAGTGGAGGGCTGGTTCATGGTTCTTCAGACTGTTGGGGGGGCAAACTATAGTTTGGAAAAAGATGAACCGATTCCTATTCGCACTGCAGATATCCTATTTGTAATGCAAAACAAACAAACATGAAAGACAAAACAATATTTAAAATTTAGAACATAAACTTACCCATCTTTTAATGGGAAGTGTGGGCCTACTTTTGGATGATGAAATAGACAAGTTAATTAGAATTGTTGTTGTGTGCCTTCAAGTCATTTCAGACTTAGGGCTAACCTGAGTCTAAAGTTTAGGGCAGGAGCCAGGTGAATGCCCTTGGAGGGCCGCATCCGGTCCATGGGCCTTAGTTTGGGGACCCCTGGTCTAGATCGAGGGAAGTCATGGTGCCTCTCTATGCTGTTTTGGTCAGAGCTCTTCACCTGGAATATCATTGTGTCCAATTGTGAGCCCCACAGTTTAAAAGAGAGTTTGACTCTAAGCTGGAAGGAGTCCAGAGGAAGAGAGAGACTCAAAGGATTAAAGGCCTGGAGATCATGAATAATCCCTCTGAGGAGTGGCTTAAAGAACTGGATGCGTTGAGTCTGCAGAAAAGAAGGTTGAAAGGAGACATGTACTTATATAAACATCTGAAAGGATGCCCAAAGGAAGAGGGAGAAGGCTTCCTTCCTGCTGCCCTGGAAACTCAATGGAGCCAGGGCTTCAAATGACAGTGAAGGAGATTCCATTGAATATTAGGGAGAACTTCCGGACTATAAGAAGAGCTGTTCAGCAGTGGAACTCTCTGCCTCAGAGTCTGGTGGAAGTTCCTTCCTTTGAAACTTTTAAACAGAGGCTGGGTAGTCATCTGTCAGGGGTGCTTTGATTGGACTTTTCCTGCATGAAGGCAGAAGGGGGTTGGACTAGATGGCCCATGTGGTCTTTTCCAAGTCTACTATTCTATGATTTACAAATTTGTACCATGGGCTGAGGATTCTGATTCCATTTATGCATATTTTTGCTCATAGCTGTAATTAAAAAGTGATGATTATTGCTACCATTACGATAAACTGTAGGGTAGTATGCTTGATTGTTACCTGCAATGAATAACAATAGGTCCTGCATCAGGAGGCGTAGAAGCCTTCACCCTGCGAATGAATGCCAGGAGCCCCGTCGCATGGTAAGGCACCCCGTGTTCAGGCCAGGATGTGAAGTGAAACTGCTTGACTTCATGCCTTGCTGAGTAGCCCCTCTGAAAAAAATATGGGAAGTTGGTGGGAAAGACATAGCATAGCCTGCATCCATTTCTGCAGAGAGATGGAGGCCAATGCTTCTGGAATTTCCATTTTTGGTTTTCAGTTTGGAAAAGGAAGCACAGTGTTACATACTATGAACAATATTCCTGCTTCTTGGCAGTGGGTTGGACTGGATGGCCCATGAGGTCTCTTCCAACTCTATGATTCTATGATTCTATCTCTTTTCTTTATAGTGCCATTGCTTTTTCTTCCTTTTTCCTTTACTTCTATAAACTATAACTATAAAATACAGGGTGAGGCAGCATAACTTCCTATTTTCAAAACTTAATAAAACCCATTGTATGAATCAGAAATTTTTATTTTTTTTATAATGTAAGCGCATACCTAAAGTTTTGTTTTACATAGTTTTGAAGATCAAATTAGGTAGGTGGCATTCCCCATTCTCCATACACTGAGTAAACCAATTTCTGGCGTTTGTCATGACTCTTGCCAGCATGTTGGCAATTTCTTCCTGGATGTTGGTCTTCAAATCTTGTAGGGTCCTTGGACAGTTCACATAAACATGGGATTTCAAAAAACCCCATAGAAAAAAAATCACAAGGGGCCAAATCTGGAGAGTGGGTCGGCCACTCCAAATCTGCTGGAAAAGTAGGCCTCAATGACAAAAGCATGCTCCTCACTGTTCCAACGGATGATGGCAACTGAACTGTGTCAGGACAAAACTTTATACTCCCGCTTCTTGAACAATACCACTAGCGCTCCGCTACGTCTTCAACCGACTGAATGGCGTGCATTTTAAAAAAGGAAATTATGCTGGCTCACCCTGTATATGAAGTAGAAAGTGTGTATGCACATTGACAAAAATCACCATTTTCACAATCTGAAGGAAAGACCAAACACATTCAAACAACTAGGCAACACTCTCAGAATTAAGCTGCACTTGCATGCTTTTGCAGTGTACACAGCCAGAGGTTCTATGGAGGAGAATCCTGTCTCTCCAGTAAGGGAGCACATTAAAGCATCACCACAAATACCAGTTTTTACCTGTGATGACACACAGCACGAAGTAAGCCTACAATATGTTGCTCTTGTTAAACAGTAGCAATAGTGGAACAGTGCCTAAAAACATCCACCTTGACTTTCATCCCAGAAAATATATGTTCCCATTCGGATGCTTCTCCATATGAACCAAAATAGTTCTGGGGAAGACACCTGGCAAATCTAACCTACTTCAGCAATATGTATGTGGGGCCAGGCTGTATCACAGCTGGTAAACCACCACTAGCAATAGATCACTGCCAACTGGAAGGTGGCAAGTTCGAAGTCAGAATGAGCACCTGACTCTTAAAGCCTAGCTTTAAAACTCTTAAAGTCCAAGTCAGAATGAGCACCTGACTCTTAAAGCCTAGCTTCAAAAACAGCTGAGCTGTGAGTAGAGAAATTAGCGGCTGCTTAAATTAGGGAGATATTTTACGACACCATAAAAATGCCAGCGATCAAATAACAAGGAGGAAATAGATCAAAATGACTCAACATCACAGTGGATGAAGCAACAGCACCCCCCTGTGGCTGGAATCGAGCATAACCTCCAGGCACTGAAGTTGGAAATGTCAAAATACCTCTGTCTGTCTGTCTTGTATGCCTAAAAATGGCATTGCTTGCCATGTATGTGTGCTTTGTGATCCCCTTCGGGGTGAGAAGGGCAGAATATAAATACTGTAATATATATATGGTGGACCATAAAATATTATTCTTATACAAAAATGTGACTTAATTTCAGTGTGACTTTTCATGAAAATGCATACTGACAGAAAACATGATGGGACTGATTTTGGATTCAGAGTATGTAAGCCGAGCATATACCAGACGTAGATGGATCCATCTGCAACATTTCTGCCCAGTCATGGAATAATAATAAGGAAGCCTTATATTATATTATTATTATAAGTCTTCAACAATAGAATAAGGATGACCTTATACATGAGTAGTACCCCATGTTCTTCCATGCATAGCAGAATAGAAAATTAGAAGGTATGGGCTGAGATGAGAGATAATTTGTAGCCTCTGCTCAGGATTTCACCCAAGTGAAACTGGCCTCTCAGTGTGAGGGTTTATTAAAGATAGCTTAGGTTTATAGTAATTTTCTCACAAACTTTGTGAATAGTTTCACCAGGGGGGAAACTATCATATAATGCTACCTTGACAGGTGTAGAATGAACAGTCAGGTAGATAAATTTGTGTTAGAAAGAAATGAATTGTATGAAAAATACAGTTCAAATGGACATGTGGTCATAGAACATGCCACTGAAAGGGTTAAGAGAGTGGAGATTTGATTCTACAGGGACAGTTGAGTCATGACCATGTGATAGGCATAATAATAATAATAATAATAATAATAATAATAATAATAATTTTGTTGTTCATTTGTTCAGTCGTTTCCGACTCTTCGTGACCTCATGTACCCAACCCACACCAGCTTTATTTATATCCCACCCTATCTCCCCAAGGGGAAGCAGGGTAGCTTCCAGCAAAATAAAACACAGTGGCAAACATTCAATGCCAGTAAGAACATATAACAAATCAAAAACAGACTCAATAAAAATGAAATAATAACTTGAATAAGCAAATGAAGTACATCCCAAAATTTAACCGCATAATAAGTTCTTAAAAACTCTATAAAATTCCACTAAAAATAATTGTTTGAGCTAAGATGGCATACAGCTAAAGATGAAAGTAGGTGTCCAGCAATTTGGGAGGGGTATATATAGTCCTCTTCCTTGCCGTACACTAAAGTTTTTAACAACTTTTTAACAAAAAGTTTTTAACAACTTTTTGAAGGAGAGGGGAGAAGAGGCAGTTTTTAATTCTTTAGGGAGGGAGTTCCAGCGGTGGGGAGCAGTCACAGAGAAGGCCCCCTCTCTCATCTCACCAAACGCACTTGAGACGGGGATGAAACCGAGAGTAGAGCCTCATCCTCTGACTGCAATGCACGAGATGGTCTGTATGTGGAGATGCAATTTTTCAAATAGTCAGGGCCTGAACTGTTTAGAGCTTTATAGGTAATAACCAGCACTTTGTATTTAGCCCAGAAGCAGACGGGCAGCCAGTGGAGCTGCTATAACAGCGGAGAATGACATGACATCATTTTCTGTGGCCCCTTTGGGTATATAAGGAAGTGGCAGACATGTGCAGATTTCCTTTGCCATGCAACATTCTTGCCATCTAGAACTCTTTGAATCATTGTATCGGTAATCTGTTGCTATCATGCCACATGTGTCTTGTTATCGTCATCTTGCTATGGTTGTGGGTATATCTCCATATATACCGACAGCAGACCTGTAAATAGCTGTATATAGAGCAACGACTGAAGAATAAAACCTCCAAAGGAGTTTGGATGAAAGCCAGAGCTCAAGTGTGTTTATTAAAGCGTTGCACTACAAAACAAGGCCAGAGGATGTGCTATAAATCTCTGCTGACTGTGATATAGACTCTGCAGTGTTTTGTATCGGAGCTAACTGCTTGCCTTGAGACATTCAGTCCCATGAGCAGCTTTATTTATTTATTATTTAAAACATTTAATTAATTTATTTATTATTTAAAACCCAAAGGGGACTCAGAGCAGAGCACAGCTAAGGAGGACCTGAGAAAATTGTTTTATGTACCGACCTAGCAGGGGTGTTATGTATGTTTACTTTTACCCCCACGGTAAATTTACTTTTACCCCTGCGTTGACATAAACAAGACTAATATAACATGGCTGACAATACAGTCACAGCCAAGAGGGTCCATAACTGGAAGTGTGAAGTGCTTACCCGCTCCAGAGTGAATGTCCTCACAACATATTCTGCCAGTGTTTCTGACGTCTCCTGGACAATTTTAATGTCTCCGTACACCTCTGAGTCATCTGGCCAGTATTTGGAGCACTTTACCTATATAAAATAACAAAAAACATATCATGATCTGTGTGTGCTTGTGGTCAAAGGCAAAAAGAAGCATCAAAGGAACTATCTGTAGCTACTTATTAAAGAAGAGAGTAGAATGAATCTCTTACCCTTCCCACTTCCACCAGCTTTGTTATCATTACGATGCTACAACAGTGCTCTTGCCATACCATCCTCCAAAAATCATAAACCATCTCCTGTTTGGGGCCTAGGGAACAAAGGGAGAGAATGGAAAAGCTACAGCAATGTCTCAGTTGTCAAAACAATTGTGGATACATCAAAATGAAGTGGCAGTATAGATCTGTCTTAGAATAGCTTCAGATGCTTTGTGCATTGGGAGGACTATGGGAGAGGAGGAATGGCTGCTATTGGTTGTGCATCTCAGTAGTGGCACATTCACCTGATCTTCTTGGTACTGATTTGCATTTTGAAGCAAAGCAGTATGAAAAGATAGCAGAAATGGTACTTAGTACTTGGTGCACAGTTGGCCATAAAAGCTGTTTTATTTATTTCTGTCGCAATCCAAGATTAGGAAGGAATTGAGGACTTGATTGTATTTTGTTTGTTAATTGTACACTGTTTGCTTGAACTGAGGGAAGGGAAAGAGGAAGGAGAAGAATAAAGAGGTCACGTGACAGGCATGGGATGGGCAAGGGCAGGTGGCCATGATTTACCTTGTGTTGCTATGAAGTGGTTAGATCTGTGATAACCCTGTGAAATAAGAAGATGATGTGTTATGGACCTATGAAAGAAAAACTCTTTGGTTCAACAATTAGTCCTAGATAATGCAAATAGGCAAGCCCTTTGGCCCAGTTTAAATCACATATCATTCATGAAAACTGGTTATTGTCTGAAACAAAAGCACAATTCTTAACAGAAAATGGATTTTTATCACTGCAATCTTTCCCAAGATGGACAACTCTAGAAATCTGTTTTAATTTCATTCCAAGTCTTCACATGGTGGCCATATTTCACTGATTCTAGATTAATCTTAGCATCGTTGGCATCCTAGAATCAGGTTATTTGAGTGCTGACAACTCCAAGCACGCAGCACTTCTCTTTCCTTCTTCCCCTTTCTGATGCAACCTTCACCGGCCAAGCTTGTGGCTCTATCAAAAAGTGTGGCATTCTTTCCTAACTATTTAAATGAGATGCTATAGAATCTTTCCCAGCATTGATGTCAGCCAACTGAGTGGTCATTAACTGGGCCCTCTTATTCACCCTTGTTGAAGATGGGGGCAACATTTGTTTTCTTCCAGTCTGCTGGAACTTCTTCTGTTCTCCAGTATTTTCTCTTCTTGTTAATTGTATAATTGTTGTAGTACAGCGTGATAGTATCGTTACTACTACCGGTAGAAGGGAGAAGAGGGCTGTGCAGGTGTTGGAGGAGGAGCAGCAGCGAAAGCAAATTAGAGACATATTCATGGCTCCAACTGATTCTGAATCCTTCGAGGGTTTCTCAGACTGTGAAATGGGGGAAGGAGAGGAAAGCAGGGGAGTTAAGCGGGCTACTCGCGAACAAGAATCTGATGAGGAGCTCCAAAGGAAGCGTATCCGTGATATACTTAGCGCTCCAACAGAAGATGAAGATTTTATGGGTTTTGAAAGGAGTGATGGGACTGGGAGTGACATTGAGGAGGAGGGTGATTTGGACTGGACCCGTGTACAGGAAATTAGGGATATCTGTACTCAGCCTACCTCCAGTAATGACTTTGAGGGGTTTGCAGAAGAGTGGCAATCGGGAAACACTTGGGAGGACCTAAGTCTTGACAGACGCTGGCAAAGGTGGAGAGATGGGAGCCAGTGCTCAGCTGCAGGGAGTGGGGCAGCTGAAAGTGATGATGAAAGGGTGGGGAGCAGTTTATCCTCTGATGAGGAGCTTTAGGATATAAGTTGGTTTGGTTTCAATGGGTCTTTGTAGAAGGCAAAGTGTCTTTTCGGGTGTGTATCTTTGTTCCTGGCATTACTCTCAAGCTTGGGTCCTTAGACTACAGATCTTCGTGTTTCCGTAACTTCTGGCTGATACTTCGTAAGTGCTGACTACAACTCTCCCTGTTTGACTAAGGACCGTGTTTTGACAACGACTACGCTTTTTGGACTGTTTCTTCTTACTTCGGACGTGCCTTTGGACTCTGATTTTGCTTGCTCCCACATTGTTTTTGGTGCCTTTTGGACATTTTGAATTACAAGCAGACTGCTGTATATTTTAATTATCCCAGATTATATTCCGGGATAATCCGGATTATATTTAAGTTGGGTTTTTTACGTAGCGGCTGCTATAGACTTTTAGTTTGTGCTAGAGACACTGAAGCAAGTGTCTCTAAAGCCTTTTTGTGTTCAATAAACCTGTGTTTGGACCTTTTATATTGTGTTTGGCATTCTTGAGGCTTCTGGGTCTTGACAATAATGGCATTGAATATTTACTGTATACATGTTCTGTAATTCACCTAGAGTCCCCTCGGGGAGATAGAAAGGAATATAAATAAAGATTATTATTATTATTATTATTATTATTATTATTATTAGAAACACAACAAGATGAGTCCACAGCAGACACGATCACTCTGCTGGCTGTTGTATTGGATCACACGTCGGACACTTCCCAAGTGTCTAGGACTGTGTGATGTATCGGCGAATAATGCGTGCAGATCCCAGTAAGGTGGCCTTCTGCAGCTGGCAAATAGTAATTTTATTAGCGCCAATTGTGTTTAAATGCAGGTCAAGGTCTTTAGGCACTGCATCCAGTGTGCCGATCACCACTGGGACCACCTTTACTGGTTTGTGCCAGAGTCTTTGCAGTTCAATCTTTAAATCCTCATATCATGTCAGCTTTTCCAGTTGTTCCTCTTCAGTCCTGCTGTCACCTGGGATTGCAACATCGACGATCCATACTTTGTTTTTTAACATGATTATGAGGTCAGGAGTATTATGCTCCAAAACTCTGTCTGTCTGAATCCAGAAGTTCCAGAGGAGTTTGGCGTGTTCATTCTCTGTAACTTTTTCCGGCTTGTGATCCCACCAGTTAGTTGTCGCAGGCAGATGGTAATCGTGGCACAAGTTCCAATGAATCATCTGTGCAACGGTGTTGTTGTTGTTATTGTTATTATTATTATTTTGATAACCTCAGATACAGTTCCTCTGGCCCTGGAGAATTGAATTCATTAGCTAGATGTTCCTACACTGCCTCTTTAGCTATTCTATGCTGCATTTTCCGTAATACATCATCTGCTCCATTATCCCCAAGTTAACCTTTGGGAGAAAGCTGAGGCAAAGAACGCGTTGAATAGTTCTGCCTTCTCCCTGTTGGCATTTTTGCATATTTGTATTTTTTAAAATTGTATGCTGCTGCTTTTATGTTAAGCCACTCTGAGTCTCCTGCAGGGGAGATAAAGCAAGATATGAATAAATATTACAATATTAATAATAATTTCACCCTCACCTGTATGCAGAGACCCTCCCATTTCCTTCTTTTCCTTTTTGCTATGATCAATACCAAAGCAGCACTTTCTATTGCTTTTAACCTCTCTGCGCTTTGGCTTTCCTGACACTTTCCCTACACATGTTGATTATTTCTTTGCATTTCTCTTGAGAGGTTTCTCCTCTTTTCCATTTTTTTTATACAGGAACCAGTCTTAGCTCAGTTGAAAGTTCCTCCAATACCCATTCCAGTTTTTTAGAACTCTTCTTTTTTCCTTCACATTGGAATGGTCTGAAATTGTGCCTCCAATATTTCACTTTTCAGTTAACTTCTTTGCCATTCTAGACAATTGGTTCCACTGCCAAACCTGTCTTGTTGCAATAGAAATTGATCCCACTATAACCTACAACCATGAGAGTGGTCTTACCATTTCTGCACCATCGTATCTGTAACAGCCATTCAGGTATTTAAAGTTGAACTAGATGGCCAAAACAACCCAGAAAGAGTAGAAATAAAACCTGGGATCTTCAGATCTTTTTATTCAGTTTGGAGACTCTTTTGCGAAATGAGAAAAGCCCCTTTTCCAACATAGCATTTTAGAGCCATAAATGGAGAAAAGCTGGAAGAAATGAGGGATGCAACAATGTATACTTACTTCTCGGTTTATCCGAATCTTAGAAGTCCAATTGGACATAGGTTGAAGAGAAAGAAAGATCAGAGACAGGCAGATTATTGAGACATAATCCAAGGAAGACTAGACCATATATAGTAGAGAGAGAAAATAACAGATAAACAAGTAAACACAGATTAGTAGAAACAAAGCAGCAAAGGTCAGGGTGGCCTTTAACCGAGCTTCTGCCTACCTTCAGTTTTGAAAACAGCAATGTGAGATACACAGGCACTGCTTAAGCAGGGAGGCATTTAAAGTGCCCATAAGGAAATGTCAGAAAAACGCCGGTGATTCGATTAAGTAGGAATTTTACGAACAAAGCTCTTCAGCAGGGATAGTGGAGCGACAGCACCCCCAGTGGCCAGAACCGAGCACAGCATCCAAGATGCCAAAGATGGGGGGGGGGGAAAGCCTATTTATACATCTATCTATGTACAGTTGTTTGTCTTGTTAGTGTATAAGGCATCAAATGTTTGCTGTATATGTGTTCTGTGATCCGCTCTGAGTCTTCTTTGGGGTGAGAAGGGCAAAATAGAAATACTGTAAATAAATAAATAAATAAATAAATCTGTCTTTTTTCAGCTCAAGTTATCTGATCTGGGACGACAAAAATAAATGCTGATAAATGCTGACATTTATATTAGACGTTCAGTTTTTGAATCTATAATTCAAGTGAAAAAGTTGAATTCAGCAGAAAAAAATAAAATAGCATTTTTAAAATTTCAAATGTATGTATTGTAACCAGCAAAAATGAATCACCAAACATAACTGACTATGGATTGAATATATTTATAAAATAAAGCAACCCTGGCAAAATCACAAACTATTCACAGATTATTAAAATCTGCAAATGAAACTTCTGAAACATTTGGGGAGCAAATTAGATTCCACCCTAGAACAAATTCCTCCTAATGCTTTGTAATGTTTCAAGCAGTTCAGGGGCCAATTCTAATCTTGTAAAATATGCCCTATGGTTCCAATAGTAATGTACTAACAGAGATGGATAGATCAGTCTATATCCAATTCACAATAACTTTACATACATTAATTCATAACGTTTTTTTCAATCTCACTTCCACTTTCGCCTGCATTTTAAGAGGTCTTTTTAAAAATACATTAAAACCATTTTAAGATGTGTATTTTGAGCATTCCTTGAAAACATCTGATATCGAAGTGTAAAATTCTAAACTTATTCTAGCCTGAAAATGTCCATTTTAAAACATATAGTTGGGCAGAAATTGTAAGTATTTGGAGAACTCCAGGCCTGGACTGATCATTATGTTCTGATCTGCATACTAATCAGAGTCGCTCACTTCGCAACATAATTTGCAGAGACCAATGCATTCAAGGATCTATATGAGAAACAAGGGCTTTGCCTTGTTTCTTTATTGCTTCATGACTTTGACCTTGGCAACCTTGTGGACTATTCAAATAATTTCCCAATATTTTCCAATACTTTTAGTTCATTATGATGGTTTCAGAATAACATGAAAAAATATGCAGGTTCATCCATTTCCTGTATGCAGGACTGATTGCCTGGATATTGCATACAGTTTTGCAAAATCTATGCTATTTCAGTCTTGAGCTGCTTTTTCATTGTTATGCTCTGTGACTGGACTAGGATGACAGGAAGTGCAGGCAAATGTCAGCCTTTGAAGCTGAGGAGAATTGCAAAGAGAAAATAAAGGGACAAGGAGCAGAAATTTGGAGATCGTGTAAGAGAGATACAGAACACAAAGAGGGCATCACAAACTAAGAAGGCACATAAGAGATGAAAAAAACCAAATGAAAGCAAACCAATAACAAAAGGGAGGGGGGAGATTTTCATGATGTGACATTTTGCTGTGGGTCAAATACGAAAATTGGTCCCAGCACAGGTGCACTTACGTCAATGTAGTTGGCATTGATATAGTCTGAGTGAGGATCGCCAAGAAGTGGGTGCAGCTTCACTCGGTGTCGGTCATCTGGGGAGAAAAATGCGACACAACCGTCAGTACACAGCACATGCATGCGCACACAAAGATACTGGGAGAAACACCTGCAATGAGAAAAGGAGGAAAGGGGACTATTTTTGAGAGAGAAAGGAAGTTTCGAAGTTGTTTTGAAACAACTTCACAGATGGTGCTGTAGTGACAGTAGATGGTGTCAACCTTGAAAATGTAGAAGAATACATCTACCTCAGAAGGCAGTTAACATCAAGGAATGAGCTAACTCCAGTGTTGAACAGATGCAGGAAAGCAGGATGGGCCGCTTACAACTCTGTTAAAGCTGCTGCGGACTCAACCAGAAGTACATCTCTAAGAGCTCGATTGTTCGACTCAGCCATGCTACCTGCACTATGCTATGGTGCAGAGACATGGACAATGACAAAGGCTCTCTCGGAACAACTACGGGTTGCGCATGCCTCCCTCGAAAGACAGCTCATTGGGATGTCTCTCCAAACGCAGAAAGAACGTGGGCTGCACAATGAGGATGTTCAAACAAGGATGTACGCCACGTTACCCAACTCAAAAACCGCTTTGCAGGCCATGCAATGCGCAGAGCGGATGGACGCTGGAGCAACGCCACAGCAACATAGTACTCGCAGGGATGAACGAGACCTCTTGGTTGGCCTCCTACCCGATGGTCTGACTCATTCCGTATGGCATATAATGCAAGAGACTAACATGGTTGTGCAATGGTACACTGGTCAACTAGTGCACAAAATAGATATGAATGGAGATGAATAGAGCAAGATGTGGGCCTGCTGTTGGCTAATGAGATTAGATTGATGTTCATTTATTTATTTATTTATTTATTTCGGTTTCTTCTACCCCGCCCTTCTCACCCCGAAGGGGACTCAGGGCGGTTTACAAAGGCACAATTCGATGCCAACATCACATAACAGTAGTAACACAAAATAACATCAATTAAACAGTTGAAACAGTTAAACAACAATTCCTGCATTACAGCCCTAAAACCAATAAAACCAATAAAAACGATACAAACCTAATTACTCCTCATAGATGGTCAGCGTTCGCTACCTCATAGTCCAAATTCCAATTCCACATTGTCAGTCCTGTCAGTCCTAGTCGTTTGATTGTCCTTATCTAGTTGTCAGATTGCCCAAAGGCCTGGTCCCACAACCACGTCTTTACTTTCCTCCTGAAGGAGAGGAGGGATGTTGATGCCCTAATTTCTCCCGGGAGTGAGTTCCACAGGTGAGGGGCCACCACTGAGAAGGCCCTGCTCCTCGTCCCCACCACCCTCACTTGTGATAGCGGTGGGGTCGAGAGCAGGGCCTCCCCAGATGATCTCAAACTCCGGGTGGGACGTAGAGGGAGATACGTTCGGACAGATACACTGGACCGGAACCGTACAGGGTTTTGTAGGTCAAAACCAGCACCTTGAATTGTGCTCGGAACTGAACCGGCAGCCAGTGGAGCTGACACAGCAGGGGGTGGTGTGCTCCCTGTATGACGCTCCGGTGAGTAGTCTGGCTGCCGCTCGCTGGACCAGTTGAAGTTTCCGAACAGTCTTCAAGGGCAACCCCACGTAGAGTGTGTTGTGTGCTTTCAAGTCGTTTCAGACTTAGGTTGACCCTAAGCGAGGGCCAGGTAAATGACCTTGGAGGGCCGTATCCGGCCCCTGGGCCTTAGTTTGAGGACCCCCTAGTCTAAGTGTAAGTGAAAGAGAGATAGGCAGGCAGACATATATTCGTATATTCAATCACTTGTGCATTTGTATTCAAAAATCAGATTGCTAGCACTTCCTCCCCCCCTCCACCCCCCTTCAAATCCAGATGTTCATCATGTTATCACTTTCAATGTCATAAAACTCGACCAGTGCGCTGGAGCCATATTCATTCTAGGCAAACCACATGGAGTTCCCAAGGTGTGAGCTGAGTTCTATAACTATAACAAAAGGATTGCTGTTATAGACTGAACCAAGATCTAGCCACTGTAGACAGCCCAAGAGTCTAGCAAAGCACAAATCAAATGTACATATTTTATGGGCAATGAGAATTTTCAAGACGTTCTGAAATCCAAAAACAAAAGAAAGGGATATTCAATTTTTAATGAAAATTTTCAAAAGAACCTTACAGGTTGGCCCGTGATCCTGCCTCCCCTTGGTCTTGTCTTTCTTCTTTGAGGCATCCCAACAGTCAAAGAAACTCTGGGAAGAAAAGACAAAATTTATGTACGAAGGATATTTGGAGAATCAATGCACATCAATTTATTTAAGATGGCTTCTTTCTGTGCTGATTCCATCATACAGATGTGGTTGTTGTATAGACACATTGTGCAAATGAATATTCCAAGGAACGTTGTTGGAATGCAGTGTAATAGGGTTGGCCAGGTCTTTAAAAAGCAATTAGAATTCAATAGTTTTATGAAAAACCGATTCTCAGAGGAGATGAAAATTTGGTTAAGATGGGTTAATTTATTTATTTATCGTGTCAGGAGCAACCAGACATTTGTATTGCATTTTTAACAAAACAAACAAACAGACAAAACACAAAGTTTGCAAGCTTGGTAGTTGATTAAATGTCCTTTGACCAGTATCTGGCCACTTGGAGTGCCTCTGGTGTTGCCGCAAGAAGGTCCTCCATTGTGCATGTAGCAGGGCTCAGGTTGCATTGCAGCAGGTGGTCAGTGGTTTGCTCTTCTCCACACTCGCATGTCGTGGATTCCACTTTGTAGCCCCATTTCTTAAGGTTGGCTCTGCATCTCGTGGTGCCAGAGCGCAGTCTGTTCAGCGCCTTCCAAGTCGCCCAGTTTTCTGTGTGCCCAGGGGGGAGTCTCTCATTTGGTATCCGCCATTGATTGAGGTTCTGGGTTTGAGCCTGCCACTTTTGGACTCTCGCTTGCTGAGGTGTTCCAGCGAGTGTCTCTGTAGATCTTAGAAAACTATTTCTTGATTTAAGTCATTGACGTGCTGGCTGATACCCAAACAGGGGATGAGATGGAGATGTCTCTGCCTTGGTCCTTTCACTATTGGCTGCTACTTCCCGGCAGATGTCAGGTGGTGTAATACCGGCTAGACAGTGTAATTTCTCCAGTGGTGTAGGGCGCAGACATCCCGTGATAAAGCGGCGTGTCTCATTAAGAGCCACATCCACTGTTTTAGCGTGGTGAGATGTGTTTCACACTGGGCAAGCATACTCAGCAGCAGAGTAGCATAGCGCAAGGGCAGATTTCTTCACTGTGTCTGGGTTAATGCAATTGTCAGCTTGGGCCCCACTCAAGGCAGGCAGCAAAAAAAACCAAGCAACAAATAAATATCTTTCTGGACACTTTGGGGATTGCTGTGATGAATGCCTGCACAACAAAAATGGCCACTAAATAGATTAGCTTCAAAATACAACGTATAAAAATCTGCAACAGACCTCAGGGGAGATAAAGAGCAAAAATTCTCTTTGACTTTGTCTCAACGTGAGAGGGAAGCAATCCAGACAGAAAAGGTGGTTTTGGGACCTAAGACCAGCAAAAGACATCTTCTGAGAATAGAAGAAAGCAAAAGGACTGCCCAAATGCAAATTTTCGCCTTTGGACCCTTCTACAATGCCATACAATCCAGAATATCAAGGCAGGCTATCCACATTATCTGCTTTGATCTGGATTATCTGAGTCTACACTGCCAGATAATCCAGTTCAAAGCAGATAATCTGGATTGTATCCAGTTGTGCAGAAGGGGCCTTAGTGCTCCATGAACCATGAGGGACAACCGCGATTCCTGAGAACCTTAAGCTGTGTTTGGAAGCAGTGATGAGTTGGCTGCAAGCAAGCAGGCTAAAAGTGAACCCTGCAAAAACTGAGATACTAAAAAAAATGAGAAAAGAGATAGGAAAGTAGGGAAGGGACTGGGAAAGGTAAGGGTTTGGGATGGGAGAGGTATAATAAGGGTGTGGTGCAAAATTGAAGGGGAAGGGAGAGAAAGGGTCAAAGGGGGGGGGGGTGTAGGAAATAAAAGAGGTGGGAGAGTAGAAAGAGTGATTCCGACTTCCAGTCATCTTCATATCCGGCTTCACAATCTCTTTAATTGGTATTCGGACGGGGGCGGATAACCCACTTGCACCTTTTCAATAAGCAGGCCTTTTTTCATCTTCGCCAGGCAAGGAAATTGGCATCCTACCTTTCGGTAGAAGCATTGGCAATGGTAATCCATGCAACAGTCACCATGAGGTTGGACTATTGCAATGCCTTATATGCCAGCCTTCTGAAGTCTTATATGCCAACCCAGAAGATTCGGATGGTCCAAAATGCGGTGGCCAGGCTGCTAGCGGGATTATCTATAAGATCATATTACACCAATTCTGCAACATCTGCATTGGCTACCAATAGAACATCGGATCTCTTACACGATACTGATCCTGTTAGGGACCGCCTCATTCCTTTTCTCCATCAGTGGTTACCTTGATCCACCCCAGAAAATCTCCTATACATACCGGGCCCTAGGGAGATACACCTGGAAGCTACAAGGCGTAGAGCTTTTTCGACCTATGCTCCGATTCTGTGGAACTCATTGCCTCCATATGTTAGAGCAATGTCGGAGTTGCGACCTTTTGTAAAAGTGCTCAAGACTTGGCTTTTTGGTTGTGCATTTAAGTAATCAGATCTAATTTGCCAAATAGTCACTGTTGTATGTTTTTATGTTGAATGTTTTTATATTGTGTAAATGCTATTTTAAATTGTAAGTTGCTCAGAGCACCTTGGTGGAGAGCGACTAATTAAGAAAAAATGAGCCAAGAATGTGATGTGGCGGCAAAAAAAGCCAATGGGATTTTGGCCTGCATCAAGAGGAGCATAGTGTCTAGATCTAGGGAAGTAATGCTACCCCTCTATTTCGCTTTGGTTAGACCACACCTGGAATATTGTGTCCAATTCTGGGCACCACAATTCAAGAGAGATATTGACAAGCTGGAATGTGTCCAGAGGAGGGCGACTAAAATGATCAAGGGTCTGGAGAACAAGCCCTGAGGAGCGGCTTAAAGAGCTGGGCATGTTTAGCCTGAAGAAGGAGCTGAGAGGAGACATGATAGTCATGTATAATATGTGAGAGGAAGCCACAGGGAGGAGGGAGCAAGCTTGTTTTTCTGCTCCTGGAGACTAGGACGCGGAACAATGGCTTCAAACTACAAGAAAGGAATTCCATCTGAACATGGAAACTTCCTGACTGTGAGAGCCGTTCAGCAGTGGAACTCTCTGTGCCAGAGTGTGGTGGAGGCTCCTTCTTTGGAAGCTTTTAAACAGAGGCTGGATGGCCATCTGTCAGGGGTGATTGGAATGCAATATTCCTGCTTCCTGGCAAGGGGTTGGACTGGATGGCCCATGAGGTCTCTTCCAACTCTTTGATTCTATGATTCTATGAAGTGAAGTGAAGTTGTGGACACAGAAAAGGCAGGCAGCTTGAATTGCCCTCTGAGCCTATACATGGAACCTGCCCCAGCATTTATGATGGTCAATTTCTAAGAACAGACTAGTGGAAAGAAAATGTTGTCCTATCTTCAAGAAGGATCCATTCCACCCCTTGCTCTGGCCTTCCATCTACTAAAGAGACAGCTAACCTGTCATTGAGACATGCACATTTTATAGCTCTTTGTCTTGACCTTTGACAGCACAATAAACGTATTGAAGTCAATCTGAAACGAACAGAGAGGCGGTGGGCCTCTTACCACTACAAGGCTGAAAATTAAGCTTGTCCTGATGTTAAGTCCTCACCTCATATTCCTGCTTGAAACCATAGCCTTCTGCAGTCTTCATCTGGTTGATGTGCTGGAGGAGGTCGGCCACTCGGACAGCAGGGTGGAGCTGCCCAGTGTGGTAGGGAGAGCCTTTGCGCCTTCGAGGGGAGCCTCCTAACAAGCTGCTTGACTCATTGACGACACTATTGTGCTGCTCACCTGGGAATGGCAGGAAAACATGTGATAGAAAGAAGGCATCAAAGACATCTGGACTGGTAATCAATAAAAAGAATGTATTGCAAATGTTAGCGAAAACAACTTGGATGGGATCTAAATGCTCCAAAACACTTGCCTGGTATTTAGTTTCTGAAAGGTTATGACTACCAACCCTGAGCTTCCAGTGATCAGATTCAAACCAAGCTCACCAGAAAAAGTTATGGAAGAACTTTGCTTAGATAATGGGTCTAAGTCAATCCCTCACAATAGGATTCCCACTTACCTCGTGCCTGTACCCTGAGAACTCAGAAGAAATTACTGGTTCTTTATCTGAGCCTTGCACCTCGGATCAGCAGTTCAAGACATGAACCAAGATACAAATAGCAAAAGAGGAGGTGAAGGAGGTGGTTCACTGTGAGTCTAAGGAAGAGGTTGCAATTTGTGGTGTAGCCTGGGCAGGGAAAAGCATAAATTGTTTTCCATGGCTAAGATGATCTCAGAGCTCACTGTCATCCTGTGTTTGGACCAAATATGATAAATACGATGAGTGGATTGGATGAAATTGTATGGTTGGTGTATAATGAGACTTATATAAGGTGGACACACCATCCTAAGAAAATTGGAACCTAGGAAAATGGCATTATGGAGAAACAAAAGGAGGTGAACATTTCATGAACTGCTGACATGATCAGAGACGATTATTAAGTCTGCGGATGAAAACAACTTTTTACATAGTCAAAGATATGGGTTACTTATGTTAAACCAACATCTGTCAAGAACTGATGGAGTCAGCATGTTTTAGCTGCAAACAACCTGTCAGTCACAACTCTTTGGACGAACAACAGCAGAAAAATTATATATAAGAGACCTTTTTGCTATCCAAAAGTATGGCAGACAGTGGAGTCTAGTCACCCAGGATGAAGACAGATGGTGTATTGGCAGAATGGCAGATTTGCAGGGAATGCACTCTGGCCCATGTGATGTTCTCTTCTCCAGGAGACTGAAGAAGGGATGGTAATATATGCATGTGGATTGAATGATTGTTTGTGTGTGTGTAAATGCTGGTAAAATGCAATGTCCCACCCTGGACATTCCACAGATATATAAACCCAATTTTCCTAGTTTCCAACAGACCGCACAACCTCTGAGGATGGCTGCCATAGATGCAGGCGAAATGTCAGGAGAGAATGCTTCTAGAACATGGCCATATAGCCCGAAAAACTTACAACAATCCAACCATATATGCTAGATGGAAGTCATTTTAGGTGATTAACTGAAATTGTACCTAACAACCCCCCTTTGTCTAAAGCCCATCTACACTGCTGTATAATACAAGGGGTATTTTTTAAGTAAGGTCCGTTTTGTTGTAGACACTAGTAGTTCGTGCGCATACCGCAACGAGCGCGTGCGTCGTGTACCGGCATGCCTCGGGAACAACTGTGCTCAGTTTCCGCTCTGTAGCTAACCTGTACGGTTCTGTTCTGTGCTTTAAAAATGTTTAAGACTATCAACTCACCCGCCGCATGTGAGGTTCGCTCAGTGATACGGTTTTTGTCAGCAAGGAACCTGCCTGCTGCAGAAATTCATTGACAGATTTGTGAAGTGTACGGTGATACTGTTATGAGTGAAAGCAAAGTGCGTAAGTGGGTACAACAATTCAAATATGGCTGTGACAACGTACATGATGAGGACCGCTCCAGTTGCCCTTCTTTGATTACAGATGATTTGGTGGCTTTTCGTGGCGGCAATTTTTTATGAAGAGGGTATTTTAAAATTGGTTCAGAGGTATAAGTGTTTGAACAAACTTGGCAACTATGTCAAAAAATAGAGTAAAGTATGTACTTTCTGAAAATAAATTTACTTTTTTGAAATAAACTTTCATTGTGTACTTATGTTCAAACGGACCTTACTTAAAAAATACCCCTCGTTATACTGACACAAAAGCACAGTATGTCACAGCAAACGAGATCTATATGCTGGATTTCGTATCACAAAATCACAAGTCAAACACTTCCCAAGCGTCTATGACTGTGTGATGTATTTTTGAATGATGCACGCAGATCCAAGTAAGGTGGCCTTTTGCAGTTGACAGATCGTGATTTTGTCCATATTTATTGTCCATATTTATTGCCGGCTGAGATCCTTTGGCACGGCACCCAGTGTGCCAATGACCACTGGGAGGGACCACCAGTACTGGTTTATGCCAGAGCCTTTGCAGTTCGATTTTGAGGTCTTGATAACGACTGAGTTTTTCCTGTTGTTTTTCATCAATTTGACTGTCACCTGGTATTATTATTATTATTATTATTATTATTATTATTATTATTATTCTATTTTATTATTATTTATTGATATTATTAATCAATAAATATTGATTTATCTTTTCCCGGAGGAGACTCAAAGCAGTTTAACATAAAAGCATTGCCATTTAAAATATACAAATATGCAAACCTTAAAACAGGATTAAATATAAAGAGTATTTTAAAAATTCTCAGTGAAAAACCATTGAAACGTATTCAAAGTGAAAAACCGCAGACTGTACCTCTGTGGCTGTACTTGTGTGCATCCATGAAGGACAAGCCCAGCCGTTCATCTTCTTGCAGGGTACTCTGATCTGTAAAGCTCCTCTCGTTCGCACTCATCATGTGTGTCTTCTCACTGTGGTAGTTGATTGTAGCTTTGCCCATATTGACTGGTTTCCTAGTGCAAAGTTACAAACAACAAGACTGTGTTACCGCAAGTCGTCTGCTTTGGGGCATCCCTGCAAGCACATTTTGGAATAACAAAAAGATAAGAGAAAGAAAAGGAGTTAATATGCATGAGAATTTTTAAGCTTAAAAGGTCATGAATTTAATCAGGTTTTTGGAACAAGAATGGATACAATACATTCTACATTTTCAATACAAGGCACACAATTCCTGGAGGAGAGACCTAGGAGAATCATGGAATCCTACAGTTGGAAAAGATCCCTGGAAGCATCCAGCCCAACCCCCAGCAGGTAGGAACACACAACGAAAGCAATCCCGACAGATGGACATCCAGCCAGTGTTTAAAGAAAAGGAGAATCCACCAGACTCCAAGGCAGCATGTGCCACTGTTGAAGAGTTCAGGAAGTTCTTCCTAATACTTAGGCAAAATCTCCTTTCCTGCAGTTTGAACCCATTGCTCAGTGTCCTAGTCTTTGGAGCAGCAGAAAATAAGGTTGTTCACCAAACAATCCCCCTGTAATGTTTAGATGCCGCAGGCTAATTGCTTTGCATACTGACTTAAGTAGTGAGTGTAGATATGCCTCAAGTCAGTTCATGCTAGTTACTACAGTATCCACATATGTTAAGCATGCTCAGTCAAGCTATACCTCCCCATGGAAGACAGCATAGAACAGCCTCAACCAACCCTGTGCTTTTCTTGTGTTTTCAACTACCAATTCCAGCAGCCTCACTATCAGGGACGACTGGTTCAATACCAGAAATAACTGTAATTGTAATTTAAAATAATACCTAGAGTGCACTGTTTTAGGAAGGCTGTTCAGAAACATTTTGGATAGGTCAGAACAGATAATTTTTATTTCAGTCAATGACCGGCATTTAAAAAAAACCCAGTAGAACATGAATAAAACATACATTTAGGCCAATGGTTCTCAACCTATGGGTCCCCAGGTGTTTTGCCCTACAACTCCCAGAAATCTCAGCCCGTTTACCACATGTTAGGATTTCTGGGAGTTGAAAGCCAAAACATCTGGGGACCCACAGGTTGAGAAACACTGATTTAGGCACTAAAATGCAACTTTTAAATGGTGAGTTAAAAAAAACAGTGCTAGGATATCATCATATTGGGGAAAGCTGCATTAGAATGTGTAACATTCCACTTCGTCCCATTCATTAAATACTGCTGAGCCACCCACTTAAGAAAAGGCAACCTACTGTGTTCACCCCATGACGTAGGCTTGAAGTGTAGGGTAGAGATATCTTGGCATTTAAAAAGGATTGCAAAGGATTATCTTTTCAAATGCTTTCTAAGATGGTAGGCAAATGACTTTTTAGCAAGTTATTTGGATAGAGATGGGCAAAAGGGCCAATTCTGTCATGGGATGGTATTCGTCACTCTCAGCTTTAAAATGATATGGTTACACAATTTGTGGGAGGAGCCGAAATACCCCTTTGAGAAAAAGCTCTGCCATTACCTTTTGCTCACGGAGGAGGGAAGATTGGCAGTATGTTGTGTACCTTTCTGTCTCACACACTTTCTGGGAGCTTTCCTTCCTTTCTCTGTTCTCTGTGTTGTGTGCATGTGTTACCTCCTCACCTTTCCTTCTTCCCTTCCTTCCGTGTATTGTGTGTGCCATTGTCTATGTTCTTGCTCTATTTACATTGTAAATATGTTTATTGAAGTGTCGAGTTCTCAGGCCAAATACGTTTGCAGAAAATGCTTTAAGAAAACTGTTTTTGTGTTGATTGGTCCGCAGCCTCTTGTTTTTAAAAATGCCTTTGTTTATTTGACTCATACTCTGCTCTTTCTCTTACATATTCAGAACAGCTTCTGCATGGCCATGTATTCTCATAATCCTGACAAAAAAACTGCTCTAAGTATGTTCAAAGCCCAAAGAAAAACCACACGTTTGTCACTCTGCACCAAACAGCAGATTTTGATACAATCGACCACAGTCTCCTTTTGGAATACCGGGGGGGGGGGGGGGGGAGAATCGGAGACACTGTACTGCAGTGGTTCCCGTGGTCCCTCTCAGGTGGGTTCCAGGTGGTGGCGCTCGGGGATAGATAGCTGCTCTTCCAAAAAGGAGCTGCTAAATGGTGCCCATCAAGGTGCCATTCCATTCCTAATGTTTTTTAATATGTACATGAAACTGCTGGGAGAGATCATCCGTAGGCATGGGGCAGGGTGTGCTGATGTATGCTGATGACACCCAAATTTTGCCTTCCAAAAAAGCCAATCCAATCCAATAAGGCTTTTTTTGGCATATACATGGCAAAAAGGTATAAAATACAGTAAAAAAAGCCTCAGCTAATGATAGCATGACTCCTCTGAATGAATGCCTGGAGGAGGTAATGGGCTAAATGAGGAAAAATAAATTGAAACTGAATCCAGACAAAACAGAGGCGCTTGCCATCAAAGGTCCTCATCTGGGGATGGAGGTAGTCCACCAGGCCTGGATGGGGTCCCTCTCCCGCTGAAAGACTTGGGATTCTCCTGGATGCATGTCTCCAAATGTCAGCCCAGGTAGATGCGGTGATGGTCAGGAGGACTTACTACCAGCTTTGGCTGATGTGCCAACTGAGCCCCTTCCTAGAGTTGGAGGACCTGAAGATGTAGTGCATGCGCTGGTGACCTCAAGGTCACCCAATGTGTTTTACATTGGGCTACCCTCCTATCAAGTTCAGAAACTTCAGATGGATCAAAATACAGCAGGCAGACTAGTTATGGGAACATCTAGGAGTGAGCACATTACACCCATTCTAGAGTCACTCCACTGGCTGCCAATTATTTTATGAGCAAAGAACAGGTGATGGTCTTGACATTTAAAGCCCTCCATGGTTTGGGTCTAGGATCCCTACAGGATCACCTTATCCCGTACTGTCTATGGCCCCTTTGGACTCTGAGGTCCTCTGGGGGGCAATTACTCCAACCAGCCAGAACCCAACTGGAGACCATCACCCAGAGGACCCACTTTTCATCGGCTACCCCAAGACAGTGGAATGACCTGCCAGAAGAAGAACTCCCGTTGATAAATGAGCTGTTGGAATTTTAAAACCATCTAAAGACCAATGTCTTCTGGCAGGCCTACCCAGGCAGTTTTAATGGTGAATTTTAACTTCCACAGTATGCTTTGTGTTTGTTTGGTGTATTTTGATACATATTTTATGGAGGTATGTTTTAATATGTGTATTTTACAGAGTGTTTTAAAATGATTGTGTGTTTGTCTGTGTTTTAGCAATGCTGTAACCCGCCACGAGCTGTGAGGAGAAGCGTGCAAGAAAGAAAACTATTATTATTATTAAATATGTCTAAACATCTGAAAATCTACCGCTTTCACCTTGACTGTCAGCTCAGTAGCAACATTCTTGTTGGAGTTCATTTCTCCAGGAGGTAAGAGAAGGACTTCCATCTTATCCTTTCATGGCCCCAGAGAAGAATGTAAGAAGCTCACAAAATATGACCCTAAAAAAGAAGGTGAGCATTTCAAGCTTGGATTAAGATCCAAGATAGAAAAGAATAACTGACTGGCAGCAGGTCTCCGAGATTTGTTCCTTAAGGCCATATTAGGAATAGTCCCTGATGGTGGAAACTGAGTGAGTTGTGTTGACTGTGGATGTAGCTGGACGCTTTAAAAGGGATTTTAGTTCCTGATCCCCTCTAGCTGTAAGCCTTTCCCACCTTTTGTTCTGAGGTCTCTACATTTGTTTGAAGCAGCATTTCCTTCTACAACCATTTAAAAAGGGTACTTTTAACATTGATGTGACAAGAAAAAGAGCCCACTGGGAGCAGGGAGCAGTGGAGCTATCACGAGTGAATGAGAATTACTTACGGGTAACAGGAAGAGTAGTTCCTCCTGGCAAGCATGCAAACAAAAAGAAAACATTGCATAAGCAGACTTTGGGGAAATATTGAAGGAGTCGATGGAGGATCCAGATCCTTAAGATGATAACAAAACAAAGTTGGACCATTCCTGTCAAGGGAGGGAAAGGGAGCCGAAGACATGGGGAAGAGCAGAAAAAAGGAAGCAATTGGCTCATAATAAGAAGTTTTTCTATGTACTCAATGCCTGAAGATTATTATACCTCCCTTAGAAGAATGGGAAAATACATTACAGATTTGCTAATAATGGATAAAATAATAGTACTCTTAAGAGAACTATTAGAGAACTTTGTTAATGGATGGCAATCAGTGATTCAACATCTCAATAAAAAAGTATAATTGAACTAAAAATGTACATGGGGATCCTATAAGTCTGTAGACAAGGAGGAGGCAGATATTAATTTAGAGCTTATGATACTTTTATATGTACTATTCGAACAGAAGACTGTGACCCGTTAAAGAAGAGATATCATGTGAGAAATGATAATGAAACACGAATACCTGGAAAATATTGCACAACATGCAACAAACACTTACAAATGTATGTCTATTTTAATAAATAAATAAATATTTTTTAAAGATCACTTGCCAAACAAAGATTTAGTTACTTACTTACTTACTTAGGTGATCCCTCGTAGTCTGAGGATGATGGTCCTTCAAGTTCGGTGTCCTGGCGGTGGGTTCGTAGGTGGCTGTGGAGCCCTATTCTTGACCTGCATCTTCTCCCACAGTGAGGGCATTGGTTTCCAGGTGGGAGGCGGTCTCGGTCGGGGTTGGCTTGACGTGCCTTCCTCTTGGCACGTTTCTCTCTTTCACCCTCCATTCGTGCCTCTTCAAATTCTGCAGCACTGCTGGTCACAGCTGACCTCCAGCTGGAGCGCTCAAGGGCCAGGGCTTCCCAGTTCTCAGTGTCTATGCCAGAGTTTTTAAGGTTGGCTTTGAGCCCATCTTTAAATCTTTTCCTGTCCACCAACATTCCGTTTTCCGTTCTTGAGTTCAGAGTAGAGCAACTGCTTTGGGAGATGGTGGTTGGGCATCCGGACAATGTGGCCGGTCCAGCGGAGTTGATGGCGGAGGACCATCGCTTCAATGCTAGTGGTCTTTGCTTCTTCCAGCACGCTGACGTTTGTCCGCCTGTCTTCCCAAGATATTTGCAGGATTTTCTGGAGGCGGCGCTGATGGAATCGTTCCAGGAGTTGCATGTGACGCCTGTAGACAGTCCACGTTTCGCAGGCATATAGCAGGGTTGGGAGGACAATAGCTTTATAGACAAGCACCTTGGTATCCCTACGGATGTCCCGGTCCTCAAACACTCTCTGCTTCATTCGGAAAAATGCTGCACTCGCAGAGCTCAGGCGGTGTTGTATTTCGGTGTCGATGTTGACTTTGGTGGAGAGGTGGCTGCCAACGTAGCGGAAATGAACAACATTTTCTAATGTTACACCATTAAGCTGTATCGCTGGCATTGGAAAGGGGTTGGCTGATGTCTGCTGGAACAGCACTTTGGTTTTCTCGATGTTCAATGACAGGCCGAGCTTCTCGTATGCTTCTGCGAAGGTGTTTAGAGTGGCTTGTAGGTTTTCTTCTGAATGCGCACTGATGACATTGTCATCAGCATACTGGAGTTTTATAACAGATGTTGTTGTAACCTTAGTTTTGGCTTTCAGTCTGCTGAGGTTAAACAGCTTGCCATCTGTCCGATAGATGATTTCCACTCCGCTGGGAAGATTCCCATCAACAAGGTGAAGTATCATAGCTATGAAGATGGAGAATAAAGTTGGGGCAATAACACATCCCTGTTTGACACCTGATTTCACCTCAAATGGGTCACTTTGGGAGCCACTGCTGTCCAAGACTGTTGCCATCATGTCATCATGGAGGAGCCTCAGGAAGTTCACAAATTTGTTTGGGCACTCAATTTTTTGGAGGATGGTCCATAGAGCGCTGCGATTCACTGTGTTGAATGCCTTTGCAAGGTCAATGAATGCCATGTACAGAGGTTGATTTTGTTCCCTGCATTTTTCTTGGAGCTGACGTGCAGTGAAGATCATGTCCATGGTTCCTCTGGAGGGGCGGAAGATGTTCTGCGATTCTGGGAGGGTGTCTTCTGAGAGGGGTAGTAGGCGTATTGCAAGGATTCTTGCGAGGATTTTCCCAGTGGAGGTTAGGAGGGAGATACCTCGATAGTTTAAGCAATCTGTTCTTTCCCCCTTTTTGAAGAGGGTGATGATGGCAGTTTCCTTGAAATCTGCTGGGATTTTCCCGGTCACCCACACTTTTTCTATGAGCTGGTGGAGTTGTTGCGTCAGCTCAGGTCCTCCCTCTTTAAAGATTTCAGCAGGGATCTCATCAGGTCCGCTGGCTTTGTTATTCTTCTGTTGGCTGATGGCATTGCTGACTTCTTCCAAACTAGGCAGTGCTGCAAGCTCATCTCTGGTTTGTTGTGGGATTTGTGAGAGAACCTCTTCGGCCACATTGGAGCTGCGGTTCAGGAGGCTTTGGTAGTGTTCTTTCCAACGTAGTGCAATTGATTTTTGGTCCTTCAGGAGTTTGGTTCCATCTGATGAGCGGAGAGGCTGTATGCCATGGTTTCTTGGTCCATAGATGACCTTTGTGGCTTTGAGAAATCCCTGAGCATCATGGGTATCTGCCAGGTGTTGGATTTCTTCAGCCTTCTTTGTCCACCAGTTGTTCTTGAGTTCTCTTGTCCTTCTTTAAAACTCAGCTTTTGTGCGGGCGTAAATCTTTTTCTTAGCAGCACTGTTGATGTCTCTCTGCCATGTTTGGAAGGCTTTCCTTTTCTTATCAATTAGCTGTTGGATCTCGTCATTTTCGTCAAACCAATCTTGATGTTTCTTGGTTTGATATCCAATAGTTTCTTCACAGGCTGTGATGATGGAGGTCTTCAGTTTGTTCCAATGTTCCTCAACATTTTCGGGGTTTTCTGTGGGTAGATGGTCCTTGAGTGCTGTTTGGAGAAGGGCTCGTCTGGAGGGCTCCTGAAGGGCTTGGATGTTCATTTTGTGCCTTGTCTTTCTTCCTTGGAATCTGCGCTTGGGGGCGATCTTGATAGCCATCGTGGATCGGATTAGCCTGGGGTCTGTCCAGCAGTCGTCAGTACCTGTCATGGTTCTTGTGAGGAGCACGTCACGGTGGTCTCTGGCACGTGCGAAAGAGCATGTTGGTGATGACAAGGTTGTGTTCCGCACATTTGATGAGAAGCAGGATGCCATTCAAGTTGCTGTTTCTAACCCCGTCTTTTCCTATGGTCCCTGGCCACAGGTCGAAGTCTCGCCCGACTCTTGCATTAAAGTCCCCCAGGAGGATGATTTTGTCCTCCTTAGGTATCTCCGATAGGACGGTGTCCAGCTGACAGTAAAAATTTTCCTTGATGTCTTCATCAGCATCTAGTGTTGGTACATAGGCACTTATGATGGTTGCCTGTTGGTTTTTGGCAAGATCAATTCGGAGGGTTGAGAGTCGTTCGTTGATGTCAGTCGGTGCTTCGGTCAGATGTTTCACCCGATCATTTCTGATAGCAAAGCCAACTCCGTGCATTCTTTGGTCTTCTTTGGGCAATCCCTTCCAGAAGAAGGTGTAGCCTCCTTTTTCTTCCTTCAGCTGTCCCTCTCCTGCTCCTGAAGGGCTGCTATGTTGATGTTAAAGTGTCTCAACTCCCTTGCAATGATAACAGTTCACTGTCAGTGTTGTCCATCAGTGTCCGTACGTTCCATGTACCGAAGTTCATTTTTCTTTTTTGGCCGCAGGGTGATGACCCCACTGGACGCGGCAGTCCAGTCAGGGATAAGAGAGGCAGACTATGTTTAGGGCACCTTTTCTAGCCACCTCCCCGTGTGGGGTGAGCAGAGTGGATCCTCAAAAGGGCTGCTCAGTCGTGGATACAGCTGCCGAACTACTCAACTGCCTCGGACCTTGAAGTAGAACGACTGAGTCTGTACCCACAGCCCATGTGCCAGTCTGTGACTAGGGGCTTCCAGATTTCACAATCCTGCCCCCGTTGTCACTCGCTGATCGCCATGGGACTTTTGTTGGTTTGTTTTTATTTTCTTTGGAAGACGCCTGTGCGTGAGTTTTTTTAATGTGTGGAGGTCAGTGCACACTGATCAACACACAGTCTTCGCATAGTGAGGTTCCACTGGTGGTGTAGTTTAACACAATGACCATGGCTTCTCAGTCTGTTGCAGCCACCTTCACAGCTGTTGTAACATGTATCATTTTATCCTCCGCCTGCTCCACCGTTGAGGTCTTTGGGTCTTTGGGCTGTGCTTGGTCTGGAGCCTCCCCGTGGCCACTCCTGGGAGTGCACAACTCCAGTTGTTGTGCCCACAGGTTAATTGGAACACGCAAACCCTCTCACCACGACAAGGTGACAGTCCATCGAGGGGGAAAGATTAAGATAAGATGACAGGCAACCTGCAGTCCTGACCTTATGGGAATCAAGCAACTACATACCTTCCCTAAAAGCCCACAGAGTAGAAAGGGAATCATATAAGGGAGTATAAGCAAGGAGAAGAATGAGAAAAAAGGTGGAAGAGGGAAAATGTTAGCTTTTATCTCTTGGGGAAAACCTCTCTAATCCCACATTACAGTGATCCACAAAGAGGGTGATGAGACATACTGGAGGGTTTTTGTCGGAAATAGTGGGATGGTGCGTGATTTATAGTTTTCTCTTTCCCCAATCATACCCTTCGTAAGCTGCACTCTGGACTGACTGTCTCAGAGGCAAGGTATAAAAATTGACCTAAACAATGCAGAGTCCTTTATCAGTTATCAGCAGAGTTTTACTGCACAGCTGGATCTTGTGCTGCTCAGCGTTTTAGAAAAACTCCTTGATTTTGGTTTTCATCGAAAACTCTCGGAAAAGGTTTTAAACTTATTTATTTATTTATTAATACGCTTGTATACCGCTAATATCTCAGCCTAAAACGGCGACTCATCGCGGTTTACAACACCTAAAACAACAATATTCAATTTAAAAACATAAAATACATATACAATACACAGTATCGGGCCACCAATACAGACCGATGCATCTCTTAGTTAAAATCATAATCCAATTTCGTCGTCTATAATTACCAGTCCTTGATCATCAACTTCATCGCACCGGATTAACCGAATGCTTGTTCAAACATCCATGTCTTCAGTTTTTTTCGAAATACCATCAGCGAGGAGGCTGATCTTATCTCTATAGGGAGGGCATTCCAAAGCCGAGGGGCCACCACAGAGAAGGCCCTGTCTCTCGTTCCCGCCAGCCGCACTTCTGAGGCCGGAGGGACAGAGAGCAGGGACTTGACATGTTGCCTTATGTACAGCTATATACACACACATTAGGATCCTCTGATCTCCTATCTGTATACTCACGACAGAGATCGATATACTCATAAGAGATCAGCAACAGATGTACAGCTTGCTGCCCACTTTTATACCAATTTCTTAATGTCATCAAATAGGGACAACAGTGAATGACGCCATTCTTGTCATGCCTGTTGCATGGTCATTACTCAGCTTCTTTGCATGTCCCTCAAGTTCCACATCACCATCTACTTAACCTTTCAGTGGGTGTGTGACCATATGTCCATTAGAAATGTATTTTCCAATCGGTTTTGCACAATGGGGTTACAGTTAATGCATTCCTATCTGACACTGTATTATCTACCTAACATGTTTGGCAGGGGAGCTCTAGAGACCAGAACATGGAGAAAAAGATTCAAATTGCCAGAAAAGAGATCCCACCTAAACATTAAGAAGAACTTCCTGGTGGTAGGAACTGTTCAACAGCTGCTTCACAGTGTGTTGGAGTCTCCATCTCTGGAGATTTTTAAGCATATGCTGGGTGGCTATCTGTCAGGAGTGCCTTCACTCCTACATGGATGGCCCTTGTAGTCTGTGCTAACTCTATGATTCTATCGTTCTATGTAAATAGTGAGGTAGCTTATCAAAAGGTGATGATGGGAGGATATTTGGAACAGAAAACTAAAATTTAACTACAGATACTATTTAAAAGAAATTTGTTATAAAATTCTGTACTGGTGGTACATCACCCCCCCCCCCCCCCCCCCCAAATTAGGAAAATATTACAAAAATACACAAACAAAATGCTGGAAGTCTGAAACACAAGAAGCTACATTCTACCATAATAATAATAATAATAATAATAATAATAATAATAATAATAATCTTTATTTATACCCCGCCACCATCTCCCCCAACAGGGACTTGGGGAGGCTTACATGAGGCCAAGCCCAAACAACATATTACAGCAAAATAAAACCAAAAACATAAGCACCATGTGTGGTGGCTGTGCAATAAAGCAAAACAATACAGGAAGGAAATTCATGAAATAACACAAAAATGAAATCTGAAATTTACTTACTAGGAATAACAGACAGAAACATAGATAAGAACAAAGAAAAAATCCCGAACTGCTTAACAACCGCTGTGAGAAGAATTTGTGCAAAGAACTGGAGAATAAAGGAAACACCACCTACTCAGCAATGGATAGGAAAAAATCTTAAAAATAAGGAATATGGACAAACTAACACAGTTACTGATAAAATACCAAAGAACATTGAAAAAAGAAATAGATTGGAGCCCAGTGAAGGAATATTTACTACAAGATTTAGACTAATAGATTAAAAGAAGTACTGCCTGGAGAAGAAAAGAAACAAAAAGGTGAAGCCCAAATTGATATATGGAAAGCCAAGACTGGAGAGAAAAGAAGAATCCACAAGGAAGAAGACCAGAAGCAAAATTTCCACGCCCCCCCCCCCTCGCTCTTTTTTCCTCACACCTTTCCCAACTTTCACCCTCCTTTGTTTCTTCTGTCCCCACTCTCTTCCCCATACAATTTCCCCCTAATACTATCTTAACATCTTAGAATCATTGAATCATAGAGTTGGAAGAGACCTCATGGGCCATCCAGTCCAACCCCTGACAAGAAGCAGGAAAATTGTGTTCTTTATTCTTTTTCATCTATATTTGCAAAACTTTAATAAAAATTTTTTAAAGTGATGGTGGTTATAGGCAGATGGTAGTGAACACAATGTCATTATTCAACGAGAACTTATTACAGTGAAATGGGAGGGGAAAGGGGCTGAAAGCTCACTGGCAGAGAAATGCTTCCTTACCCTTTCTGAATGACAACAATGATTGCGCCCAAGAGGATGATCAGTGCCAGGAGGCCTCCAGCACAAATGCCCAGGATGAGGCCCATCTCCTCAGACTGCTGTGACACTTCCAGGGGTGGACGCTTGCTCTCTTTGCATGCAGCTGGAGGAGATAAAAGCAGAAGAGACATAGAGACATAGAATCATAGAATCATAGAGTTGGAAGAGACCTCATGGGACATCCAGTCCAACCCCCTGCCAAGAAGCAGGAATATTGCATTCAAAGCACCCTTGACAGATGGCCATCTAGCCTCTGTTTAAAAACCTCCAAAGAAGGAGCCTCCACCACATGTCAACCAAGTGATATCTGTGACCCATTACAGTGGTGAACCATCCCTTTCTTATGTGCATTCTCTGCCCATCTTTCTCCTGGTATGGGGGCCAAGGCAGCTGGAAGAAATATACAAGATCATATTTTTTTTAAAAATGTTGTAAAAATTAAAAAGAAATTAAATGCCAAGCATTGGTGGAACTGTGATAAAAAGTTGAAATGTATTTAAAATGTTAACTAGCAATAACAAATAGAATAACATCAAAAGCATTTTATTATCATGTTTATTGTTATTTTAGATTTTAGATAAACTATTATGCAGAACATTAACATACTCAAGGATTTTTTGTATAAGCTGTTTTAAGGCATCCATATTATGTTTTCGTCTTGTTTAAATATTACGTACCTTCCCGATTTAGATATTCTATTTTAAAGGTTAATTGTATATTCTGTTTTAATAATAAAAATTATAGAAAAAAGAAAAGAAAGAAACTATGCTGGCACAAATGCGGCAAAATGGGCTCTTGTGCACACATGTGATGGGACTATGATGAGATACAAAAGTTTTTTAATAAAATAAAGAAAGAGACGGGGGATTTAATATGGCAAAAAGGAGAGCCGAATAAAAGGGAATTTTTGATTCAGAAAATAGATGGCAAGGGCAGCACTGATAAATGGGATGGCATCATAAAACATATGATCAATGCGGCTCAAGCAACTTTAGCTCTGGGCTAGAAAGACCAGGAAACATGGGAATTGAAAAAAATGGTTTGAATATTTAGCAGACAGTATGCTCCAGGATTATATTTTGAAAAGAGGATGAAAACCTTTTTGGAAAAAAGAAAAAGGCTATGGGCAGGAAGCCTTGGTGCTCATTTATTTACAGTTCTTATATTCCGCCCTTCTCACCCCGCAGGGGACTCAGGGCGGATTACAGTCAACACATATATGGCAAACATTCAATGCCAGTTTGACAAACAACGTTTAACACACAAATACACCAAGGCTATTTAACTTTTTTCTGGCCGCCAGGGGAGCTGCTGCTTTTCATCGTCCATCAACGACACCGATGAAGTTCTTCCGCATTCCACATTCCCCGGAGTCTTTTTTCTTTATGGCCTCATAAATTAGTTAAATTTAGCCTCCCACACAAGGTGGTACCTTATTTTCCTACTTGACAGATGCAACTGTCTTTCGGGTTGCAAAGGTCGACAACGGGCTACACAATGGCTGGACACCCACTCCAGCCCGGGCTGGCTTCGAACTCATGACCTTTTGGTCAGAGTGATCTTAATGCAGCTGACACTCAGCCAGCTGCGCCACAATCCCGGTGCTCATGTTGTCATTGTGCCTCTCCTCACAGTTCAAGCACACAGCCCAGGAAGACAGGGAATAGGAATGAATAGCAGTCTTTGCAGATGGTGCCACCAGGAATGATGTGGCTTTCTGGACCATGTTCTAAGCCAAAGAGCCAGCATTGTCCCTAGACACCTTCATGGTCATGTGGTCAGCAAGACTGCATGGAATGCCATTACCTTCCCGGAGGAGCGGTACCTATTGATCTACTAATGTGCAAACAAGCACATTATTCAGCAACAGAATGCAAAACAGAAATTCGAATCAGAATTGGCAGTTACAAGAAAGTTCAGAAAAAAGATGGCTTACCTTTCCGGGCTATCCGGATACAATTCAGCCTTGTTTCCTAAGAAAGAAGGAAACAGGCTGTCAGGTTTACATGACAAGGTGCTGTCTTCCAAAAGCAGGGGTGGGGGAGGAATACTTGTTATTATTATAGATTTATTTGTACATAACAATTATTTATTAACTGTATTTCTACCCTGCCCTTCTCACCCCAAAGGGGACTCAGAGCAGAGCAGCAACAATTCAATGCCACATAAAACAGATGCCACATAAAACAACACAGCACACGTGCACATGAAGTCCAAGTGTCTGGGATTCGTCTCTGAATATCTGGCTCTTCCCAAGGGCCTAGGATATTAGAGATAGATAGATAGATAGATAGATATTATTTATTTATTTAAATTACAGAACAATGCAGCACACATGCACATGAGGTCCAAGTGTGTGGGATTCGTCTCTGGCTATCGGGCTCTTCCCAAGGGCCTGGGATATTAGCGATATTATTATATTACTATTATATTATATTTATTGTATTATTATATTTTGTTATTATATTTATTATTACATTTTATTATATATTATTATTATATTTACATATAAATAACAATACAAATAACAACACAGCATGTAAACAATCCTGAAGTGTAAAGTTACCTATCCGAACGCATCTCCCTTTATGAACCATTGAGGACTTTAAGATCGTCTGGGGAGACCCTGCTCTCGGTCCTGCCTTCGTCACAAGTACGTCTGGCTGGGACGAGAGACAGGGCCTTCTCAGCGGTGGCCCATCGGCTATGGAACACACTCCCTAAGGAGATTAGATCGGCTTCTTCACTCCTAACATTTTGGAAAAACTCAAGACATGGCTGTTCAAGCAAGCATTTGCAAATATGGAGTAATGGACATAGGAAGATGGAACAACTATACGATGGGACTGGACAATGTTTTAATGCGGATTTATTAACTTATGTTTTATTGCTGCTGTTATGATTTTATTGATGTTAATGTTTCTAAATTGTACTTGTACTTTTGTGGCATTGAATTTTGCCTTGTAAACCTCCTCGAGTTGCTGGAAGGCTGAGAGGGGCTATATACAAATTCAGTAAATAAATCAATAAATAATGCTGCCAAAAAATGTCCCAAGGCAGCAGGGGGTTCATTAACTGGCTTAACTGTCTTAAAAAGACCTTCCTGGCCTCAAACCAGTTCCAGGCATGGCAGTCTGATCACTCGCACAGTGAACCCAGTTTCTCCCAAACCAGTTCCGAACTACATTACAGAGTCAGTGTAGAAAGGGCCTGCAAATTTTCTGGGAACTTAGACCATAGGAAGTTTTCTGCCAATTTCTAGTGACCCGAAGTCATTGCAAGCCAATAAATAAAAAGTAACCTTCAAGCCTACCACTTATATCTTTTCAAGGGATTATTATGCTCAAAACCCTCTTAAAACATTATTATTTATTAGCATGAGGGGGAAAAACAAGGAAGAATAATGAAAATAAAGATAGAAGGCTTTAAAGAGCAAGCTAGGGTGTGCTGTGATTCCTAGCTCTGAATATGTTTTAACGAATTTTAACTGTGAATTTTAATACAGTTATGTTGAATTCTGTTTTAATGTTTGCATATTGTTATTGTTGTGATGGAGTCTTCAAGTAGTGATACTACTGGGAGTATTAGGAGGGGAAGAAAGACTACTCGTGAGCAAGACTCCGATGAGGAGCAACAGAGAAAGCGGATCAGGGAAATACTTATGGAATCCAGTGATGATGAATCATTTGAGGGCTTCGCAGGGAATAATGGGTCTGAGACTGAGGAGAGTGGTATGGCAAGTTCAGAGGATGGAGAAATGGACTGGACTAAAGTGCGGGAGGTTCAGAAAGTTTGTGAAGAGCCCACATGTAGTGACACGTTTGTGGGGTTCTCTGCATGGCACAGTGGGGATACGGCTAAGTCTTGGGGAGTTATGGGTCTGGATAGAAGATGGAGAGATTGGAGGGATCAGTGAAGGGCTTCAGCTGAAAGGAGGTCTGGTGGGGCGTTGTCTGATTCCAGTTCTGAGGAGGAATTGGGGCAAGGGGTTTCAGCTGGTAACAGGGTATCGGCTGGTTACAGTTCGGAGGATGATTTGTGAATAAAAGTGGGGTTGGGAGATGGGGTTCCTTGCAGTCGGTAAGGTGTTGATGGGTATTCGTGTGTCCTTGAGAGCTGTTTGGGAAGACATGTTTGGGAAGACTTCTGTGGACCTGCTGCGCTGCCGTTCTTTGTTTTGGCTCTGTGTGTGACCTGGACTGGATTATCGTGTTTGCTGCCTTCTCCTTCCTCGACCCGGATTGGATTCGCGACGACAACTACATCACATTTGGATTGACTTGGTAGATGACTTCAGCCTTGCTGTTCGACCCTTCATATTCGCTGACGTCCTGCTGCGGGTTGAAGTGCCTTTTTTCCCTGCTGATTGCATAGGTTTAAGTTTAAACCGGATTATATTCCTGTTTAATCTGGGTTATTTTCCAGGTCCTGTTTTTTGGGTTAAGTGTGGGTAATACTGTGTTTCACACTGAAGAATAAGTGTTTCGAACCTTTTTGGTTTGTTTTTGGACTCTCTTGGTTGTGAACTAATAAACTTTACTTTTACTAAATACTGGTCTGGTGCTTTAAGGGATCTGTCTTGCAACAGTTATATTTTAAATTGTATATTTTAAATGATGTGGGGTTGGACTAGATGGCCCAGGTGGTCTCTACCAGCTCTATGATTTTACTTTTAATTGTAAGCCACTTTGAGTTTTCTTCAGGAGAGATAAAGCAGGGTATAAATAAACATAATAATAATAATAATAATAATAATAATAATAATAATAAATATATTAGAATTAATATATTCTAACTTATTTTCACAGCAAAAGCTGGGCAAGTCCTAAAAGCAAATAGCACCATCTGCCATTCTGGGGCCAGAGTGAAGAGGGGGAAATCAGGAAGAAGACACAGTTCCATTATGTCTCCTGTGCCTTCAGCTGGGAGCCCCTACCCCAGCAACAATATAGTAATGTAATATTGTACTATGCTAATAATATAATAAATTGTATATATATATATATAAAATTGGTCATAATATAATAATGTAATATAGCATAATACTACTAATAATACACTATAATATTTGTATATTTTATATAACATGGAATATTGAAGTATAGTGGTATAGTACATCACTATACTTCAATATTGTGCTAGGCTAATAATATAATATATTGTATGTACATATTATATTGATCATAATATTATAATCTAATACAATATGATACTAATAACAATACAATATAATAATATAATAATTATATATTATATACTACCTGCAATATTACTAATACTGTTGCAGTACAGTGGTATAGTACAATATGGTAATATATAATACTAATATTATGCTTGACTAACAATATAATATATTGTATATACATATAACTTACAAGCCTCTCTGAATCCCCTTCAGGGTGAGAGAGTGCAGGGTATAAATATAGTGAGTAAATAAATCAATAAATAAATACTTAACCAGTGTCAAGTTTTGGCAACCTCTTATGACTGACTTGGAGCTTACCAAATGAGACATTGTTCAGCAAGACAGCTTTGCATGCAGAAACCAGATTCAATAACACAAGGCTAAGAAGAAAGCCGGCTGTTAGGAATTGTGGGAGTTGCACTCCAAAACACCTGGAGGGCCAAAGTTGGCCCATGGCTGCTCTTGACACTGTTGTAAAAATTTCCCTGAAATATGTACTTTCTATTGGATAATTTTACAGATGAATGCAACTGACACCTCTAACTGCCTTGGCTCAGTGCTGTGGAATCCTAAGATTTATAGTTTGGTATCAACATCCTTTGGTAGAGAAGGCTCAAGGCCTTGTGAAACTACAACTCCCGAGATCCCACGAAGAGGTGATTGACTACTCACGCCTTTGAGAATGCTCATTGCCTGGAGATGGATCAGATAGGCCTTCTTGGGCTCCAGAGGTGGATTCCAATAACCGCTGTAGGTTTGGTTGTCACCGACAGTGAAAGGTTTGGCATCTGGGAGGCTACTGGGCGGAAGTTCTGCTCCAAAGTAGTGGATGGAGCCACGAGCCAAAGCATCGGAGAAGGTGAGTGGCACCGGGAAGCACTCTGGGCCACCCACTTCCCGCTTGATCTTCTTGGGCCGGTCTTCTTCCACAATGACTTGGTATGTGCTGGGAAGATGACAGCAACAGGTTGGGGGGAAAGAAAACAAAAATATCAGAGTTGTGTTGTCAAAGGCATTCATGGCTGGAATCACTGGGATGCTGTATGGCTATGTTTCAGTAGCATTCTCTCCTAATGTTTCACCTGCATCTGTGGCTAATGGCTTCCTCAGAGCTTCTGTTGGCAGTGAGGGAAGTGGAGTGTTTATAAATATACCCATGGAATAATGTTGTTATTATTATTATTATTATTATTATTATTATTATTATTATTATTATTATTAAACTTTATTTGTACCCCGCTAGCATCTCCCGAAGGCTTCGATGCGGCTTACACAGGCCGAGGCCTCAACACACAACATAACAATACAATCTAAGCAAATCAAACAATTAAAAACAGAATAAAGCAAAGTAAACAACAGGCACAATAAAACTGGGCCGGGCCAGAAGGTGGGTACAAAGATTAAAAGTGCTGATGTGACAGGAGGTGTATAAAGGGCTTCTAGGGCAAGTGCGATGTGCGATGTGCAGCAATCATTGGTTCTGATAAAGTGCTTATGGGACTTGGTAGTGGAGATTTCCTAATCTGGGAAGGTGCATCGGAAAAGCCAGGTCTTCAAGTTCTTTCTGAAGACAGCCAATGTAGGGGCCTGTCTAAGGTCTTTGGGGGGGGTGTTCCAGAGTCGGGGGGGGGGCATGGAAAAGGCCCTGTCCCGCATCCCCACCAAGCGCGCTTGCGACGCCGGTGGGATCACGAGCAGGGCCTCTCCAGATGACCGAAGAGAACGCGTGGGTTCGTAGATGAAATGCGGTCACGCAGGTAGGCTGGTCCCAAACCGTTCAGGGCTTTGTAGGTAAGCACCTGCACCTTAAATTGGGCTCGGAATATAAACGGCAGCCAGTGGAGCTCCTTGAACAGGAGGGTTGACCTCTCTCTGTAAGGGGCCCCAGTTAGCATCCTGGCTGCTGATCGTTGGACCAGTTGGAGCCGTCTTCAAGAGCAGCCCCACGTAGAGCGCATTGCAGTAATCCAATCTGGAGGTGACCAAGGCATGGACTACTCCGGCCAGATCCGCCTTCACAAGGTACGGTCGCAGTTGGCGCACGAGTCTCAGTTGTGCAAAAGACCTCCCAGACACCGCTGACGCCTGAGCCTCAAGCGTGAGCGTTGAATCCAAGAGGACTCCCAAACTGCGGACCTGTGACTTCAGGGGGAGTGTAACCCCGTCCAGCACAGGTTGCCACCCTATACCCCGGTCAGGTTTGTGATCGACCAGAAGGACCTCTGTCTTGTCGGGATTGATCTTCAGCTTGTTCCTCCTCATCCAGATAGACACAGCGGCCAGGCACTCGTCCAGCACCCGAGAGGCCTCCTTGGAATTAGGTGGAAAGGAGTAGTAGAGCTGTGTGTCATCCGCATAGAGGTGGCACCTAGCTCCAAAACTCCGGATGACCTCTCCCAGTGGTTTCATGTAGATGTTAAAAAGCATGGGTGACAGAATAGAGCCTTGCGGGACCCCACAGGTCAACGGCCAGGGATCCGAGCAGGCGTCTCCCAGCTTCACCATCTGGGATCGACCCTCCAGGAAGGATTGGAGCCACGACAAAACCGTGCCCCCGAGACCCATCCCAGAGAGTCGTCCCAGAAGGATACCATGATCGATGGTATCGAAAGCCGCTGAGATGTCCAAGAGAACCAACAGAGTCACACTCCCCCTGTCCAGCTCTCTGCGGAGGTCATCCACCAAGGCGACCAAGGCTGTCTCGGTACCATGACCAGGCCTGAAACCAGACTGTGACTGATCTAGGTAGTTGATGTCATCTAAAAAGCCCTGGAGCTGGAAGGCAACCACCTGCTCCAGCACCTTACCCAAGAAAGGAAGGTTGGAGATCGGTCTGAAATTGTTCAGCACCGTGGAGTCAAGGGAAACCTTTTTAAGGAGTGGACAAACCACAGCTTGTTTCAGGAGAGATGGAAAAAACCCCTGCTCCAATGATGCATTGATGATCAACCCAAACCAATCAACCAAACCCTCCCTGGCCGATTTAATTAGCCAGGACGGGCAAGGGTCCAGAGCCGAAGTGGTTGCCCTCACAGCCCCAAGGACCTCCTCCACAGTCTCAGGAGGAACAAGCTTAAAAGAATCCCACAAAATTGGACAAGCAGATGCCTCAATCACCTCCCCTGGCACTGCGATGAAATTGGAGTCGAGCTCAAGGCGTATCTGAGCGACTTTGTCTGCAAAGTGGTGTGCGAAATCGCGACACCGAGTTTCCGGGTCGTCAAAAACCTCCTCCACCACAGGTGGCTGAAGGAGCTCCCCAACGACCCGGAACAACTCCGATGATCTATTTGATGATCTAATGTTTACAGCTTAACCATGTTTACCACCACAGTTAGAGGACCACACTTGATTGAGTCTAAGTTGATGTTTATATTTGTGCACATGTTTTACTTTATTGTATTTTATATTGTGCTCACTCTTACGTTTTATTTTTAGGCAGTTTGTGCCATCTGTGAGCTGCTCCAAGTCCCTTCATGGACATGTTGGCGGGATATCAGAATAAAGTTGTTGTCGTCACTATTCTTATTCGTTTACTGACACAAAAACACAGTATGACACAGTAAACGAGATATATATGCTGGATTTTGTATCACAAAATCACAAGCCAAATACTTCCCAAGCATTTAGGACTGTGTGATGTATTTTTGAATGATGCACGCAGCTCAAGGTTAGGTGGCCTTTTGCAGTTGACCAGTCATGAATTTGTCAATGTTTATTGTTTCCAAATGTTGGCTGAGATCTTTTGGCACGGCACCCAGTGTGCCAATGACCACTGGGACCACCTGTATTGGTTTATGCCAGAGCCTTTGCAGTTCGATTTTGAGGTCCTGATAATGATTGAGTTTTTCCTGATGTTTTTCATAATTTGGCTGTCACCTGGTATGGCAACATCAATAATCCAGCCTTTTTTCATTTCCACAATCATGATATCTGGTATATTGTGTTCCAAAACTTTGTCAGTCTGGATTTGAAAGTCCCACAGCATTTTTGTGTGTTCATTTTCCACTACCTTTGCAGGTTTATGATCTCACCAGGTCTTTAATACTGGCAGCTGGTACTTGTGACATAAGTTCCAGTGAATCATTTGGGCCACAGAGTTGTGCTTCTGTTTGTATTATTATTATTATTATCTTCTGACACAATAAATAAATAAATAAATATGAGACAAGGTGAGAAGACAGAAGAGGAAACAACCAATGGACTTAAAATTGAAATGGTTAGAATCGTCAATATTTTATGAAATGTGTGTTAAAGAAAAAAGCTTTGAATGCGATTTTCCGGCTTCTTGGCACAAGGTCTCTTCCAGCTCTAGGATTCTAGGATTCTAGAGAAAAAGACAGCTATAACAAGGACAATTTTGTAAAACAACTCCCCATACATACCCTCTTTGTTTTCTCCTTGCAACATATCCAACATTTGTCAAGATGCAACTAAGCAATAACTAATCTATTATCCCCAATTTCTTCTTTTCCCTTCCCTTCTCCCCCACTCCCGGCTTTCCTAATGAATGTTTAATAAAAATCATTTGGGGAAAAAAGAAAGAATAAATGAGGCAAGGAAGACAAAACAGTGCAGTTCTGACCTCACTTCCATCCATTCCCACAACTACAATCCCTATTTGTAAGACAGAAAGGAAAAGAAATAAATAAAGCAAGCAAGTGTTGAATCTATTTTGCTAAGAAAGGAGAATGAGACCAGAGGAGATTTTTCTGTACCTGATTGGGGCGCCTCTGCCTTGGGCCGGCTTCAACAGAACGGTGATGGTGCTCTCGGATTCTTCAAGTGGGGAAGGCAGGTCTCCGTAATGGAAACTGGGAGCTAAAAGCAAACCCAACAGGCAATGATCAAAGGGGACAGATTTACAAAATGAAGACCCATCCGGCTGTGATGACTCTGAACCTGCTAGTGCAAAAGTTTCTCATGGAGCCCAAAGAAATGCGCATTTCCATCTACAAACCCACGCGACCTCTGCGATCTTCCGGAGAGGCTCTTCTCTCGCTCCCCCGCTCATCACAAGCGCGACTTGTGGGGAAGAGAGAGAGGGCCTTCTCTGTGGTGGCCCCCTGGCTCTAGAATTCGCTCCCCAGAGATATTAGGCAAACCCCCACCCTGACAATCTTCAGGAGGAGCCTGAAAACTTAGTTATTCCAGTGTGCCTTCAATGATTGAATGTAAGATACTCCTTGACCAAACTTTGCATAAAATGACCTCAGAAGCACTTTATTTTATGGTTCATGCAATAAAATCCTACCTCATCCTCGGATCCCCTCTCTGGTTTTTTACATTGTCCTATCCCCCAGTGTTTTAAATTGTTATCCTTGAATTTGGCCTTCCCCAGTGTGATTAATTGTGGTTTAATGTTTGATTTTATGCTACTGTGTTGTTTACTTATATTGGTTTTGCATTTTATGTACTTTATTTTCTGATTATTGTTGTGTTTTTAGTGTTTATATTGTGTTCAACTGTATTGATGGGCGTGGCCTTATGTAAGCCGCCCTGAGTCCCCTTGGGGGAGATGGAGGCGGGGTATAAATAAAGTTGTTGTTGTTGTTGTTATTATTATTATTATTATTATTATTATTATTATTATTATTATTATTATCTGTATTTGTCGTTGAGTCACTCCTTTGGGCTTCACGCAAAATATACAATCCTGTGCTTTTCTTTTCTATTTCTGGCTGAATAGCTTAACCATGGGTTTGTCCCACTGTGTCCGAGGTCTGCGCAAGCGCTGCTTGGGGTCTCTTGGTTTCAAGTCCATTTGTCAACATGTCCTTTATCGGTTTCCTTGTGTTCATGCCAGATGCCCTGCCCATCTTCCTTCTTCGGGTCCGCAACGCTAAAGCACAAAATGAGCTCAGGCTTGCCAGGGACGTTAAAAACAATAAAAAGGGCTTCTTTTCTTATGTCAGTAGAAAAAGGAAGAACAAGGAGGCGATAGGGCCTCTTCGAGGAGAAGATGAGGCAATGCTGACAGAGGGAAGGGAAAAGGCAGAACTACTTAATCCCTTCTTTGCCTCGGTCTTCTCACAAAAAGAAAGTCATCTTCAACCTCAGCAAGATGGAGTGGATGAGGGATTGGAGGACATCCAACCCCAAATTGGGAAACAAGTCATCCAGGAATACCTGACCACTCTAAATGAGTTCAAGTCCCCAGGGCCAGATCAACTACACCCCAAGAGTATTGAAGGGACTAGCGGAAGTCATCTCGGAACCATTGGCAATCATCTTTGAGAGTTCTTGGAGAACGGGAGAAGTTCCAGCAGATTGGAGGAAGGGCCAATGTGGTCCCAATCTTCAAGAAGGGAAAAAAGGATGACCCAAACAACTACCGTCCGGTCAGCCTCACGTCAATACCAGGCAAGATTCTGGAAAAGATTGTTAAGGAAGTGGTCTGCAAACACTTAGAAACAAATGCGGTCATTGCTAATAGTCAACATGGATTTATCAAAAACAAGTCATGCCAGACTAATCTGATCTCTTTTTTCGATAGAGTTACAAGCTGGATAGATGCGGGGAATGCCGTGGATGTAGCGTACCTGGATTTCAGTAAGGCCTTCGACAAGGTCCCCCATGACCTTCTGGCAAACAAACTAGTCCAATGTGGGCTAGGCAAAACTACGGTGAGGTGGATCTGTAATTGGTTAAATGGACGAACCCAGAGGGTGCTCACCAATGCTTCCTCTTCATCCTGGAAAGAAGTGACGAGCGGAGTGCTGCAGGGACGGATCCTGGGCCCGGTCCTGTTCAACATCTTTATTAATGACTTAGATGAAGGGCTAGAAGGCATAATCATCAAGTTTGCAGACGACACCAAATTGGGAGGGATAGCCAATAGTCCAGAGGACAGGAGCAGAATTCAAAACGATCTTGACAGATTAGGGAGATGGGCCAAAACTAACAAAATGAAGTTCAACAGTGACAAATGCAAGATACTCCACTTTGGCAGGAAAAACGAAATGCAAAGATACAAAATGGGGGACGCTGGCTCGAGAGCAGTACGTGTGAAAAAGATCTTGGAGTCCTCGTGGACAACAAGTTAAACATGAGCCAACAATGTGATGCGGCGGCAAAAAAGCCAATGGGATTTTGGCCTGCATCAATAGGAGCATAGTGTCTAGATTCAGGGAAGTAATGCTACCCCTCTATTCTGCCTTGGTTAGACCACACCTGGAATATTGTGTCCAATTCTGGGCACCACAATTGAAGAGAGATATTGACAAGCTGGAATGTGTCCAGAGGAGGGCGACTAAAATGATCAAGGGTCTGGAGAACAAGCCCTATGAGGAGTGGTTTAAAGAGCTGGGCATGTTTAGCCTGAAGAAGAGAAGGCTGAGAGGAGACATGATAGCCATGTATAAATATGTGAGAGGAAGTCACAGGGAGGAGGGAGCAAGCTTGTTTTCTGCTTCCTTGGAGACAAGGAGGGGTTGCATTACTTCCCTAGATCTAGACACTATGCTCCTATTGATGCAGGCCAAAATCCCATTGGCTTTTTTTGCCGCCACATCACATTGTTGGCTCATGTTTAACTTGTTGTCCACGAGGACTCCAAGATCTTTTTCACACGTACTGCTCTCGAGCCAGGCATTGTCCCCCCTTCTGTATCTTTGCATTTCGTTTTTTCTGCAGTGGAGTATCTTGCATTTGTCCCTGTTGAACTTCATTTTGTTAGTTTTGGCCCATCTCTCTAATCTGTCAAGATTGTTTTGAATTCTGCTCCTGACCTCTAGAGTCACACTATTAATGAGACATGCCGCATTATAACGGGGTGTCTGCGTCCTACACCACTGGAGAAATTACACTGTCTAGCCAGTATTGCACCACCTGACATCCGCCGGGAAGTATCAGCCAATAGTGAAAGGACCAAGGCAGTGACATCCTCAGCTCATCCCCTGTTTGGATATCAGCCAGCACGTCGACGACTTAAATTAAGAAATAGTTTTCTAAGATCTACAGAGACACTCACTGGAACACCCCAGCAAGCGAGAGTCCAAAAGTGGCAGGCTCAAACCCAGAACCTCAATCCATGGCTGATACCAAATAAGAGACTCCCCCCTGGGCACACAGAAAACTGGGCGACTTGGAAGGCGCTGAACAGACTGCGCTCTGGCACCACGAGATGCAGAGCCAACCTTCAGAAATGGGGCTACAAAGTGGAATCCACAACATGCGAGTGTGGAGAAGAGCAAAGTACAGACCACCTGTTGCAATGCAACCTGAGCCCTGCTACATGCATAATGCAGGACCTTCTTGCAGCAACACCAGAGGCACTCCAAGTGGCCAGCTACTGGTCAAAGGACATTTAATCAACTACCAAGCTTGCAAACTTTGTGTTTTGTCTGTTTGTTTGTTTTGTTAAAAATGTAATACAACTGTCTGGTTGTTCCTGACACGATAAATAAAGAAACCTCTAGAGTATTGGCTATCTCTCCCAATTTGGTGTCATCTGCAAACTTGATGATCATGCCTTCTAACCCTTCATCTAAGTCATTAATAGAGATCCTGAACAGGACTGGGCCCAGGACGGAACCCTGCGGCACTCCGCTCGTCACTTCTTTCCAAGATGAAGAGGAAGCATTGAGGAGAATCACCCTCTGGATTCGTCTGCTTAACCAATTGCAGATCCACCTCACCATAGTTTTGCCTAGCCCACATTGGACTAGTTTGTTTGCCAGAAGGTCGTGGGGGGACCTTGTTGAAGGCCTTACTGAAATCCAGGTACGCTACATCCACGGCAATCCCCACATCTATCCAGCTTGTAACTCTATCGAAAAAAGAGATCAGATTAGTCTGGCATTACTTGTTTTTGATAAATCTATGTTGACTATTAGCGATGACCGCATTTGTTTCTAAGTGTTTGCAGACCACTTCCTTGACAATCTTTTCCAGAATCTTGCCTGGTATTGATGTGAGGCTGACCGGACGGTAATTGTTTGGGTCATCCTTTTTTTCCTTCTTGAAGATTGGGACCACATTGGCCCTCCTCCAATCTGCTGGAACTTCTCCCGTTCTCCAAGAACTCTCAAAAATGATTGCCAATGGTTCCAAAAAGACTTCCACTAGTTCCTTCAATACTCTTGGGGTGTAGTTGATCTGGCCCTGGGGACTTGAACTCGTTTAGAGCGGCCAGGTATTCCCGGATGACTTGTTTCCCAATTTGGGGTTGGATGTCCTCTAATTCCTCATCCACTCCATCTTTCTGAGGTTGAAGATGACTTCCTTTTTGTGAGAAGACCGAAGCAAAGAAGGCATTAAGTAGTTCTGCCTTTTCCCTATCCCATCAGCATTGCCCCGTTTTGTGCTTTAGCCTTTTGGACCTTTTCCGTACAGGAAAACTTTAGACTAGAAACTTACTCAATACATTTTTGTTTGTATTTTGTAAATTTCTGAAGGCTCCTTCCCAAAGTCAGTTTGATCTTCATTTTCATGACAAGCGGCCAAACAAAGCAAAGTGAAAAAAGTTCCCATTCCTCTGTAAAATAATGGCCTCTCGCCATCAGCACTCTCGGAAATGTAGTCTGGGAAGGGAGGAGCCCTATGTGTTAGGATGTCCATTCCTGTTTCCAAAGATTATTTTTTGTGAGCTTGCTTTACGTTCAAAAACTTCCAAAATCAGACATTATGCTAGAGAATGAAAAAGGCCCTGACCTAAACCACATTTCCCAGAATGCATAAGCATAAGAAAGAACCAATTAGGATAGTGGAGAGAGAGATCTGTCCCTCCATAACAGCAGCCAACCAGAGTTACAAGGAACGGTTGAATCTGCAAAGAGGAGGACTGGCTGGATACCAGCCCAGCTTACTTATCCGAACATATATCTACGTTCCACCTCGTAATTTAAGATCTACTGGGGAGGCCCTGCTCTCGGTCCCACCAGCGTCTCAAACGCGTCTGGGGGGACGAGGGACAGGGCCTTCTCGGTGGTAACCCCCCGCTTATGGAATTCGCTCCCCAGATCTCTCGGCGTCCTCCCTCCTTACTTTTAGGAAAAAACTAAAGACATGGTTTTGGAGCCAGGTCTTTGGCTAGTGGGCACAGCAGCACTTTAGGCACTGAACTCGGACGATAGGATTGTTTGAAAATTGGAAATGGCTTTATGATCTGTGATTATGTGATTTGTTCTATGTGATTATGTAATTTTAAGTAATATCACTGTTTAATTGTTATGTAATGGGTTTTATATTGCTGTTTTATATTGTTTTGATACTGTTGGCATTGAATTGTTGCCTATGTTAGCCGCCCTGAGTCCCCCCTCGGGGGTGAGAAGTGCGGGATAGAAATGGTCTAAATAAATAAATAAAATACCTCTAGTAAATCAATCCCTGTGCTGGGCTGGGAAGAAATCCCTCAAGGGATGGCCCTTGGGATTCCCTCCAACTTAATAGGGGAAGCATATTCATTAGTCTAGGGGCTGGGTGGCCATTTGATGCTTTGATTTGGTGCTTTGATGGTGTATTTATTTGATTTTTGTTCCTGGGTTATAAATGCCAGTTTTTAATTGGTTCTAACATAGAAAGATGGGGAACGTTTATTAAATTGCAAAAACCTTGTCTTTGTGGGAGGAACATCTTGCTATAGCACATTTTGCTTTGTTGAGTCCCCACCAATTCAACATAGTTTGTGCTAGAAAAACAAAGTTTCTGGAGTAGAACAACTACTTTCAATTGAAAGACTACACCATTAAACAGGAAATAACACTTTCAAGCCAGGAATATATTTTCTTTATTATTAAAAAAGTTATTTATAAAATTTTGAAAATTCCCCAAAAATCTGTGGATAGGTGCAACATTCTGAAATTTGATGGACTCACAGTGGTCGATGAGTTCTACCACTGTAGCATGGTTTACCCCAATAGCTTTGAAAAATGAGGGAGAAAAGAGCTCCCGAAGTTTCCCCAATTGTAGTAACGTAATGATGCCCCAATTATAGTAATTTAATTTTCACTAAGTATACTTAAGGAATCCTTTAGAAATGAAGCGCCAGCACCCCCTAATTTTGGAGTGACTTTTGAAACTTTTCTATTGATCGCATATCTCTAGTATCTATACTCCACTTGCTTGACCACCATCAGATCCTCTGAAGATTTTGGCAAAACATCAGGAGAAAATTTATTTACTTACTTATTTAATTACAGTATTTATATTCCGCCCTTCTCACCCCACAAAGGACTAAGGGTGAATTACAATGTACACATGTAATTCACCCATGTAATTTGGCATTGAATGGCAAACATTCAATGCCAAAGACACACAACAGATATAGACAGACAGTCAGAGGCTATTTAACTTTTCTGGCCGCCAGGGGAGCTGTCACTTTCATCGTCCATCTGCGACAAAATGCTGCTAGAACATGGCCACACAGCCCAGAAACCATACCCACTCACAAAAGAACCTCAGCCTTCCGCCTCTTGCATGCCTCACACTCACCTAGAATCATAGAATCATAGAGTTGAAAGAAGCCTCATGGGCCACCAACCTGAGATGTTGGTGGTGATCTCAGTCATCGCCGTTTGGCCAAAGCCCTTGCCATTTCGTGCCCTCACTGAGAACAGGTAAGTCGTGCCAGGATGCAGGTTGGAGAAGACATGGTAGGTTTCGTTTCGGAGCTTGGAGACAGTGCGCCGAGGGCCAGGCACATTGATGGCAGGGTCAGAAGATTCAATGCTCTGGTAGCTGATCTAAAAAAAGATTATAGTGTAAGAAAATGCAATAGGCAATATAGGCAATTTTGCAAATTCTGGCTATCGGGCATATTTTCACCAATTCTATTTCCACTGACATTCCTGTAACATCGCAAGGGGCCATGCGTGTTTGGAACATACCTTTGCATGAACAGATAGAAAATGTTTACAGGGAAAGGAGTCTGTAATGTGTTGTTTTTCAGAACATGGAAGGGTCTACATTAAAGATATGAAAGAGTGTCAATATTTTGAAAATGAATTGGTTAAAATCATTAAAGTGAATTTCAGCCAATTGTCAGCGTTTCCGCCAATTGTCAGCCGGGCACCCCTTTGAAAACTGAGCCAACCTGAGAATTTTGATATAAGACGAAAAGCAGCTTGAATTTTGTATTCCAAACAATGGGTTTGGAAGGAACTATGAAGTCATCCTTAATCTCCCAGAGTGCAAAACATTGTCTCTGGAATTAGAATGTCACCTTTCTGGGAGGCAGCATTTGGCTCTCAGTCTGACAAAAAGAGTGGTGCAGATAAGATTCAGCTTTTTGTCTTGCCATTTCTGCACTCTAATGCATTTCCTTGATACCAGAGGGAGCAGAAGCACAGGGTGAAAAGCAAAACAAGATTAGAGAGGGCTTTGCTTATTTGTTTGGGAGGAAAGATGTGGCAGAAACCGTAAACACGTGTGCAAAACACACATGCCTCTACTCAATCAATGAATGAATGAAGGAAACTTTATTTATAGCCTGCCCTATCTCTCCAAGGGGAATCAGAGTGGCTCACAACAGAATACACAGTGGCAAACATTCAATGCCGGCAGTAATATATAAACAGATCAAAAACAACTCAATAAATTATAAAACAGCTTAAATAAACAAAACATAACACATTCAATATAATTACAAACATATTAAATCCTTAAATCTTATTAAAATCTCTAAAATTAGACTAAAATTGTTGGAGGAGCAGACTCTTCAGGCAGCGCATGTGTCCTTCATCTCTGAAGCCAAGAAAGAACAGTGGATCAAGCTGATCACAGAGGTCGATATGGACAGGAGCAGCCAGAAGGCGTGGAGGTTGCTAAGACGGCTGAGCAACGACCCCTTACAAACTAATACCCATGCCAACATAAAGGCAAATCAGATAGCACACCAACTCTTGAAGAATGGGAAACCCAACCTTGCCACCAAAGTAGGAAAGAAACCAATAGCCAGACAACAAGAGATTGAGAACAACAACCTTCATGAACCCTTTACATCTACTGAATTGGACATGGCTCTCAACAAATGTAAGAATGGCAAAGCAGCTGGCTTGGATGATCTACGGATGGAACAAATCAAGAACTTTGGTCCAAAAGCAAGGCGCTGGCTGCTGAAGCTGATGAACAACTGCACTGCATCCTGTCAGATCCCCAAAATCTGGAGGAAAGCAAGAGTCATCGCCATCTTGAAGCCAGGCAAAGACCGTAATGACCCAAAAAGCTACAGACCAATCTCCCTGTTGTGCCACCTCTACAAAGTTCTGGAGAGACTTATTTTGCATAGAATTATGGAAAATATAGACCCCTGTCTGATTCCACAGCAAGCTGGCTTCAGAAAAGGCAAAAGCTGCACATCGCAAGTGCTGAACCTGACTCAGCACATAGAAGATGGCTTTGAAAGGCAGCAGATCACAGGAGCTGTCTTCATAGACCTGTCAGCAGCCTATGATACTGTGAACCACCGCCTCCTCCTGAGAAAAATGTATAATATCACAAAGGACTACCACCTCACCCGCCTCATAGGAAACCTGCTACAAAACAGGGGCTTCTTTGTTGAGTTCCAGGGCCAGAGAAGCAGATGGCGGAAACAGAAGAACGGCCTGCCTCAGGGGAGCGTGCTTGCTCCATCCATGTTCAACATCTACACAAATGACCAGCCACTGCCAGAAGGGACAGAGAGTTTTCATCTATGCTGATGATCGTACCATTACCACCCAAGCAGGGAGCTTTGAGATGGTAGAACAGAAGCTCTCCGAAGCTCTAGGTGCTCTTACTGCCTATTACAGGGAAAACCAACTGATCCCTAATCCATCTAAAACATAGACATGCGCCTTTCACCTTAAGAACAGACAAGCATCCAGAGCTCTGAGGTTTACCTGGGAAGGAATCCCACTGGAGCATTGCAACACCCCCAAATACCTGGGAGTCACTTTGGACCGTGCTCTGACCTACAAGAAGCACTGCCTGAACATCAAGCAAAAAGTGGGAAACAACATCATACGAAAGCTGACTGGCACAACCTGGGGATCACAACCAGACACAGTGAAGACATCTGCCCTTGCGCTATGCTACTCTGCTGCTGAGTATGCATGCCCAGTGTGGAACACATCTCACCACACTAAAACAGTGGATGTGGCTCTTAATGAGACATGCCGCATTATCACAGGGTGTCTGCGCCCCACACCACTGGAGAAATTACACTGCTTAGCCGGTATTGCACCACCTGACATCCGCCGGGAAGTAGCAGCCAATAGTGAAAGGACCAAGGCAGAGACATCTCCAGCTCATCCCCTGTTTGGGTATCAGCCAGCACGCGTCAACGACTTAAATCAAGACATAGTTTTCTTAGATCTACAGAGACACTCGCTGGAGTACCTCAGCAAGCGAGAGTCCAAAAGTGGCAGGCTCAAACCCAGAACCTCAATCCATGGGTGATACCAGATGAGAGACTCCCCCCTGGGCACACAGAAGACTGGGCGACTTGGAAGGCGCTGAACAGACTGCGCTCTGGCACCACGAGATGCAGAGCCAATCTTAAGAAATGGGGCTACAAAGTGGAATCCACGGCATGCGAGTGCGGAGAAGAACAAACCACTGACCACCTGCTGCAATGCACCCTGAGCCCTGCCACATGCACAATGGAGGACCTTTTTGCGGCAACACCAGAGGCACTCCAAGTGGCCAGATACTGGTCAAAGGACATTTAACCAACTACCAAATTTGCAAAATCTGTGGGTTTTTTTCTTTTTCTTTTTAATCTGTGTGTTTGTTTTGCTCTGTTAGAATTGTAATACAATGGTATGGTTGCTGATGACACGATAAATAAATACTAGGTGTGCTGTTGTTGCCCATTTCCCCATTACACTGCCATTAAATCCAGATTATCAAAAATAATCCACATTATCTGCTTTGAACTAGATTATATGAGTCTACACTGCCATATAATCCAGTTCGAAGCTACTAATCTGGATTTTACATGGCAGTTTAGATAGGACCCCAAACAAAGGAAGTTCTGTGGCTTGCAATTTACACTGGCCAACCAAACATATCCAGAATGTTAGATCTTGGAAAATTGTTTTAATAGTAACCACTTACCATTCCAAGGCTTCTGAGCAGTTCTCTACCATTTATTTTTGTTTAAAGGAATTTGTTTAATTTTACTTCTCTATAACTATGGAAACAATACACCAACACTATAATTTTAGAAAGTGAAGTGCACGCTGCTCTCAAAGCAGTTGGGAGAAAATAATAATAATAATAATAATAATAATAATAATAATAATTATTATTATTATTATTATTATTATTTTACTTCTTTCACACCTCTCTCTCTCCTTGTGGCTAGAGGCAGGTTACAGAATAATTAAAACACATAAATATTGCAAAAATATTACAAATCCACACAGTGAGATGTATTTCTTTAAAAGTTACAAATTAAAGCACATTTCTATAGAATACAATTAAAATACCCAAAACAGAAATTAAACACAAGACACACATTTAAAATTTATGCTTAAAGACTAGCAGGAACAGATGGCACGCCAATAGGGCTGTTTCAACAAAAAGGGACATAATCCATTCAAAGTCTACCCGAAATCTGCCATCAAATAAGGAAAACAAAAGAATGGCTCACCTACTGAAAAAGCTCAATATAAACCCCAATCCGACAAAAGGGGACAGCAGGGACTGCACTAACTACTGGACTGTAGCATTAATCTTCCATGCAAGCAAAGGGATACTCATCATTCTATAACAAAGACTTGTATCATATGCAGAGTGACAAATTCTAGGTGCCCAAGCAGAGTTCAGAAAAGGAAGAGGCAATAAGGATAATATTGCAAACACACATTGGATAATGGAGCGCATCAAAAGAGTTTAGGGGAAAAAATAACCCGTGCTTTATTTACAGCGAATGTATTTATTTGCTTTGTTTTTATCCTGCCTTTCTCGCAATATTGCGGCTAAAACAGCAAACATGACACAATCCTATTACATGCATTACACTGTGAATAGAAAAAAGACAATAAAAGAACGAAGCGCTTTTTAAAGGCAGTCACACATAGAGCACATCACAGTAATCAAAACAGGATGTAAACCAGGTCTGGGCCAACTTCAGCCCTCCAAGTGTTTTGGATTGCAACTCGCACAATTCCTAAAAGCCGGGTGTTAGGCCATCTTTGTCTGTGACCATCTTTCTTTGAGTGGTGCTCTGTGAATTCACACATGTGGAGTGTCTGTGCCTGCACGGGCACCAACGGAAACTTCTCTAGTTTAAACTTTTCAGGTTTTGGCGGTAACCCTGCCCACTCCCCGGCAGGGCATAAAAGGCGCCCCGCGCGCATGCTCCGCAGTTCCTATGCCGCAAGGCAGCCGAAAAAAGGCAGAGGTTTGTTAGAGGGGAGGCTGGGAGAGTTTGTGTAAATTCACAGAGCACCACGCGAAGAAAGATAGTCACAGGTATGTAACCTACCATTTTTCTTCGTGGTCTCTGTGAATGCACATATGTGGAGACTAGCAAGCTGAGGTCCCGGAAGCGGGAAGAACAAACCGACCCCTTTATGAAGGACCAAACAATTTTATTGAAGTATCAAAAAACAGTATGACATGAAAAAGGACATAAAGTCCCTAATGCAGGAGTGCATGATCCTCCTTGGCCGAAGTGGCCGCTATCACAGTATAAATACACTCATTCATATGAGGGTACAGACATAATAGTTGCATGGGAATGAACGTTACAGTC